CTAACTTCAACGTAGTTCTCCGCTAGGCGGGGTTGTCGTAATGAAAACTCCCTAGGTTCTTGTAACTTTCTTGTAGTTGGTCTCAGTGGTTCGGGGTTGTGGTCGTTGATGATGGATAGGGGTTTGGTGATGGTGAAAAGAGGGTCGATGATGGTGGTCCTCGGGGGATGTTACGATATGGTTGGTGACAGGTCTCTCTGTCATTCTTCCTAGCTGCCTCCCTGATGGCTCAGAGAGCACAGGAAAGATAGACTTGGAGTTCATGCCTGATAGGTATGAGAGCAGAGAAAGAATATGAGAGTGGAGATTTGAATTTGTCATTATGACAAGTCATGATTTAATAGTGTCATTCCTGACACTGTGACACCATTGACAACAGACAACAACGAGAAATGGCATTCCATACTGATGATCATCATAATACTGCTCTATAACAAGGTGGAGGTGGAGGGGCTCTTGGCTGAGAGTAAAACCTCAATTGGCTTCCACATCAGGTCTCTGAATCGATGCTCAGCATGTGTCCTTTACCTGCCAATGTCACTGACTTTCAAATGACCTTCTGGAGAACATTGGTAATGCTGGGGTTGGCTTTGATCACCTCTTCAGTGGTCCACACTGTGATACCATACTTCTCAGGGCACCTTTCTGTAAAAGTGTGTGCAGCAACATTTCTCAGATGTTGTAAGATGTAAATTACATCTGTTACCTCCCCATCCTCTCTCTGTTTCAAATAGGTGTCTTTGTAAGTGTCCACTATTGTAGACAGTCTGCTCATCTTGTCTGTAGCAACATTGTAAAGGTTACTTCCATATACTATCTTCATCGTGCCGTCTGGCCCCTGCATGAGCATCACTCTGAGGGTACTGTCGGGGTCAATTGAGTCCAGTTCAGGGGGACAAGAAGAGTATAATACTGCCTGTTCTGGCCATTGCCCTAGGTCTAGATGCTCCAAACTTGGAATGGGATTTGGCTTATTGAAGGTCGTGACTGCTTCACGTATCTTGTCACTTTCCTCCATTGCCTGAAAGGGCACCCGAACCTCTATTCCAGCCCCCCTGAACTGAGTAAGGTCCACCTGACTAGCTATGTGGTCAACAAGCTTAGTGAATTCATTCGCATTCTCTGACATCTTATCAAAACTCTGTTGTGCTTGAGCCTCTGTATACCCATCATTTATATGATCAACGAGTTTTGATAAGATATCGTCTTTGGGAGTGCCAAGACGTAGTGCATTCAGAGTGTAAGGACCCATGAGACTCTTTTGGATCTCCAGGACGCATATTTGGTCCCTTGGGAGGATGTCCCCGGGACACTTGTAGAAGGAATATGGTAAGGTCTCATTTGGTGGGTTGGTGCTCAGTCTGAGACTATTGTTGAAGAGAGTCCCGTTGGGAATCTCACCTAAGTCTTCACCAGAAGTTCAGTTACGTCATACTTTGAATCAAAACGTGATATCTTGAATAAAAGTGAGGCGTAAACCTCTATTCTCTTCTGTGAGACTTCACTGAGAACCTTTCTCTCTGAGGAATGGGTCGGACCCTTGGATGGGGAAGTCATGATGAGTAGGATCATGACAAATGTTGAGGACAAGCCTGAAGTCTAGATCAGTATTTGATGACTTGGTCAGTAAAGGTCCAAACATATCATGATTGATCTCTGAAGAGAAGAAACAATGAAAGAAGTACAAGGGGTTTGTGTCACAGCCGTCGAATAACTTCTCTCTAATGGACCAACAGTTGACAAACCTCAGCTAACTTGTGTCATGAATGACACTGTCAAATGATGGCTTGTCATAATCACAAGTTCAAACCTCCACTCTCATATCTTCCTCTGCTCTCAAGCCTATTGGGCATCAACTCCAAGTCTATCTTTCCTCTGCTCTCAAGCCTATCAGGCATCAACCCCAAGACTATCTTTCCTGTGCTCTCATGCCTGGAAGGCATAAGCTTCAAGTACATCTCTAGTTTCTCTTTCCTCTGTTTGGATGCCTTGTAAGGCATAATCTCTCAGTCTCTTGTTGTTGCAGCTCTACTATGTTTTGCATAGTTCCTCATCAACCACCTTCGACAAAGTCACCGACTTCCGGCGCATCATGTAGGATATCATAGTAGGACGTAGGTAAACGCAGATATGGCATTGTAGGATATCAGTGGTAATCGGTGGGATGCATGGGAATGCATGCAGGACAGTGCAGGACGGTTCAGAACGCTTGCATTCCGCAGGTCTGCACGAGCCTCTTGGAAAAGGCTGATTTCAATATTTAAACCCTATTTAGTATTGTAGTTTTCTTCTTCAGCAATGTATCTTTTCAATTCTCTTCCCCTCGTTTGATAAGTCACTCAGTTGGTTCTAACCCAACAGCTCAGTTGCCTCAGTAGCTAAGGCAGTCACCAAGCTCTACGAGCCAGAGACTAAAACCCTTCAGTATCTAAGGCAGTACTTTGCTACCGCAGTCTACCTGCAGGCGTGACATCTGGCAAGATCAGCAAGACATGGAGCAAGACAATTTGTGGGTAAGAGCTCACTTAAATAAATACTTGTTACATGACACACGGAAGCTGTGATACTTTGGAGTGTCACCAGGGTCATCATGACCATCATAAGATCATGACCTACCAAAGGAATTATGCCAACTTTACTAGAATCTTTCCTGTCCCAATTCTAATACATGACTAAGTAGTTGGTGCCTCACTCTGCAATGTTCAGCTAGAGATGCATGCTGAAGATGCATGTCTCTCCTCATTTTTGGTGTTCTTCTGAAGATCATTGTCTGCTTTTTCCATGTCATGCATGGCAAAAGTCAAGTGGAAAATCCCTCCCAGACCTTCTCACTACTTCCAACATCTCTCTATAAAAAGGGATGATTGTTTGAAGCAGTGGCAATCAGTGAGGAGCAATTCTTCTGTGGGTCCATGACCATGACCCTTTGAAGTGGCACAGACCTTCTGACGGTCACGCTATCCCCCATGACGCTCTGAAGGGGACGGCTTCCGTCCGTCACCTAACATATTGGTCATAGTCTTCTTGTAGTGTTTCCCTTTTTTGGGGATCCATATATTATTTTCCACTTTGCAGAAGACCTCTTCTTGACACACCACTTATTCTACCAGGCACCCCTCTCTATCCTTATACCTGTTGACGCCATCCAACCAATCCTCTTTGTCATCTTGACCTGGCCGGATCCTTTGCAAGTCACTCTAGTAGTCTGACTACGTCACAAGTCAACCGGCGGCAACATACCGTCACGAGACCAACTAACCAGCATTGGCACGATATAACAGTGCCCTTCAGAGACAGTGGCCTAAACCACTGCGCTAAAAGGCCTATTAACCAGCGGTTACTGCAAACCGCCGGTGGCTGGTCAAATCCCAACCCAAACACAACTCTAACCAAACTGTCACGGTCCTGTCCTTGACAGACCTCAATGGAACAAAGACAGGTGTACTGCAACTGTTTAGTCAGCTTGGACAATGACAGTTAGTTTGTTATCCGTAGACTTGTGATGTGGTCGGAAGACTAAGGTGACTTGCAAAGGATCTGGGCAGGTTGAGATGACAATAGAGGCGTCGGTGATGGTGTGGACAGGGGTAATATTAATGAGGGAAGTGTCGTATGTAAGTAGTATGTCAAGAAGAGGTCTTTTGCAAGTGGCAAATAATATATTGATCCTTGGGGAAGGAGAGCAACTCCAAAGTAGATACGGGGTTTATATAGCCTATCTAGAGCTATCAGAGTGAGCAAGGCTCAGTGAGCTATTCCATAGCTCTCATCCCATTTACTAACAAAACTAACGAGCCTTCCCCAGCCATAAACTAGCTCATATGATCTAACAGAGCCCTGGTAGAGCATCAGTAGAGCTTACTGAACTATCATAGAGCGCTCTGTATCTGGCTCATGGATCATATGATGCTTCTAGTCAGCTACATGAGCTCCGGTAGAGCTATATGAGCCAAAGCATGGGTTATGACACGCTTCATCCTGACCGGGTCATAACACAAACTGACTTCTCACTTTGTGACACATACTAACCATCGTTGTCCAAGCTAACTAAACAGTTATAGTCCACCTGTCTCTGATCTACTGAGGTCATCCCGGGGCAGGTCTGTGACAGAGTTGCTGTTCACAAAGTGACAAGTCATTCTGGTTAGAGTTGGGTATTTGACCAGCGACCGGCGGTTTGCAGTAACCTCCGGACAATAGGCCGTTTAGCGCAGTGGTTTAGGCCACTGTCTCTGAAGGGCGCTGTTATATTGTGCATATGCTGGTTAGTATGTCTCGTGACAGTTGCTCTTCTTCATCATGCAATCCGCTATACGCTATCTCTTCGTCCTTCATCATTGTTGTCCTCTGAAGTTAAGTTTTGGTCACTGCCTAGCTCTCAGGTCATAAGAGAAGAGAGAGAATGATGTTGTGACAGACATGTACACACTAGTACAAAGAAGTTAGCCGAAGTCTGTTGAGCGTCGGTTAGCTGAAAACAGAAGAGACGATAGTCGTGATATGAATGGAGGGGAGGTTCGACGTGCACCACAAGATACTCTGTGTTGCTGCGCAGCTGCCAGAACCAGCGATCGATCAGAAGTCAAGATCAATTTGTAATTGAGTTTCAGGCAGCAATAGATCAAGTTGAGACCAATTTGTTACCGGGTGCGTTGCCAGTGTCGAGAGCAGAAGAGGAGCTGGGGTTGGCAGAGCTTCTCAGCTGAATTTGTTTAGTCGGTCAAAGCACAGGTCTCATAATCAGTTGAAAGGACAATTCAATGCATCTGAAGAAAAGATACTGGACGAAAAGTTTCGTTGTTACTATGACAGGGCATTCCTGGTACTCCAACACCGTTTAATTCCGTCTTCAGTCTTCCTTGCTGTAAAAGTGACATTAGCCAGAAGGAACCCGGAAAAATCAGTAGCGCGCTTATGTCGGAGCAAGACTTGAATGGGCAGAACTCATTTCCCATTGGCCTGCAGAAAGTACCAATAGTCAACTTACTGTCAACTGACATCTATGAGAGTCGGTACTCTACTGTTCCGCCGCAGGCCGCCTGGACATACCCAAGGACCTGAAGTCGTGAGGCCGCACTCGGGCCAAGGTCCGATACTTTGACCCATTGCAAGTTAGACACAATTCTAGGAACTTCAATTGTAAGATCCTTGAATCTTGTGTCATTCAAAAGGACCAACCGTGCGGCTTTAGCGGCTCTCAGAAGCGGATATGGATCATGAGGCATTGGGGATGGACCTTGGCTACTACTTTGCTCTTTCTCCATCTGTGCCATGAATGCTTTGATGGCTTGGATCTGACAAACAGTCAGAACAGAGTCATCCTTAGAGCCAACCTTCAAATACCAAGTGCCGTTCCAAAGAACCAAGGACTCAAGCACTGCCGATGGGTCTCTTTCCGTCGTGTTCACATCCGCAGACAAGTTCCGTCTTTTGAGGGAAAGATGAGGCCGTCTTGGCATGCGTGCGGTAGCATATGGGTCTCGTAGGAGTAAGTGTATATGGTATCTGTGCCATTCAGGCTCAGCAAGAATCTCTGTTATAGCATCTATGGCGTCCGCATGGACTGCTCCAGCGTCTCGTAAGTTTGTGGAACGTTTCCATGCTAACCGTGTTATAGCTTCACAGTAGGCACTGCTCAACCTTTTGATATCATCCCTCAAATCTCCCCCACTGATGACTGACCAACATCTGATGCGATCATTCCAACTGACTTTGACAACCAGCCCCTTTATGGGGTAATCCGGCGGGAGATGTGCAGTGATACTGGTGAACTTCTCTGTAAGGGCAAGAGTTTCGTTGTCAGTGGAGGCAGGTATGTCTGGCTCAGTGAAAGAGTGGCTCCTCAGGTGTGGTCTTCTCATGAATGATTGTTGAGGTTGTGTTGCAAGGAATCCGTCATTTCGTTCCATCAGCATCCTCTGCCTTCGGGTGGACCCGATTTTGGGCACTACAATGCGGAAGTCGGTCCACTTTTTATCCGCAGCAAGCACCCTCGTTGCCCCGAGCAAGGCAAGGTCCCTGGTCCGGAAGGGATCATGGTGAACGTCGGCAGAGTTATCTCTCAGTACTGTTAATTCCATCTCATATTCTTTTTGGAGCAAAAGTGTGTCTTCAGTATAATTGACACCAGTTGGGGGCCCAATATCTATCATGCTTGTACCATGAGCTGCGCTCCAGAAGGTACTGACAACAAGTACTTGGGAAGGATTTTCCCAAGGGCCATCTCTGTATGGAATGGACTCATAGTGATGTGCTGCGGGTAACAAAACCAAATCAAGACCTTCAAATCTTACCCCAAGACTTTTTCGTGCATTCCATGCCAGATCTCGAATTGCCTCTGGATCTCTGCTCTCGATAGTCGGATTGGCCTTGAACCAGTCTAGTACCGAAGTCTGATATGCCTGGGACAGAGTTCTGGTTTTGGAGTTCTTACCAGCATCAATAGCAATTTGGAAATGCCCCTTTTCTTCATCCCACACAGGGACGGCGGGGAGCATGGTTGCGCCAGCAGAGTCCTGTACTGTTGTTCGGTACTTAGTGAAACTTTGCAGGGCGATTTGAGAGAGGACAGAGATGCTGGGGTCGGTTTCAGAAACGATGAAAGCCTGCCTGTCAGTGAACGATACGTGGATTCCACATTTAGTACTCGCCATGATTGGATTGAGATTTGTCGAGGAAAGTAACTGAAGTTGCTATGAGTATCCGCGTCGGAAAGTCGATTGAAGCGGGATTGGGGGAATGTATCGGCCTATTTATCCCCTACTTGTCAGCTTAGCATGCTTGGAGCAAAAGCATGGAAGAACAGTGTCACTTACATGGTTGTGGGGCCAAGAAAGAAGGAGGTGGATAGACAAAGGGGGTGTTGCTCGGAATCTTGCGTCACCGTTCGTGGATTATTCTTCGTCTCCTCTTCATGCCTTCCTCAATCACAGAGTTGTGGAGCTTATTCTCCACTCTACGCCTTCTTCAACCACAGAGTCGGGGATCTCACTCACGACTCCACGCCTGCCCCCAGCACACGTCTAGATGATTCGCTTCGCGGGGACTTGAGCGCGAAAGAATGTCATCATTCCCACCCCAAAGGCCATAGACCATCTGACCGAGGTGGTGCAGTTTGGAGGGTCGGATTTTCTCCTTGTTTGGGAGGATGCAGGGCAGTTTTAGAGTTCGCCTTGCTTCAGATGCTTTTGGGTCTTGGTTTCCAGGTCTTCAAATGACGTATCGTTTTGATAGATATCAACCTGGGGAGGTGGTGATAAGGCTTGATTTAAATATGGATTGTGGACTAAGTTGACTGTCGTGTGACATTCTTCTTCTAGGTAGAGCGAGTTCTCGAGGGAGGACAAGAACCAAGCACAGCATCTGTGTCTGAGTGATGGTTTATTGGTTGAGTGTTAGAAACTATCAGCCAGTGTCAAATGTAACGTCTGTCCCCTACCATCGGGTCAAACCCCCCTTTGGGTCAACCCGTCAATCGGAGGTAAGGACTAGAACAATACTTTTTTCCGGTGAAAAGACTAGAATAACACCAGGGACTAGAATAACATCACAGGACTAGAATGACAGGAGTCAAATCACATGATTCTTCATCCCTATCTATGAATTTTGAGACTTGATTCTTTCAAGATATTTTCAACCCCACAGGGATACTAGAAAGTGTCATTATCATTGTGCAGTGTCCAAAACTTCCTAAAAGTGGTGATGTCATTTTAGTCCTTAATGTTATTGTAGGGTGTGATGTCAATTTAGTCTTTTCACACGGAAAAGTTGTCATTCTAGTCCTTACCTCCGTCAATCGATCAACACCATACTTAATATGCGGAAGCATACTTGTCATCAACCAAGATTCATGACTTAGTGTTAAGACCTGTCCCCGGCGAAAGGTTGATGTTGGGATGCGGAGACAGGGTGGACAGCAGAAGTTTACAGCAAGCTTGGTCTATGACTGGCGGGAGTAGACCGTAGTGCTGGTACAAAGGTCGACAGAATATGTATTGAGTAGGAAGGAGGTAATAAATATAGATCAAGTATAATAGTGTCTAGTAGTTGGAACTATATACACATGAAGGTGGGACTTCGGAGCGAAGACCCAAAGTCAGACTTGAGGATAGATGGAGTGCCACCCGTAGGATGATCTTGCACTGTCTATGGTCGAAGATGACTTTGGGGAGAGCGGAGAGGTAATGAGGAAAAGTGAGGTGTTTTGAGATAGTTGTTAGGTGACGTACGGAAGACGTGACACTTCGAAGTGTCACGGGTATGATCATGACTTAATTTTATAGTTGTGCCTATTTACTCTACAATTTTGTAATATACCTCAGGAGATACAATTTAACATACAGTAAAATAAAGATGAGCGTATCATGTAACCAGCTGAAGATCTGTGACACTTCAAAGTGTCATGACACCTAGGGTTGTGACACTGAAGAGATCTGACGTTTCCACAACACCACTGATCAAAATCAACTATGCTTTGGATCTGTAGCTCTTGATCATGATTGGAGAGAGGCTACCAAGAAAGATCCCATGAATGCATGCATGGGAGGAAGAAACAGCATTTGGAAGTTTTGATGTTGAGGAGGCTATTGTGCAACAACTCAATCAGCTACACTCATCTCCTCTTGATACAAAACAGACCAGGACCGTCTCTTCTCAGGTGTAAAGTTTCTCGGAGTCTGCAGGATATCTGAGAACATGGCAGGTATTCTTCTGTGGGACACGGATCTTCAGCCGGTCACGGTCATACCCGTGACACTTCGAAGTGTCACGTCTCCCGCACGTCACCTAACTGTCACGAACTACGTCGTGACACCTCAATTACTCCACCAACAATGACCCTCCTTTGGCCATCAAAACCCCATCACGCCTTAACCTCTTTACTCTACACGTAACTCAGGACTTCTGACACCAAGTACGGCGAAGTTAGACGGAGTTAGGCTAAGTAGGGACAATGGGAGCAGAAGTACGGCGAAGTTAGACGGGGTTAGGCTAAGTAGGGACAATGGGAGCAGAAGTGCGGCGATGTTAGGCGGGGTTAGGCTAATTAGGGACAATGGGAGCAGAAGTGCGGCGATGTTAGGCGGAGTTAGGCTAAGTAGGGACAATGGGAGCAGAAGTGCGGCGATGTTAGGCGGAGTTAGTCGAAGGAGGAAGAGGATGGCCGAGGGCTCGGGGAAGTTGGACGAAGTGCGTTGAAGTACGTCAAAGCGCGAGAGGGTTGGATGAACGTCTAGGAGGGGTAGATAATATTAGCTGAGAAGATCGCTGAAGTTCTTCAGCGATCCTTGATTGTTGTCAGTAGTGAAAGACAGATAGAGATAGCTATAAATCAAGATACATCGCCATCAGTAGAACAAAACCCTAGTTAGAGTAACTACGCCGAAGTACGCCGTAGTTACACCCCTTTCGACGTCTGCGCCCTCCTGGTTGGGTGAGACATCGACTCAGAGCGTGAAGTTAGCCGAGGTTCGTCGACCGTCGGTCTATTAAGAAATAGTTGTTCGACGGCCGTGACACTAACATAGTTTTCATTGTCAAAGTAGATGCCCATTCCGCCGCCGTTATATACCTTTCAGAATTACACGTTTTCACACTGATTCCCACAATCCACAATGTGGCGTGTGGAGTTACACGACTAGCACAATTCCACAATGAGTTGTGTGGAGTCACATGACTAGCACAACTCCACAATGAGGTGTGTGGAGTCACATGACTAGCACAATTCCACAATGAGGTGTGTGGAGTCACATGACTAGCACAATTCCACAATGAGTTGTGTGGAGTCACATGACTAGCACAACTCCACAATGAGGTGTTATGACCTGGTCATAACACTTAGTATCAGTATGGACTTAGAAATAATGGCTCATAATTAATCAGGAGTTGATAAGTAATTGATCAACTGTAGTGCAAACTGTAGTAGAGACATTGTGGACCAACTGTAGGACAGTTGGTAGAACTAAGTCTCATCTGCAGTGCCACTGCAGTACAGATGGTGACTAGTCTACAAGTATATGACCCCAGAGTTTCAATATCTGCTTCCGCAATGATGGTCCTTTTTCTGTTTTATTTTTTCTAACCTTTCTTGTTCATCCCTGCCTGGCAAAAGAGTACAAGACATCACTGAATTGGTTCTAACCCAACACTCTCTGTTCCCTCAGTATTGACATAGTCATTCCATCCTACAAGCCAGAGATTAACCCCTTCAGTATCCAAGGCAGTCCCTTTGTTATTGCAGTCTGACCCGCAGGCGTGGCAGTATTCATTGCTCACACTCTTTAGTCCTTGCTTGTCATCTCGACTCATTGTCAGTGCTATTGTGTTACGATCCGGTAGACCAGATCCTAACACCCATATTGAATCACATTTTCTTTACGGTGTATTACACTTAACACACCGCAAAGTGTACGCGTCTCAACAACTCCCACCTTCTTTTTGTTGTCTCAACGCTCTTCATGCAAAGTACAACGGATTGTACGCATCACGACGAGAATGCAGTTCTTTTAGTTTGGTAGTTTGGTAGAATATAGTATAGGAACCGAGGAACATGACTCTTTCCTACGCAGGACAGCGGACATCCCAAAATGGACTTGGAAAAGGATATGTACCCCTTGTACTTCTTTCATAGTTCCTTTTCTTTAGAGATCAATTATCATACGTTTCAACCTTTACTGACCAAGTCATCAAATACCGATCTAGGCTTCAAGCTTGTCTTCAACATTGGCCCCAAGCCTATCTTTGTTCACACCGTGGGTCTCAATATAGTTATCAGACACGCTTTTGTCATCATCATATTAGACTCTCTGATTGTCAGTAAGTCATCTCGTCCTGCGTATCAGAGTTCCTCTCTCTCTCTTACCATCTTTGTCATCAACACATCTCTTCACATCACTTGTCCACCTGCCGTCTCTCCTCTGAGATGTACCAGGCATAACGGTATAATTGATCTCTCTCAAGTTCTTTGATACGTTCATTTGGTACACTCTTCTATAGGTACTACAAACAATGGCTGGCCCTATGTCACGAACTACGTCGTGACACCTCAATTATTCCACCAACAATGACCCTCCTTTGACCATCAAAACCCCTATCACGTCTTAACCTCTTCACTCTACATGTAACTCAGGACATCTGAGACCAACTACGGCAAAGTACGACGGGAGAATAAGGTGTACAGGGGTCTGGAGCATAAGGAAGCGGAAGTACGGCGAAGTTAGACGGGGTTAGGCGAAGTAGGGACAATGGAAGCAGAAGTACGGCGAAGTTAGACGGGGTTAGGCTAAGTAGGGACAATGGAAGCAGAAGTGCGGCGATGTTAGGCGGAGTTAGTCGGAGGAGGAGGAGGATGGCCGAGGACTCGGGGAAGTTGGACGAAGTGCGTTGAAGTACGTCAAAGCGCGAGAGGGTTGGGTGAACGTCTAGGAGGGATAGACAATATTAGCTGAGAAGATCGCTGAAGTTCTTCAGCGATCCTTGATTGTTGTCAGTAGTGAAAGATTGATAGAGATAGCTACATACAACTTAAGATACATTGCCATCAGAGAAAAACCCCAGTTAGAGTAACTACGCCGAAGTACGCCGTAGTTACACTCCTTTCGACGTCTGCGCCCTCCTGGTTGGGTGAGACATCGACTTAGAAGCGTCAAGTTAGCCGAGGTTCGTCGACCGTTGGTCTGTTCGAGAGAAGTGTTTGACGGCCGTGACACCCTACCATGGCAGAACCTCTTAGTGCCATGGAAGTTCAAATTCGTGAAGCCCAAGAGGCCCGTGATGCCTTTATGCAAGAGAAGGAGACACTCCTTGTTAAGGTTACGGAACTTGAAGGTAGGCTTGCGACCAATACTCCTCTTCCTCAGGACCACGTTGTTGCCACCCCGTCAACCACCCCTGGTCCTGCTATGGCCTCTAACCCTTCAGCAGCTTCTGACACTCCTGCTCCTGAAGGAGTCAACATTCCTGTAGCTTCAACCGCTCGTGACTCTCTTGAGCCAAAGGTAGCTACTCCAGATCACTTTTCTGGAGCTCGTGCCAAGCTTGAGACCTTCTTAACCCAAGTCAATCTGGTCATGCATCTTCAACCTAGACGCTTTGCTTCAGAAAACTTCAAGGTAATGTACACCACCTCCTTTTTCCGAGACACTGCACTGAACTGGTTTCAACCCTTGCTCTCTCTTGTCTCAGAACCCAATTACTTCCATTCATTTGATCTCTTTGTTACTGAGCTCCGTAAGCACTTTGGTGATTCGGATAGGGTAGCAACAGCAGAGCAAAAACTGTATGAGTTGAAGCAGAAAGGTTCCGTTACTGATTATCTAACCCACTTCCAGCAGCATGTCACCCTTCTACCTTGGGATGATACACCTAAGGCTTTAAAGTTCTACCAAGGTCTCAAGGATGCCATCAAAGACGAGTTGGCTTGTATTGGCCGCCCACAATCTCTTGATAAACTGGCTGAAGCAGCAAATCTTATTGACAACCGCCTCTATGAGCGTGCAGCTGAGAAAGGTAATGGTAATTCAGGTCAAAAAAATTCAAACTCCTCATCAAACAAGAGCCCAAACAATTTTCAAAACAATAATAATTACAGTAAGTACGATAATAACACTAACAAAAACAGCTACAATAACAACAATAAGGCCAATAACAACATTAATAGGAAGAAAGATGACTCTCGTCAAAAGAATGGTAAGCTCACTCCTGATGAATATACTAGGAGGAAAGATGCTGGGTTATGTCTCTACTGTGGCAGTGACAAGCACAAGGTAGACAAGTGTGACTCTAAAAAGTCAAAGGACAAGCCAACTACTCGAGGCAACGTAGCTTTGACTGCACCCATTGAGGATTCGGGAAAAGACAACACACCCAAGGCATCAGCCTAGCTTTTGGGTGCACTGTTAATCCAAGGCTCCCCACAATAATTTTGTCCGCATCTACCAATCACTCTGTAACCACCATCACTTTACCATTCAATCTCAGCCATTCCTCTGTATTTCCCTTTCCGCGCTTGTGGACACAGGCGCTACAGACAATTTCATTGACCCCACTTTTGCCCGGCTCCACTCACTAAGACTCATCACTAGAGACCAACCACTTCGTTCGGAATTGATTAATGGAAGCCATGCTGGCAACATTACCAAACAAGTAACTTTGGGGTTGGTTTATGGGAATGGGTTTGGAACTTTGAAGGCAACCTTCCTCGTCACCAAATTGGGTCATTCCTCAGTTGTTCTTGGCCTTCCATGGCTGAGAAAACAACAATTGTGGTTTGACTGGCTCAACCACACTAACTGTCACAAACTACGCCGTGACACCTCAATTATTCCACCAGCAACAACCCTCCTTTGACCATCAAAACCCCTATCACGTCTTAACCTCTTCACTCTACACGTAACTCAGGACATCTGAGACCAACTAAGGCAAAGTACAGCTGGAGAATAGGTATACTGGGGTCTGGAGCATGAGGGCGGCGAAGTGCGGCAAATTTAGACGGAGTTAGGCTAAGTAGGGACAATGGGAGCAGAAGTCCGGCGAAGTTAGACAAAGTTAGGCTAAGTAGGGACAATGGGAGCAGAAGTACGGCGATGTTCGGCGGAGTTAGTCGAAGGAGGAGAAGGATGGCCGGGGACTCGGGGAAGTTGGACGAAGTGCGTTGAAGTACGTCAAAGCGCAAGAGGGTTGGGTGAACGTCTAGGAGGAGTAGATAATATTAGCTGAGAAGATCGCTGAAGTTCTTCAGCGATCCTTGATTGTTGTCATTAGTGAAAGATTGATAGAGATAGCTACATACAAATTAAGATACATCGCCATCAGAGAAAAAGCCAGTTAGAGTAACTACGTCAAAGTACGCCGTAGTTACACTCCTTTCAACGTCTGCGCCCTCCTGGTTGGGTGAAACATCAACTTTGAAGCGTCAAGTTAGCCGAGGTTCGTCGACTGTCGGTCTGCTAGAGAGAAAGTGCTCGATGGCCGTGACACTGACTTTCCCCCTCACGTGGAACCTGCACCCCCACGCCCACGCCCGCTTGATGCTGTGCAACCTCGAGCGTCTCACATAAGCTTACCACCCACCAATACATCTTTAGTCTCTGCAACAGCATTGGGGAAGGCTGTCACGAACTACGCCGTGACACCTCAATTATTCCACCAGCAATGACCCTCCTTTGACCATCCAAACCCCTATCACGTCTTAACCTCTCCACCCTACATGTAACTCAGGACATCTGAGACCAACTACGGCAAAGTACAACGGGAGAATAAGGTATACGGGGGTCTGGAGCATAATGACGGCGAAGTGCGGCAAAGTTAGGCGGAGTTAGGGGGGACTAGGGACAAAGGGAGCAGAAGTACAGCAAAGTTAGACCAAGTTAGGCTGAGTAGGGACAATGGAAGCAGAAGTGCGGCGAAGTTAGACGGAGTTAGGCTGAGTAGGGACAATGGAAGCAGAAGTGCGGCGATGTTAGGCGGAGTTAGTTGAAGGGAGGAGAAGGACAACCGGGGACTCGGGGAAGTTGGATGAAGTGCGTTGAGGTATGTCTGAGCGCAAGAGGGTTGGGTGAACATCTAGGAGGAGTAGATAATATTAGCTGAGAAGATTGCTGAAGTTCTTCAGCGATCCTTGATTGTTGTCAGTAGTGAAAGATTGATAGAGATAGCTACATTCAAATCGAGATACATTGCCATCAGTAAAACAAAACCCTAGTTAGAGTAACTACCTCGAAGTACGCCGTAGTTACACTCCTTTCAATGTCTGCGCCCTCCTGGTCGGGTGAGACATCGACTTTGAAGCGTCAAGGTGGCTGAGGTTCGTTGACCGCCGGTCTGTTAGAGAGTAGTTGTTCGACGACCTTGACAAAGGCTGCGCAAGAAGGACTACTTGGTATACTCTCAGCCGCATCCATTCCATCTTCAACCCTCCCACAAAGCTCTGTCATAGAAGTACCCGCGGCCTACAAAGACTTCAGTGATGTTTTCAGCAAGCTAAAGCTGAAACTCTCCCTCCACACCGACCATATGATCATCACATTCCACTTGAAGAAGGAAAAAAGCCCCCATATGGCCCCATATACTCACTTTCTAGTGTCGAGCTGGAAGCTTTAAAAAAATACTTAGATGAAAATTTAGCAAATGGCTTCATAACACCCTCAGAATCATCTGCTGGTGCCTCTATACTTTTTGAAAGAAAAAAGATGGTTCTCTACGTCTCTGTGTAGATTACCGTGGACTCAATAAAATAACACTAAAAAACAGGTATCCTCTTCCACTAATTCCAGAACTTCTCGACAGACTCACAGACACCAAATTTTATACCAAAATTGACCTCCGAGGTGCCTATAATCTCCTTCGAATAGCTAAAGGTGATGAGTGGAAGACTGCGTTCCGCACTCGCTATGGGCTTTTTGAATATCGAGTCATGCCATTTGGCTTGACCAGTGCTCCCGCATCTTTCCAAAATCTAATGAATTACAACTTCCGGGATATGCTGGACAAATTTGTGATCATCTACCTTGATGATATCTTGGTCTACTCAAAATCATCGGAAGAACATCAGACCCATGTACGTCAAGTGCTGCAGCGCCTTGGGAAGTACAGCTGTATGCCAAACTCGAAAAGTGTGAATTTCACACAACAACCACTTCGTTCTTAGGTTTCATCATCTCGCCTAAGGGCATTTCAATGGACTCTGCCAAGGTTGACTCAATCCTGGAGTGGCCAATACCTAAGACAGTGAAGCAAGTTCAATCCTTTTTAGGATTTGCCAACTTTTACCGGCGTTTCATCAAGGACTTTGCTCAGAAATCAAAGGCTCTACATGACCTCACCCATAAGGAGATTAAGTTCATGTGTAACGATGAGGCCCAAAGGTCCTTTGTTGCTCTGAAAGAATCCGTCCAGTCAGATGCCTTACTACGGCATTTTGACCCCTCACGTCCTGCAATTATCCAAGCAGACGCTTCTGACTATGCAATTGGAGCTGTTCTTTTACAGGACTTTAACAATGGCCTTCAACACCCAGTCGCATTCTTCTCCCGAAAAATGCTCCCAGCAGAGCAAAGTTATGAAATACATGATAAGGAACTCCTTGCCATTGTATCAACAAATCACAATATCAAATCAGCAAGCAGCAAGATCATATAATTGTAAACATCTACCAGCTCCATTCTATCCCATTGGAAGTCAAGTTTGGCTATCTACTGAAAATATCAAGTCCAAAAGACGAACAAAAGAGTTACATTAAATATTCATTGGACCCTTCAAGGTGCCTGCATTCATTCCTCCTCAACAATACCGACTTGATCTTTCATCCTCCATTTCCATCCACAATGTGTTCAATGTCAAGCTACTGGAACCATACATACCCAATAAGATTCCTAACCAAATAAGCCCTCCCCCTCCACCAGTGGATATTGAAGGTGACCTTGGATATGAGGTCGAAGAAATCCTTGATGTCCGGGTGAAGAAGGGAAAGAAGGACCTGTGGGAATATCTTGTAAAATGGGTAGGTGTTACGGAGTAACAACGAATCGAGAGAACTCCATCGAGTTCGACAAATTAGGAAAGAGAACGGCGAGAGTTGGAGGCAGTGCTGCAGTAGGTAGGGACGGGTTTTCCCTTTTCGAGATTTCCCCACTGGGTTTGCTCAAAAGCGGTTTTTCACCTGTCCGAGTATGTACATAGACGCTTGCAGTATGACTGAGAGGAGGACGCGGACTCTTGTAGATAGTATATAGTGCAATCAGCAAAGTACCAACTTTGCTGATTCTTCAATATCATTCTTTGGCTACATCGATTGCAGAGGAGACACGATCCATCACATAGCACCAGAGACACATAGATTCCTACGAGACTTCCATCGAGTTCGACCCAACCTGCGACCTAGTCATCGTGTTTCCAGTACCGTTACAGTAGGGTACAGTGCAGAAGACAACACATGGGAACCTCTTCCTAATGTCCTTAATGCGCTTGGCAGTGTATACGATTTCCATCATCAATAAATACCCTAGCAAACCTCAACCTCCTTCCCTTCCTCCCCCTCCTCTTGAATACGAAGTGCCAAAGCCTACATGCGCTCTTCAGATCAGGCTCATAGGTGAGCTGTTCATGGTTTGGCGTATTGTTGGAGGGCTCTCGCGTCTTCCTCCTTCCAGTAGCGTTCAAATTTTTTCTCTTTCCTCCTTCCCCCCCTCTTCCGGGATTGAACACTTTATTGGCTTCTATTTCCTCCGTCTCCAACACTCTTTCCATCTGAGCTGGTCCCTAGCTTATCATAGACTACCCGTTTACTCCTTGAGATTCATGCCTTCTTCATCTTGATTGCGTTCTTGAACACAAGCTGCGGCGTCCGCTGGTAAGGGCCATCGGAGATTTATATCCCCCCTTTCGTCCGGATGTCTCCAATTTGGGGTTCTCACCCGGATTTGTGCTTCTTGCCCTGTGACGCTCACGATCTGCATCAGAAAAAAGCTGGGACTCAGGGCTATCCAGGGATACCTGATTCATGGCCGTACCTCTTACGGCTGAGGAACCGCAGCTCCCCAAAGTCAGACCACCTTTCTTCCCCTACGTCTCAAACACTTATTTCCCCTTCCTTACACCCCCTGCCACTCGGATCCAATTTACGCAGGAGCAACTGGACAAATTTTCATCTCCAAGCAGTTTCCTGAAAGCTGAGAAACTCAGCTACTCAAAAATACCCTTGTCCACCCCGTACATGCAGGGACAAACCCATGATCCTACGCTGAACAACAAGTGTAGAAAACTCTGTGTATTCCTTCCTCCTTGAACCCCATTTTTGATCCTCACGGAAATTACAACTGCGTGATAACGGTAGCAGCTAGAGAGACTCTTGAGGGCTCTACGTAACACTCACACCAAGCGGGACAATAACTGGGGTTTTCTCTGATGGCGATGTCTCTTGATTTGAATATAGCTATCTCTATCAATTTTTCACTACTGACAAGTATTTGAGGATTGCTGAAGAACTTCAGCGAACTTCTCAGCTAATATTATCTATCCCTCCTAGATGTTCATCCAACCCTCTCGCACTTAGACGTACTTCAACACACTTCGTCCAACTTCCCCAAGTCCCCAGCCATCCTTCTCCTCCTTTGACTAACTCCGCCTAACATCGCCGCACTTCTGCTTCCATTGTTCCTACTCAGCCTAACTCCATCTAACTTTGCCGTACTTCTGCTCCCATTGTCCCTACTCGGCCTAACTCTGTCTAACTTTGCCGTACTTCTGCTCCCATTGTCCCTACTCGGCCTAACTCTGTCTAACTTTGCCGTACTTTGGCTTCCATTGTCCCTAGTTCCCCTAACTCTGCCTAACTTCGCCCCACTTTGCCGTCCTTACGTTCCAGACCCCCGTATACCTTATTCTCCCGTTGTACTTCGCCGTAGTTGGTCTCAGATGTCCTGAGTTACGTGTAGGGTGAAGAGGTTAAGACGTGATAGGGGTTTTGGTGGTCAAAGGAGGGTCATTGCTGGTGGAATAATTGGGGTGTCACGACGTAGTTTGTGACAAAACAACCACCATCATCAACCTTCCTTTCACCATCACCAAACCCCTATCCACCATCAACCACCACAACTTCAACCCGCTGAGACCAACTGCGACAAAGTTACGGGAACCTAGGGAGTATTAGTCACAACAACCCCGCCTAGCAGAGAACTCCGACAAAGTTAGGAGAAGGAGATTGAGGAATGCAGGGTAGAGTGGAGGAAGTAAGACACAGTGCGGCAAAGTGAGCGGGTAGGACATCAGGGATATGGCAAGGTACAGCAAAGTTGAATGAAGAGGACTGAGTGTGAGGCTGTGCAGGAGTTGAGGGATATTCTATGAGGAGAGAAGAGAAGTATAGATAGTTTACAGATTGCTGAACTTCTTCAGCAATCCTTGATTGTTGTCAGTAGCCAGAAAGGTGTTCAGTAGCTACAACCTTTGAGTTAGGGAGAGCTTCCACTCAGGAATTTTGACGCACCACGGCGAAGTTAGCCGCAGTTCATTGACAATCATCTTATTGAATATCACTCGACGTATTACCACAGCGTGGTCAGCTGTAGTTCCCCAATGAGTACCCTGTCTCAGTGAGACATTGACACCCTAGTACAATGTAGTTACCCGAGGTTTGTCAACCATCGGTCAGTAGAAGAGAAGAGTCGATGAATTTGACATGGAGGCAAGGTGGAGGTGTAAGGTATGAATACCCCTTCCGCAAGCCCTCTTCCTTGTTGATGAATTCTCAAAAGTTACACTTCTAGGCTTCTCATTTTTCGGTCTTGGTCACTGCCTAGCTCTCAGGTCGTAACACCTTTACTGACCAACAGTTGACAAACCTCGGCTAACTACGTCGTACTAGGGTGCCAATGTCTCACGGAGACAGGGTACTTGTTGGGGAACTACGGCTAAGTACGCTGTAGTAATACGTTGAGTGGTAAACTATAAGGTGATCGTTGGTGAAATGCGGCTAGTAGCGGCTGTCAATTCTACTTTTTGCGCACACAGATTTCCAAATTGGGTAATTCTCACCCAAATCTGTCTTTGAATCTCCAAACACCAAAATATCATCTGGAGATTTAAAGACTTCTTCAATATCGGCTCCCTTGTAATAAAAGTAATGATAAATTGTAGAGAAAACTCTGGGGATCATGTACATACTTGAAGCATTGTGTAACTCGAAGAAATGACTCCACAAGAGCCAGACAAAGTTAACTACTAGATTGCAGTTGGATGTTTGCGCAAAAACACGGGCCCGCCGGAAGTTAGAATTGACACCTGCTAGTCTCAGCATGGCACGTTGGACTCCTGGGTGGTAGTTCTTCCTAACTCAATGGTTGTATATCACGCCTGCGGGTAGACTGCAATAGCGTAGGGATTGCTTCAGGCACTGAAGGGTATAGTCTCTAACTTGTCAAGCGAGATAACTGCCTTAGGTACTGAGGGGCCAGAGAGTACTGGGTTGGAACCAGTTGAGTAACTTCTCTCACTGGGAGGGGAGGATCAGGATAGGGAGACAAGAAGTAAGAGGAGCTTCATTGCTGAAGAAGTTACTGAAAAGTATGAGTTTATATAGACAATCCCTGATTACAAACGGGATGGCCAGTCTGGTCATTCTTGCTCTCAGATTACCATTAGCATTGAGAAGAAGAAACTACAAGATAGAAATGTCCTCCTTATATCTTTTCCAAGGGACTTCTGAGTCGCAAACTATTTGTATGATTTTGGGGGTTTTTCATATGAATTCATGTGAATTTGTGGTCATTTCATATGAATTTGTGCTCAGTTCGTATGAATTCAGGTGAACTTGTGTGAAGTTGTATGAATTCAGGTGAACTCATGTGAACTTGTATGAATTCAGGTGAACTCAGTGAATTTGTATGAATTTGTAAGAAATCATATGAAATCATATGAAATCATATGAAATCATATGAAATCATGTGAAATCATATGAAATCATGTGATATCATATGAACAGCTTAAAAATCCCTGAATCACAGGTCACAACTTTACCAAGTCGTGAACTGTCGGTCAGCTGAGAAGATCAGAAACAATGTTTGTGACATCAACCCAGTTCCGGTTCACATCTACAATGGTCGCTCCTCCTCCACTCCTCCACTAATTTTGGGACTGTAATAGTGAGCCTTACAGCGCAAACGCACATCTGAAAAGGGTGATGTATCGACACATCCTTCTTGTGAAGGTTGCCAGTTATTCACAATTCTAGGTTTTCTGATTGTGAGATTCTCAAAGAATGTGTCAAGGATACTGCCCACCCTGGGACAGAGGACAAAGGACAAGGGGACAAGGACTAGGAGTGACAAAGAATATACTTAAGATAACAAGACTGAGTCCAACAAGGAATGGGACTGTGACCCAAGGAATGTCTCTGGCTTGTCTAACAAGACTAGGAAGGACTTGCACCGGAACTGTAACTGGACTGGACTGGACTCAAAGAAAGGGTGGCAATGGAAATGACTTTTGATCAAGAACTAAAGAAGAAGTATGTAAAACTATGAGGGGTTTATATCTATAAAACAGGTGTTCTACCAGGTGGAGTCGTCCTGCGTAGGAAACCGTCGTAATCCTCGCCTTCCCTACTGTTTTCTAACTCACAGCAACTGACTGCGCCCTGTTCTCGCCGTGCTGCATATAATACGCTGTTGACTGCACGCAGAAGTACGCATGACGATGTAAACCATACGTTCGCCTAAAATCTAACTAAACTAAAGTCTTGGGTCTAATGCCATACCAGGCATACTAACTGAGGATAACATAACTAACTAAAGGTTCAGGTCTCTTGCCTCAAAGGCATCAGAGCAGAACTAAAACATGCGGAAACTGATACTTGTGATTCATGACAGGAGCTCCCCCTCTAAGGGCGAAGTCCTCTGAGCCGGGATGACCTACGCTGAGGTCTTTTGAAAGTTTGTGGAGTGTTTTGTTGTGAAGGTTGTTTTGTACGAGGAGTTGACTGATTTGATGTCAAGGACGGGAAGTGCTGACTAGGATCTTTGAGATGTTGATGACGGAAGGCTCTAAAAGCTGTAGTGTTGTGAATTTCTTCCCAAGGTTCCCATGAGTCATGAGCACTGGAGTAATCTCTCCAATGTACTAAGTAATCATATCCTCCATCATTACTGATGCGAGAATCCAGAATTCTATCAATGATGTATTCTTGTTCTCCTTCAACTTCAATCCTTGGTGGTGGATCTTGAGGTTGACTTGGAAGACCTGAGCGCACTGGCTCCAAGAGGTTGACATGGAAGACAGGGTGAATGTTCATACTAGGAGGAAGGTTGAGTTTGAATGCCAGAGGTGAAGGTGTGGCTTCAATGATCTTGAATGGTCCAAGCATGCGTTGATCAAGCTTGATTGATGGCCTTGAGGTTTTGATATTTTTTCGATTAATGAACACCATATCTCCAACTTTGAAGATAGGTTCACCTTCTTGAGTGATTTCTTTGATCTTACGATCATAGAACTTGGAATGAGATAACTGCGCCTTCTTGATGTTGTTGATGAGTTCATTGTGAAGATCACGGAGTTTGTTGATGTGATCTGAGGCTGCAGGGACAGAGGTACTAGGAAGTGGTGGTGGACTAGAAGGATCAAGGGGATGGTAACCATAGGTTGCTTCAAAGGGAGAATGTTTGGTGGTTGCATGAACTGAGTTGTTGTAACTGAATTCTGCCAGATCTAAGAGTGATGACCAGTTTGCTTGGTCATAATCACAAAATGTTCTGAGATAATTTTCTAAGACTTGATTGACACGTTCAGTCTGACCATCTGACTGAGGATGGAAAGCTGTTGAGAAGCTTGGTTTGATGCCTAGTCCATTGACAAAGGCTCGCCAGAAATGAGAGTTGAAGATTCGTCCACGATCTGAGACTATATCTTGAGGTATACCATGAAGTCGCATGATTTGTTGTCGGAACATCACAGCTAATTGAGGAGCGTCAAAGCCATCTTCTTTATATGGAATAAAGTGGGCTTGCTTGGTAAGACGATCAACAAAAACCATGATTGAATCAAAGTTACTGGATAAAGGGAGTTTGACTATGGCATCCATACTAATAGATTGCCAAGGACGAGAAGGAACAGGGAGTGGTTGTAAGGGTCCATAGGGTTTATGTCGTGGGATTTTATTTCGTGCGCAAGTGTGACACCCATTAACATAGGTGTTGACAAATTGTCGCAAGCCAGGGAAGTAATAATGACGTGTCAGGAGATCATGTGTCTTTGCCTGACCAAGGTGACCAGAGGTACTAGAGTTGTGGACCTGTTGGAGAAGGTCTGTCTTGAGTTCAAAGTTGTCTGGAACATAGATTCTTTCTTTGAATCTTATGATGTTGTCGGAGTAGCTGAAACCTTCAAGCTTTTGTTGAAGTTCAGGAGGACAAGGAGTACTGGGATTGCATAGATAAGGCATGAGCTCTTGAAGGGTATTATCTTCAGGCTGTAGTTGCTTTATCCTTGCCAAGATGTTGGAGTGAAGTGGAGAAGTGGGGTCAAGAGAGGGTTGTTGAAGGGCACCAAGAATGAGTTGACCAGGTTTGAAAAGTGTGCGTGGAGGTGCCTCAGCAGCTCTACTCCCCCCCTGAAGGTCTTGACGTCTCGTCAAGGCGTCTGGTTTACCCATGGCGGTTCCAGGTCTATGGATGACTCGATAATCATAATTTGCCATGAGTTCTGCCCATCTAGCTTGACGTCTATTAAGTACTTTGGTTGTTGCAAAGTATTCTAAATTCTTGTGATCCGTATAAACTGTAATTTCTTGAGCTCCTTCAAGGTATGGTCGCCATTGTTTAAATGCTTCTACAATAGCAAGCATTTCCTTGTCGTAAATTTCATAGTTGAGTTCGGCTGGTTGAAGTTTTCTTGAGTAATATGCCACAGGGTGAAGTTGATTTTTGTCGTCCGGATGGGAGAGGATACCAGCAATTGCAAAGTCAGAAGCATCTGTCTCTATTACAATTGGTTTGGTTGGCTGGAAATGGTGGAGAATTGGAGCAGTGGTAAAGGATTTCTTGAGAGAGTTGAATGATTCTTCTTCAGAGTCACCCCATTCAAACTTAACATCCTTGCGGAGCAGTCTGGTTAATGGTGCAGTGACTTTGGAGTAAGACTTGATGAATCGCCTGTAGACGTTGGCAAAGCCAAGGAAGACTTGAATATCGTGAACGGAGTGTGGTGTTGGCCAGTCGAGTACTGCGGAGACCTTTTTGGGATCCATACTGATACCTTTGTCTGAAACAATGTATCCTAGAAAGTCGACTTGATGTTGAAAGAAGGTACACTTCTCTGCTTTGGCCCAAAGATTATTTTTCTGAAGTCGCTCAAGCACCTGCTTGACGTGACTGATATGATCCTCTCTTGTTTTGCTGAAGATGAGGATGTCGTCTAAATAGACAATGACGAAGATGTCGAGATAATCCCTCAGCACATCATTGATGAGGTACTGGAAGGATGCTGGAGCGTTGGTGAGCCCAAAGGGCATGACAAGATATTCAAAGAGACCATAGCGGGTCCTGAAAGCTGTTTTCCACTCATCACCATCCTTGATGCGGATGAGGTTATAAGCTGCACGGAGATCAATTTTTGTAAACCATGATGCCTCCTTAAGTCGGTCCAGGGATTCTTGAGTAAGGGGCAGGGGATATCGATTTTTACGAGTAATGAGTAAGGGGCAGGGGATATCGATTTTTACGAGTAATTTTGTTGAGTCCTCTGTAATCTACACAGAGTCGGAGGGAACCATCAGGCTTCTTGACAAAGAGTATTGGAGCGCCTGCTGGACTAGAACTGGGTCGGATAAAACCTTTCTTGAGATTGTCTTTAAGATATTCGTCCAAAGCTTTAAGCTCAACTTCAGACAGCGAGTAGATGGGTCCAAAAGGTGGTCGCGAGTCACCCTCAATAGGAATGGAATGATCATACTGGCTATGTTCTGGGAGCTGGTCCGAGTTGGATTTCTTGAAGACTTCTAGAAAGTCATGGTATTCGGGGGGTATACTCTTGATTAGAGTATCCATATCAGGATCAGGATCATCATCGTCCTCAGCCGGAAGAGAATCAATGAGCGAAGTGACTTGGGAAACGGAGGTGATGCCATAGACACAAGCTTTCTTTAGAGCATTGCGAAAGGCTGCTGCACTCACAAGGGTGACCTTGGGAGGAGCCGGAGTGTGAACAGGGACTGGATACTGGAGTGACTTTTGTCGATTGTGTTGTTGCTGGAGAGACCGCGGAGCACCATGCTGTCGTTCGATCTTGCTGGAAGGAATCCTCTCAGAGGCACACTGGCCATCTTGAGTGGTCGAAGGGGAACCTGAGCCACACTGGCGCTCTAGGTTACTAGACTGGAGTGGGGTACCGGAATCGTTTCCCATCAACTTGTCAGGTTGACTGCACTGCATTCTACAGTACGGGGAAGAGAAAACAATGGTCTGACGGGACCAATTGATAACAGGATTGTGTCGGGAGAGCCATGGAAGGCCAAGAATGACTGGATAGTCGCCAAGGGAAGTAATGTCAAGGGAGATCATCTCCTCATGACAAGTCGAAGTGGTTTGAATAGAGAGGTTGATGGGGCCAGAGTGATGTGTGATAGCACCAGAAGATATTTTTCTCCCATCAATAACATGAAGGTCCATAGGTTCATCCTTCTGGACTGCCGGGATGATAGTTTTGTTGAGGAAGGTCTTGTTCAGAAAGCTGTTGGTAGCTCCTGAATCAAGCATAGCAAAAGTGTTGTAGTGTTTGTTACCAAAGGAGAGTGTGATTGGAATACACAAATGCTCCTGAGGATTGTCCGGATTAATTGATAGTGTTGAAGCCGTTGCCGTTTGATGTTTGAAATACCGTGATTGTTGCCCATGATTAGGCCCCAGAGCAGGGGACTGAATTAGGCCTGGGGCTGGGAGTTTTTTGCTTCCTGAGGTACTGTGACAGCATTGACCGTTGCAGGAGACTGCTGCTTGTTGGGTCTTGCCTTGCATTGATTGGCAGTATGACCGGGCTTTCCACAGTATAGGCAAAGTTTATTCTTGAATCGATGCTCACGTTCTTCAGTTGTAAGAGGAGCAAAGCGAGGACGGATAGCATCCACTTCCATTGGGACAGGAGTGAATGTGCTGGACGGGGTAAACAAAGTGCGAGTGGATTGAGTAGTGAAGGATCTAGAGTTGTTGTTACGTGGAGTGGTAGGCTGGAGTGTGTTGACTGGAGTGACACCTCTCTTACGGTTGAAGAGTAGGTTGTCCCAAATGATAGACTTGTCAATGAGATCCTTGAGTGTCTTGAAGTCATTTGGTGTGAGAATTTTATCCTTTACACTTTCCTTCAATCCGTCAAAATAGGCATGGCGGAGTGCCTCATCATTCCAATGAAGAAAGGCCGCATGCTTTTCAAAGAGTGCTGCATACTCTGATGCTGACTTATTTTGCTTGAGTGTCTTGAGTTTATGACGTGATGTCTCGATGATGTCGGAATCACCAAATGTCTTTTCAAACTCCTTTTTGAAAGCTTCCCAATTATCAACCCATACTGGACGGGTATCAGTTTGGTTCATAGCATGAGGCATGTACCATTGATAAGCTTCATCCTTGAGAAGATTTGAGGTGAAGGCAATCTTGGTTTTATCAAGAGCATAGGTGCGGGGTTGGGTAGCAAAGACTGTGTCACACTTCAAAAGAAATACCAAAGCTTCATCTTTATGGCCACTGAAGGGCGGTGGTGAAGTTATCTTTGGTTCCTTTGTGAAGGTGGGAGTGGAGTGAGAGTGAGATTGAACCTGTGCATTATGTAATTCTTGCTCAAGGTGAATAATGCGGGCTTGCATCTCCTGGAGGATATCTTCAGCAGTTGGAATAGGTTGGGAGTGTATGTCAAGGGTAATGGGGATAGGTTCAGACATAATGAATTACTTAGCTAGAGTGTTGATAATTATCCAAAGTATTACTAAAGACCAAGCTAATTCCTATTATTATTATTCTAACTGAAGTCAAAGTTATATTATCTGAATTATGTTTTCTTATTTGTTCAAGTTGAAGATGTATCACGATATGTTTCTTGAAGATCGAAGTGTTCTAAATTATTATTGAAGTTGATATTATTTCTTGAAGTTTATATTATTTCTGGATGTTATTGAACAAGGGTGTAACTAGACTAGACAAGAGAAAAGACAAGCAAGGACAAAGGAGTGAGTTCTTGATACTGTCAAGGATACTGCCCACCCTGGGACAGAGGACAAAGGACAAGGGGACAAGGACTAGGAGTGACAAAGAATATACTTAAGATAACAAGACTGAGTCCAACAAGGAATGGGACTGTGACCCAAGGAATGTCTCTGGCTTGTCTAACAAGACTAGGAAGGACTTGCACCGGAACTGTAACTGGACTGGACTGGACTCAAAGAAAGGGTGGCAATGGAAATGACTTTTGATCAAGAACTAAAGAAGAAGTATGTAAAACTATGAGGGGTTTATATCTATAAAACAGGTGTTCTACCAGGTGGAGTCGTCCTGCGTAGGAAACCGTCGTAATCCTCGCCTTCCCTACTGTTTTCTAACTCACAGCAACTGACTGCGCCCTGTTCTCGCCGTGCTGCATATAATACGCTGTTGACTGCACGCAGAAGTACGCATGACGATGTAAACCATACGTTCGCCTAAAATCTAACTAAACTAAAGTCTTGGGTCTAATGCCATACCAGGCATACTAACTGAGGATAACATAACTAACTAAAGGTTCAGGTCTCTTGCCTCAAAGGCATCAGAGCAGAACTAAAACATGCGGAAACTGATACTTGTGATTCATGACAGAATGAGTCATTTGAAAGGACCAATTGTGCAGCTTTAGCAGCTCTCAGAAGCAGGTATGGATCATGAGGCCTTGAGGATGGATTTTGACTCTGACTTTGCTGTTTCTCCATTTCTGCCTGGAATCTTTCAATGGCCTTTAACATCTGTACAGATAAAGTTTCATCTGCGGAGTCAACAAACAAGCGCCAAGCTGCATCATTGTCACTCCATGTCATACATCACCTACTTGCCACCTAAGATAGTCTTTTCCATGTTCCCACGCTTGAAACACATCTGGAACACTTCCCCTGACCCCCTTTGGCTTAGGTTTATTGTTCTTGATCTCCATCAACAATCCCTATTGTCATCTCTTACACTCCCACACATGAAACACCTACCCCTGAACCCCTGTGCCCTTCATCTATTGTTCCCCTTTGTGTTCACATGCTTGACACACTTACCCCTAGACTCCTGTGTCCTCTGTCTATTGTTCCTTGTCGCACCCATGAACCTGGAACAGTTACCCCTGGACCCCTGGGTCCTTTGCCTATTGTTCTTAGTTTCACTTGTCAGGATTGCCAATTCTCTTGAAGAGAATTGCAAATATGTTTAGCAGTTCTTCCGTAGCTTATTGTTGTAGTTTTGCAGTTCAGCCTGTTTTGCTGTGGATATAAACCCCCTCCAAACAGGTTGTTCCCCACCTATGAATCTCATGTTGAATCTCATGTTGAATCTCATTCTCAACTTGTCAGTCCAGTCAGATCCAGCCTGACATCTTGCAGTTCTCTCAGTTCTCTCAGTTCTCTCAGTTCTCTCAGTTCCCTCAGTTCCCTCAGTTCCCTCAGTCCCTTGTCACCCTCTGTATACTCCTCAAGCTCTACGAGCCAGAGACAAGTATTGGGTTACAGCCCCATCTCAGTCACCTTGCCTACCCTCTGGGGATTAGACCCCGCCCGTGACACTCCAAACAACAAAGGACTGAATGTCAAGGCCGTCGAACAACTACTCTCTAACAGACCGACGGTTGATGAACCTCGGCTAACTTGACGCTTCAAAGTCGATGTCTCACCCAACCAGGAGGGCGCAGACGTCAAAAGGAGTGCAACTACGGTGTACTTCGACGTAGTTACTCTAACTAGGGTTTTGTTTTACTGATGGCAATGTATCTCGATTTGAATGTAGCTATCTCTATCAATCCTTCACTACTGACAACAATCAAGGATCGCTGAAGAAGTTCAGCAATCTGTAAACTATCTATACTTCCCTTCTCTTCTCATAGAATGTCCCTCAACTCCTGCACAGCCTCGCGCTCAGTCCTCTTCGCTCAACTTCGCCGTACCTCGCCATATCCCCAATATCCTACTCCGCTCACTTCAACTAACTTCGCCTAACTTCCCCTACTCCGCTCTCCCTCGGTTTCCTTCTCTTAACTTCGCCGTAGTTCTCCGCTAGGCGGGGTTATCGTGACAAATACCCTTTAGGTTCTCGTAACTTCATCGTAGTTGGTCTCAGTGGTTCAGGTTATGGTGGTTGATGGCGGATAGTGGTTCGGTGATGGTGAAAGGAGGGTCGGTGGTGGTGGTTGTCAGGGATGTTACGATATGGTTCGTGACACTCAAGCACCTTTGAGAGATCCAGATATCCTTCCGCTGCTGAGGGAGTCAGGGCTGCTTGGAGTGTTTTGTCAGTGATTGCTGTGTTCACACCCACAGATGATTGCCATTTTTTGGAGGAAGGCGGAGGTTGTCCCGGCAGATGTGCACTCTTGTATGGATCGCGTAGGAGTGAGTTTATATCGTATCCATAGTGCCATTTTGGTTTCTTTAGGAGTTCTGCCCTAGCATTGATGGCAACCGTATGAACAGCTCCAGCATCTCGTAAGTTTGTGGATTCACTTGATTCCAAACGTGTTATAGTGTCATAGTAGGCCGTTCTGAATGCTTTGATGTTATCCGTTGGATCCCACCCGCACATGATTGACCAAAAACCGGAGTCTTTATCCCAATAAAGTCCGGCAACGATCACAAATAGTTCAGCACCCTCTGGGAAATGGGCACTCATATTGGTGAATTGCTCAGTAAGGGCGAGAACAATTTTGTCAGTAGGGGCAAGTTCATTGGACTTGGAGAACGGGTGGCTCTGCAGCTGCGGTATCCTCATATCTTTAGACCCTGCTTCAAGGGAACCATCATGTTGTTCCACAAGGATTCTCTGCACTCCTGTGGAGGCAATGTAAGGCACTATGATGCAGAAATCTTGCCACTCTGCCTGCCCAAGCACTCGAGTTGCCCCCTCCATGGCAATTCTCTGAGTCAGGCAGGGCTCATTGCTAAATGGGGGTAAGCTGTCTCTAAGTTTATCTAATTCTTTCACATATACCTCATGGAGTCTCTGTACCTCCGTAGAAATAGGAAGACCATAAGGAGGGGCCATTTCTACCTTGGTTTTTTTGTCAGCCCTACTCCAGTAAACGGTGACAACCAAGACTTTTGAGGGATCACCAGAGTCAAGATCTGGTCTTGAGATGGAGAGTAAAGGATGTTGTGGAGTGTCACAGGCGTCGAACAACCACTCTCTAACAGATTGACGGTCGACGAACCTCGGCTAACTTGACGCTTCTAAGTCAATGTCTCACCCAACCAGGAGGGTGCAGACGTCGAAAGGAGTGTAACTACGGCGTACTTCGACGTAGTTACTCTAACTGGGCTTTCTCGCTGATGGTGATGTATCTTAATTTGTATGTAGCTATCTCTATTAATCTTTCACTACTGACAACAATCAAGGATCGCTGAAGAACTTCAGCGATCTTCTCAGCTAATATTATCTACTCCTCCTAGACGTTCACCCAACCCTCTTGCGCTTTGGCGTACTTCAACGCACTTCGTCCAACTTCCCCGAGTCCCCGGCCATCCTTCTCCTCCTTCGACTGACTCCGCCGAACATCGCCGTACTTCTGCTCCCATTGTCCCTACTTAGCCTAACTCCGTCTAACTTCGCTGTACTTCTGCTCCCATTGTCCCTACTTAGCATAACTCCGTCTAACTTCGCCGCCCTCATGCTCCAGACCCCGGTATACCTTACTCTCCCGCTGTACTTTGCCGTAGTTGGTCTCAGATGTCCTGAGTTACGTGTAGAGTGAAGAGGTTAAGACGTGATAGGGGTTTTGATGGTCAAAGGAGGGTTGTTGCTGGTGGGATAATTGAGGTGTCACGGTGTAGTTCGTGACATGGAGGCAATATCCACAGTTCACGGTCTCCCAGTCTGTCACCAAGACTCTTCCTGGCATTGCATGCCAGATCTAGAACTGCCTCCGGATCCGTTCTGTCAATGGTTGGATTAGCCTTATACCAATCTGATACCGATGTCAGAAACATTTGAGACAATTTGTTCATTTGGGAATCCGCACCATCCTCAATACCTATTTGAAAAGTCCCATCATTTTCACCCCACACAAGGACACTCATGAGCATGGTGGTACCATCATGGTTGGGAGCTGACCGCCGAAGCAGTGAGAAGATCTCCGAGGCGCCTCGTGAGATGGCAGATAAGTTGGGATCCCCATGGGGGACGACAAAAGCCTGTTGGTCAGTAAATGGTCTCTGAGTTCAAGGTCGGACACTAGCCATGACTAATAAGAAAATGTCCCAAGAAGGTGACCTGACGATAGATATTCCGGGTCGAAACGTCAACGGTAGGACGGATAGAGAAACTTGTCTGATTCTTCCAACGCCGCTGGTCAGATTACTAAGATTAGACCGGAGACAGTGGCAAACGATTTCACTTACATTTCCTCATTGATGATTGAGGGCGATGACGGACTGACAAAGGTGGGGGTAGGCAGGGTGATGTCATGAAATGAAAGGAGTGGCAGTCTAGTCTTTAGCCCTGCTCCACCTCTGCACTCCTTCCTCTCATCTCGCCTTCCACCAAAGCCTTTCATGTATTCATCGCCTCTTCTCACATCCACAACCCATATCTCCATAAGTCGCTTGGCCGAAAGTGGTGTTGTCGAGACGTGCGATTGCTAAGAGGTCAGGGAAAGCCGGGCTTTCACGTACAGGCTCGCCTTCCTTAGCACCTCAAAGACCTTTGCTGTAGCTCCTCTTAATTCTTCCAATGTATTCCCACAGATGAGAATATCATCAATGTAGACTACAACTCCATTTCCCAGCAGTTCTCTAAACACCTTGTTCAGGAAGTGTTGGAAAACGGCAGGGGTGTTTCATAGTCTGTCACGAACAACAAGAGACTCAAACATACCATACTCTGTTTTAAACGCAGTTAGGTGTTCATGTCCTTCTGTCACCCTCAGTAATTGGTACGCTCCAATCAGGTCCAGCTTGCTGAAGTACCTTGCTTTCCCAAGTTGTTTGACCAATCCATTTATGGGTGTGATTGTCATCTGTCAATTGGATATGTTCAAGCGGTGTCAAAGTAAACAAAGCGGGGATGTTCCTGATGACCCAAAGTACTATCCGTCAGAACGTCCTACAATGACACAGGTCGCTAAGTAGCTTCAATCTGACTGACAACTTATATACGGGATAAATACATTTGAGGGCTGAATGACTAGTTGGGACAACTATTCTTTCCAGTTGTCTCTGTCAATCCCTCTCCATACCACTTTTCTCCCAAATTCGGTCGTCAATCTTCCTTGTTCCAAAAGCGACTTTCGCCAGAGCGAACCCAGGAAATTTGAAAAGAGTACTCCTGTCGGAGAAAGCTTGTTCCTACAGGCCTCATTTTCCTTAGCCCGATCCGCAGGAAGTATCAACGGTAAACTTTCTTCCAACTGACAGCTATGAACCGTGATACTTCACTACTCCACCTGAGATGGTGTGAGCGTAAGTAAAGCCTTGTGCGCTAGATGCTGCACTCTCAGAGAGGGCGGATGGATCAATCCATTCTCCCTCTTGTGAAAGCTGCAAGGCAAACACCGTTAAAGGCAGTGTTGTGACCTTATTTTTACGGGCATAAATATGTTTTACGTTTACGGCGTATTTTACGATGTAAATACGGCTGCTCCAGAGGACTCATCGTATTTACAATTGCCACATTCACCTTCATAATCGGCAATTACTTAGAATATCTCCCGGCCTGCCAAACAGTCTGGTTTAGAGACAAGACAATCCACAGTACACTCTATCACAGCATGCCTCGACCACTTAGTAGGGTCTGGGAAGGTTTTGTCCGGCTTGATGGTGATATTCCCCAATATGGATTGACAGCAATGCAGAACAAAACACGTTGGCGAGCGTGGTGCAAGCTCTGTCTTGATCATAAGATTGAAGATATCAAGACATCATCTTGGCAGCCAAGGAGTTGGGAAGGCTCAACGACAATAGAGCAGCATAGAATTTGGGAAGGTATGTGATCACGGAGCTGTATTGCAGGCTAAGCAGGCTAACACCCTCAGCCATGCGTCTTGTGCTACCCAAGGCAGGCGTGCAGGTTTCACTGGACTACCATCGATTAACATGCCCCTTCCGGCTTACCCCAAGCTCTTCAGAATTATCTCCTTTTGAGTCGTCACAGAGTTCTCAAGCTATCCTCAAACTACATGTCAGACCCAAATTCACTCCTACTCTACAGAAGGAGTTCAAAATGGACATCTTCCGTCTTTTTGTTGGACATAATATTGCATTCAATATTGTGGAGAGCCCGCTCCTTGAACAATTTGTCCAAAAGTGGATACCAGGAGCAATTTTGCCTAGTCGGAAGTCACTTGGTGGACGGTACCTTGACACAGAAAACGAGCAGTGGAATTGTAAGCTCAAAGAAATCATCAGAGGGAAGGAAGTCACGATGTCAGTTGATGGATGGAACAATGTTGCCCATCAGCATTTGGTTGCTTTTGCTGTAATTACCGAGGGACAGGTCAGTACATCCCATCTATTATCATCATGTCCCATTGCTCATGAGGAAGGTGTATTCAACAAACATACTTGACATTTCTGCAGAGCCTAAAGACGCCCAGAATACTCGACTTTTATTGAAGCAAGAAATCAAAAGATTAGAGGACGTCATGGGTGTCTCCATTGTTGCAATATGTATGGATGCTGGCAGTGAAATGCGCAAAGCACGCAAATTGTTATTGGAGGAACATCCAAGTATGATGTCTTTGGATTGCTTTGCCCATCAGGTGAGTCTATACAATGTAATGGCGCTGAAATTAGATCAATTTAGTTGTCAATGACATGTTCAAGGCGTCCCATCAATTTACCAAGGTAACCAATGACATGCTCATGCTCATCACATGGTTTTCCAACCACTCTCGTGCTCTCGGAATCCTTCGCCATCATCTGTCTACACTTGCTCAACATGATCCTCAGCTTCAACAAATCAGATCTTTCATCAGACCAGTGATAACTAGGTGGACATCTCATTATCAAGCTGTACTCCGAGTCCACAAACTACGCTGGGTCCTTCAGGCAATGGTCTCGAATCAGAAAACCAAACAAGAGCTCCGTCTTTGTGGCGGCAAAGATCGACGTCAGATTGAGATTGCAGACAAAGTCCTCCAGCTCATTGCCACACCGACATTCTGGACAGATCTTGAGAGTCTCACCCGGATCCTACAACCATTGACTATTGCGGCACATGCTCTCCAAAGCAATACCACTCGTTTGGATGAAGTATTTCTCACATTAGGTTGCCTCTACACTCAGTATACCAGCGAAAAAAATACACAAGGAAGGACACCAGGGGAAAATGAAGTCACACATTGGATCATACAAAGTCTGGAGAAACGCTGGGCCTTCACAGACCAGGTGAGTTCCAAATGACACTAGAACATTGACTGACAGGTTTTCCAGGATCTCTTTGTTGCAGCCGCACTATTAAATCCTTTCTTCGGGCGCCATCGACTGGGCATGGCCCCTGGTGCCTTCCCTGGCGCTACTCGATATGAACTCATACGCCGTGTATATTGCCGCCTATTTCAGCCCCCTTCCAATCTCGAACCTCCAGAATTATATCAGCACTGGCTTGAATACACAATGGTTAATCCGTCAGTCCACTTCTCTGATTCTGCTCTTGGTCTACAAACGGCTCTCCGGCACGCCAAAAATACCAACACATCACCAGATCCAATCGTAATCTGGCGCCAGCTTGATATTCCATCTCCATCCCCACTCAAAGCACTTGCCCTTCGTCTGTATGCTGTTGTCCCAAACAGTGCAGGGAATGAGAGGATCTTCTCTCAATACAGTGACATAGCAACAAAGAAACGCAATTGGCTCAGTCCAGAGAAAATGGCAATCTGTCAGCGTCTCCGAACATCGTATTGGAATACAAAAACAAAGTCTGCAACTGCAAGAAAAAGGAAGACCGCTTCATCCTTCATCTCCGACTTTGCCCTTTCAGCTCGTAACACCCACTCCTCAAGTATAATGAATGAAAGTTATGAAGATGTGTTTAGTGAAGAAGACGGACAAGCCTCGATTGAAGTATTGGCTCGGAAATGGTTTGCCACAATGGAAGATGAGATTGCTGAGGAAGGTACAGGAAATACTAGTCTAAATTCTAAAACACCACTTAGCACCATCTTTACTCTTGACTCCGGACTCTCTGTACCTCTGGAAACAGGCCATACTGGTCCTTCGTTTTGGGAGCTAGCAGAAGTACAGGTTCAGAAGGACGAGACCTTTTTGGAGGGACTCGCAGCAGGTAGTGTAAGCGACGATGATGATGAGGGAGAGACAAGTGAGGGCGGTGACAGAGACAAGGAGGGTTCTAGTGACTCTGATATTCAAGAGATTCAACCAAGTAAATCCGGTCGCTTGAGGTGATCTTATGAAAGTACTTATGCATGATGAGCCAATTCTCACACTAATGTGTGCTGGTCTGCTCGGCGGGTCAGGCTTCGCAGGGTCTCAGGTGGAGCAGTCGGGAGTTCACAATCGCTTACCACCATCACAGACAGAAAAGGTTTGGTCAGCATGGGACTCAAACTCAGGATCTTCTCAATTGGACTTCCAAGAGAGGTACAGTAGATGTTCAACCACTATGGTATTGTGGTATTGATGTTGTCCATAGGTTATTGGAGTTTTTACGAGGCAGTTAATACGGTTTACGTCGTAAATACGGCCTCTCATATTGGTGTTTCTACGGCCAATTGTATTTACGGCGTAAAGTCCCAACACTGGTTAAAGGAACTTCAATCCGAGAGACAGACACCGTTCTAGGAACTTCAATCGTGAATCTTTTGAATGTTTCATCATTCAGAAGTTTGGACCTTGCTGCTCCAGCAGCTTTTAGAAGTGATTTTGGATCAAGAGGAGAACCAAAGGATCTTGTCTCCTGCACTCCCCACACCGTGCTCATATATAGCATTATGGCATTAAACATGTCTCTACTCAGGAAATAAGGCTTCTCTTCAAAGTTGGCCTCAACAACCCAAGTGTTCCCATTCCAACAGATTGAGGGCACAAGCGCTGACAACGAATTTTCTAGTTCTGCTGAGGCAGATGGGGGCACCTGTAATGTTGTGATGACTGTACTCACACCCGCAGATGACTTCTTCTTTCTGGAAGATGCTTGGGGTTGCCGTGGTAAACTTGCCATGCCAAATGGGTCAAGGGGAAGAACCTCTATATCATATCCATCCCATCCTTCAAGAGCCTTCTTTCTGGCGTCTCTGGCGACTTTGTGAACCGCCCCTGCGTCTCGTAAGTTTGTGACAGAACTCAGTTCCATCTCTTCCATGACACTCTTATACTTGGCGTTCAGTAGGGATACATCAATAATCGATTTCAGGCCGAACACCCCCTGCACCTTCCAAGATCTGGTGATGACATCCCAAGCAACTGAGGTGATGAGCCGCTTTAGCGGATATCCTTCTGGGAAATGGGCAGAGTAGTCTGCCAACGCCTGCCTTAGTGCAGCAGTATTGTCAATGGGAGCCGGAAGGTTGACAGATGTTGCGGATTGTGGCATGTTAGATTGTGGCTTGTGAGAATCCGACATTGACTGGCTCATCAGGTTCGGCTGGCTGGTGGATGACTTTGTATATCTCGACGTATCCTTGGTCTCTCTTGTATTTTCGATCTGGCTTTCGGTGGATGTGATGGGAGGTACTATGATGCAAAGTCCTTTCCAAAGGATGTCATTGGAAAGTTGCTCAGCGGTTTCTGAGGCCCATTTCTAAGCTCGACAGGGATCAGCTGTAATCTCTGGCTGATGTGTTCTTCCGAGGAATTTTGCATAAGCTTCTTTTAATGCAGTTGTGCGTGTGGTGTAAGAAACTCCACGTGGGGGATCAACGGCAAACATGAATCTCCGTTGAGTTTTATACCAATAGAGAGTGGCGACAAGTGTTGTAGAGGGATCCCCCAGTGGTTTATCGTATGGGAAGTTGTAATTGGGGTGTCGGGTTTGTAGCACAAGTAAATCCAGGTCTTTGCCTTTGTCATGGACCCTCTGTCCTGCTCTTCTTACCAGATCTTTGACTGCTACGGGGTCCCTTCGCTGGATCGTCGGATTAGCTGCGAACCATTCTTGCAACGAATTCTGGTACGCTTGGGACAGTTCCTTTGTCTGGCAGGTTGCACCAGCTTCAATGGCAACCTTGAAGTCTTCGTCAGCTTCATCCCATACGAGGGTGACGATGACAGTGGCTGCATCATAATCACTATGTTCTTTTCTATATTTCTTAAATATCTGCAAAGCAGCCTGTGAGAGGACACTGGGATTAGTTCCGGGAACGATGAAAGCCTGTCTGTCAGTAAATGATTTCTAACTCGATGTCGGGTACTCGCCATGATTGCTATCCGATCGTTTCAAGAAGCTGACCTCGGTTGCGGTGGATTCTCCGGGTTGTAAAGTCAGTTGAAAGATGAAAAGAGGAAGAGGGTGGGGCTTGTCGTCTTGTCACATACAAATCAGCTTTTGTATACTGCACCATGGACATCGGACAATGATTCGGCACCTACGTTCTCCCAATTCGATCGAGGGCGATGATGGACTCACAAAGGTGGATAAAGCCTGTCTCTTGACGTCATGATCCGTGGTCCACTCTCCACGTCCACGCCTTCCGCTATGACACGCTAGATGACTCGTAAAGCATCGCCTCTCTTTCCCACCCTTTTATCTTACGGGTCACTTCATTGAACGCGATGTTGCTCGCATCTGTCGGATGGAGGGAAACGAGAGGAGGTAGAGTAGTAACGGTGCTCTCTGTGCTGTTTGATTTCGGTCTTCAGGCGTTCAGCTAGCATGACATTCTTGGTAACCCTGGTGGTGGGTATGTGGGTATGTGGGTATGTGGATATGTGGGTATGTGGGTATGTGGGTATGTGGGTATGTGGGTATGTGGGTATGTGGGTATGTGGGTATGTGGGTATGTGGGTATGTGGGTATGTGGGTACCTGGGTACCTGGGAACATGGGTATATGGGTACACGAGGAAAGGGACTGTGGAGCGACTCGAATGCCGTGAGAGATTGCTTTTCTCGGTCGAGAGAGTCTTCTGGGGGAGGACAAGGGTCGAGCACAGCTTCTGTGTCCAAGTGGTGTTCATTGACGAAAGTGTCTTCGATTCGAGTGGTGTAATCGGAGCTGAAACGTCAACGCATTTAGAGAGATTCAAACCGTGAGCTCGAAGATTGAAGAAGAGGCATCAGTGTAAATCGTTCATATGAGTACATCAGTGCCTTTCAATGACCGCCGGGTTCTTTTTGACGAAGATGCCTTTGATACGGAAGACCCCTTGTTCCTCATCCTCCATCGTTCCTCGATGTATGGTCGCCTGGAGACGTCCGGGTCCATCACGGGCACTCGTATATGTAGATCTGATTCCCAAAGGCTGGCCCTGTGACCGTACGACGAGGCTGGGTCGAGTGTGAAACTATACTGTAGGATTAGTAAGTTAGATGAGCGTTGTCAAGATGAGTATAAAGAATGAGGAAAAGAGTCAGCAGTAGTAGTGTCGTCATGTGAGGGAAAGTAGCGAAAGTAAAGTGGTTAGAATAGGAACAAACCCCTTCCTTCCCGGTCTCCCCCTCCCCTCCCCCGCCACCTCCTTCGGCCCTCGGGTATCCCTCCTCCCCCCTCTCTCTCTCGAACATGCATCTTTTTTTGTACGAAAACCTGGCCAACAAATGACAAACAAAAGACCACATCGATCATAGAATCTCTTTTCTCTCCGAGATCGACACTTGTACGCCCTCTTCTTGCTCAATGTCAAAGTGAACGATCCCTGCCATACATTTTTGCCCGAGGGTGCCTTTCCACCGTCTTCTGTTCAAAGTGAGCATTCCCATCTCATGTCATTCTCTTCTAACACTGATCCTATGCTCTTCCTTCTCACTCTTCACCCGTCATGGCTTCTTCACCTCCTCTCTCCTTACTCTCACTCGCGCCCATGCCGTGTCAACAGCCAAGCACACCGTCACTAAGAAAACTCGGCTCTCGGGCTTCCGTTGCCTCGTCAACATTTTCGACTTTTTCTTCTCCTCCTCCATCCTCCTTTCACCGACGGGAAAGATCCAAAGAGTTGCATGATAGTTTACGCCTACTTGCGGTCACTCCCATCACTCCCTGGTCATCTTCGACGCCGACAATCGCTACATTTGATCGAAAAGGAACATCGACTCCACTTTCTACGGATCCTTTCACATTCATGGAGTCTCCACAGAAACGTTCGTTCTTCCATCGTTTGTCCACCTCCAAACCGGATGTCGCCAATGCTGGTCCAAGCGGGTCTAGTGGACTACATGCTAGGAAGAATTCTGACGGCGTTCCGAAGGGGTTCACCAATGGATTATCAAACGCACATGAGGTCACAATCGGTCGCTCAGAGGGTTCATCTGTTATTGGTATGCTCTTCATGTTGATATGTATATCTGTCTGATCCCACAGTCGGCAACACTGCTCACAGATCCCTCCCGGCTATCCCCTCAAACTCTACCCCTATCGCTGCCGCCTTTTCTCGAAGCCCTGCCCCACGCCCACAGCACTCATCACAGACCCCTCCACGTGAACCTATAAATCACCCTCCTCGTCGTCAGTCCGTCCATCCTGGTCTGGTCAGTTCAGTCGCTCCGAACACACCCTCACATGCTCGTGACAGCGGTTCTCGGTATGAGAAAGATCTTCCGAACCCTGCCATCTCAGACTCCAAAGCTCCGGTCATCTCTGCGTCATCATCTCACGACAAGCTGGGGACAAAAGCGGGATATGATCCTTCGTCATTCAAATCGAAACACGGAGACCACATCGAGCTCCTCAACACCAAATTGGAGGTCATTTCATCTCGTCCGCATCGGAGCTCTAGGCGTTCATCAGGAAGTATCAGACATGATCTTTCTGTACGAATTCCGGCTTCGTCAGAAGGAGAAACCATTTCACCGACTGTCACTCCACATCGTAGACCATCTGCCGCACTCCCACGAGTACCTATCGATGTATCTGCAGCTTCAACCTCTTACCAGGTACCCCAGCAACGATACGTTTCACAACCCAGTGTCGGCACCTCCAGCGTCAAGGTGACAGATCCTACAGCGATCTCAGTCCGACAAACCTCATTGACTATCACGCCTCGTTCTCCACCGCCTCCTGTTGTCCATACACAAGTTCCTTCAATGCCTAACCAGCAGACCGGGACCTTGACTGAGGCCAGCGCTTATGCACGAGCCATCTATCCTACACTGCATCCCGAGGACTCGAAAGAGATCTCATCGCCGATCAAACCTCCACCCACTGCTCGGCGTTCCTCCCGACCATTGCCGCAACCTCCAAGTGTCTCAGGTCCTCACAAAAACCCATCAAGTCCTGTAGATCACAAGATATCCCCCGCCACGTCTTCTCCGGTCGTCCATATCATAGCGAGTAGCGAAGATAAGGAACGCCGGAAAGCAAGCTCTTCATATACACATGGGAAGGGAACCTTACCACCAACACCCGACAAGGCCTCGGTTATCCCACATGAAACACAGGAGCGACAACGCCCTAAGGCTAATCCAATATCAGCCACACCGCCCTCCATTCCCATTCATCCTAACGGAGGAGTCATTTCCGACAATGTGAAAGATGACCAGCGGACTCTGAAATCTACCAGCTCCCCCGACCCTATCTCATCCTCTTTGAGAGTGACCTCAGATCGCCGAGTCGATACTAAACATCCTAATGGGAAAATTCCAAACGGTCTGCCGGCCTTACGGACATCCTCCATCTCCACAGGCACTCGTCAAAACGGGACGCCCCTTGTCATGTCACCAGTCTCCATCACTCACTCTCAGCGCTCTCGTACGGAAACACCTTCCCAAATGGCATCATCCTTAGCTTCTCTTGGTCCGGCGCCAACTCCCACTTTAGTACGTCGACCTGATCGCCGAATCAACCCCCTTGCATATCTGATGTCATTTTCCCGCATACAATCCGGCTTACTGCCTCATCTCGGAATTAACAGCTTTCTGTCATTAATAGGGTCGTCGGACGAGGTACGCGCCCAATTCTCTGGGGAGACTGTGGGCCGATGGGTAATGCGAGAGTGGGGAATTCAACTGGAACGTGAAAAAGGTAGGAGCTGGCCCAATATGACAGTCTGGGAAGGGTTTCGTGAGTCCAGATGATTTTGCCGAAGAGTCCTTATAATTGACTACCAGTTGAATCTCTTCTTCATGACCCAGCAAGTTACGCCACTTACCCACTCAATGGCATAATTTACTTCGGCATCTATCCCTCTCACACACATTGATTGTCCTCCATCTGCGCACTCTCCCTCCCGATACTTTCCCCACGGTGCCACCTTTGCCTTTCGAAGAGGAGGGTCAAATGTTTTCCGCTCCTGTGCCAATCTCCCCATCTTTTGCTAGTCTGACCTCCAACATACCCCGTTCGCGGAAAAGCAGCGTCGCGGGTTCTGAAGCAGGTAGTGTTGGATTACCTAAACCACCTCGCGAACGTCTGGTCGAAATCATAATGCCTGAACCATTAGCAGCTCAACTTCCCAACGAAACTTCTAACGAACCTTCTGTGGTGGAATCACGCAAACCTCGTCGACGTGGCTCCATTGGATCTCTCGCGTCTGCTGCTTCTTTCTCGTTTGGGCGAAAACGTAGTAACAGTACTTCGACAGCTGGAGTATCACCCATCACCACTTCTGTTCCCGCCGTGCCGTCCGTTTTGACTTCAGGGAAAGCTTCACTTCCTCCCGTCAGTTTCCCCACGGCTAAACGATACGGCTTCAAACGTCACGGGGACCCGAACCCCAATGGAGTTCGTTCACGAACTTCATCCGAGTCAAGTCGACCTGGATCGGTATTCTCAGTTCAAAGCAGCCCGTCCTTCGGTCTTCAGATGAGAAGTAGTACGAGTCATAGTTCTCATCAATCCCTTTTTCTCGATCGACATGCTCCTCCTGTTCCTGGACTACCTAATACATTGGCCCTTCCGCCCTCGTTGCTAGGGGGTCAGAGAAGTAGCGTGGTCAGTAGCGACGCTGGAAGGTCTAGTCGACGATCAGAACATGGCACAACACCTCCAGTCCCAGGAAGGTGAGTCAGCTTCCGTGTTTATATCTCTACTAGATAGATGAGTGGACTGACGGAGTAGGACGGAGATGGCCTTCGATAGGCCCATTCCTTACATACACGGTCGAGCACCTATATTACGGGTTTTCGTACCTTTATCGGAAAAGGTAAGAAGGTGGCCTTCTGCAGAAGGAGCCGCCGCCGCTGTCCGCGAACTGGACAAATGTGGGGCGACGAAACGATTAAAAATGGGTGATCTTGTTGTATGTTGAATTCTGCTTTCCATCTTGCCCCTTTGCTCTTTACTCCTGGCAATTCCCCCCAAGTCTGAGTGTGGACCACAGAAAGAGCAAGAGTAATCAAAAGAAATTGATAGAGATGATTGACGTTTAGGTGAACACGGCCATACATAATCCCAGAAGTACCGAACACGTCTTAGTGTTCGTACCTACGATCAAATATCTATTGGTACCTCTTGAATACACCTTCACTCCCACTGGTCATCTCCCAGCTTATTTAGACGCATTCACCATCCCTCCATCTTATTATTATCCTTTCCTCCCTTCTCCTCAGTACATATTCCTCGATCTCACACCATATGGCGAACAAGCGATGAAATCATTACGTCTAGCTTACGATCGACGCGATATGACAGTATCCTCCGGTGTCCGTCTAAGCGCCAAGCGGTATTTACACGTAGCTGGTTTTGAGGTATTCTCTCGACCGGGTTTGGCACCAGAATGGGTCGGAATGATCTCACTAGAAGCGGAGGGGACGGCGGAAGGAAGGATAGATCTAGAAAATAGATTACACAGATCTAATGTGGGTGAAAGTAGGACTTTATGGCCTTGGGAAGTGGTAAGGGAGAAATCATTACAAGGTCAGGTATGGTTGAGGTTAGTCAAAAGGTGATCACAAATATCATCACTCGTACATCTTGTATGCATCTATGCTCCTATTCTTATAATTTCTCAGATTGGACTTGTTGTACAAGAGATCGGGTGGCTGAGTGAAGGAAAGAGACCCAACCGCCTATGATGAAACCGAGTACACTACCGAAAGCCAGAGTCAAAGGGTAGCTCTGGTGCATAAGCGATCAAGCCGCACTAAACGGCATGATTGAGAATTGACCGCGGTGGTTTCACCGATTTGTGAGTAGTTGGAAATTTCAGTAATCACTACGAGTAGAGAAGGAAAGGAGAGAGAGATGTAAAGGTGGGAAAGAGAGAAAGACGGCTTATGGGACGGAAGCCGTGAGGGAAGTATAAAAATTGCAGAAGTGAGAGGTTGAGGGAAGAGATAACTGGAATGAGAAGGGAGACCAGAAAGAGAAAAGACAACCTACTTGCCACGGTCTGTCCCAATCTAATGGAAGAGGCAAAGCACCTATCCAAGCTCCTACCATAGTTCCCAGAGCAGGGTAAAGTAAAGCTCTATCTACGGGTGTTTCAGGACTATCGTCAGTCCCACTAACCGGTTCTTCTGGGGTAAAGAGTGCCGAATTTGTTGAATGCAGATATGACCGTAGTCCCTCCCCTCCTTCTCATAGCATGGCAGAATGCACAGTTTTTCGAATTACAGAAAAACCAGTGAAGATAAGAGAATTCATCCATCGTAGTACTATTGATGTGCGGATCAATGGAAGTGGGGGGAGAGAGATTGTAGAGAAGGGCGGGAGACTCACTCAAGATACGAAAATAACTTTGTATATTGATATCGATGAAGAATACCTGGATCGTACATTGATGGAATGCCCATAGAGTGTACGATGGGCCAAACGAGGAGACAGGAGAGATGTAAGGAAAGTAAATACGTTTCGATTAGATGACTAAAAGATCAGTTCTGCTGATTACTCTCATCCCTTGAGAAACTGAGGTTACTCGATCTGTTATTTTCGTAGAGGTATTGGAGATAGTCGTGGTTGTCGGTAGTAGTATGAGTTGATAAGAGCAGGTAGAGAGCATTTAACTCACCTATCCATAGGAGAACCAAGTATTAATAACAAAATCATAATGACCGCACTTCCCACGACGGTAGATGAGAAAGCTTCTTTTATACGCTATGTATCAGCTCCCTACCCTTACTTCTTCAAATTGATGATAATTCACATTAGCCGTTTCCCATACCTTTTCTTTCTCCCCATCTACTTTCGTATTCTTACTTTTCTCGCCATTCCCATGTCCACCGTTTGATGAACTTTTCACTTCCCCAGATGTACCTTTTGATTTCGTTTTTGACCTATTGACCCAAGTACGTAAATGATGTCCCCACCATAACATACATATCGTCATTCCAGCTAATATCCATAACATCGTCCGTCTAGGTGAGACGGTCAGAGGGGTCAAGAATGGATGTTCGGGTCGATCGGCGGATGAACGTTGTAGAGGGAGATCTGTGGGGTTAAAGAAGGAATGTGAACTGCGAGGGAGGAATAGCACGGAGAGGAGAAGAAGGGTGGAGAGGTAGGATTGAAGAGCAAAGTATTGTCTGAGTGGGAGAGGTGGTTTTGAAGCTGAGTTAGGCATCGTAAGTGATTTTGAACAACACTGAAATTCTGTAAGCTTAAGTAGTTGCTGTGAGAAGGAGAAAGTTGACAGAATACTATGGCGCGCGCGAAGGGCCATTCGATTTTTTTTTTGATTTTTTTTTTCCTCACCCGGATTTTTTTTTCAGATGGTATAATCCAAAACTTCTCCTCCCTACAACTCCACAATGCATGCAGCTACAGCCTTGAAAACTGAAGGGTGTACTCCTGACACCTTGATGCATCATCTGTCACAATATGAAGCTCTCAAGTGACCCAAGAGAGTAGATCACTTGATTCGATATTTTGATGTGGGGCCCCAAGGGGGGATCGACCCAATAGGGGTGCTCAGTTCTATAATGGCTAGTCGCGACATTATCACAGATAAGTGAACACCTGTGATAACGAGCCATTTTTATGTCATAAATGCCACGTGTGAGGTAGAAAATGCCACGTGTAACCCCTCCTTCGCGTCCTCCCCCATGTCATCTCATGCAGGTTTATGTATATGTATCTCGGCCATTGCATTTCTCAACTATCTACTAAGCAAAACCCCTCGGATTTCGTGTCATGCCTTCCAAAACCCCTCGAGCTCACCTCCTGCACGATTTAGAAGATGCCGCATTGCTTCTGTTTCCTCTGCTGGACGATCATACCTCAAGGGCCTGTTTGGAAGACATAATTCAAGCACATCAACAAATCTCAGCAAATCGTTACTTAGATCGATACCCGACTGTCTCTAACAATCTTCCCCGACCCTCTTTCTACCACAGTGACATTCTCCTCTTCGCAGAACGAGGCATTCGTCATAAACAAGCATTTCGCATGTCCCCTAGCCATCTTGATGACATCGTCGATTTTTTCAAGGATGATCCTGTCTTTTTTTCAAGAGGAAACAAGCCTCAGGCCCCACCAAAGTATCAGATAGGGTTACTGGTCTACCGAATGGCTCATGGACATGACTGCAGGACATTAGATCGCGAGTTCGGGGTCTCAAGCGAGTTTTCCTTCCAATTGCTCTGTCCATTTTGCTAATTAGTTAGCCGGCACTGTATTCAAGTGGTGTGACCGGGCCCTCATTGCTATACTGAAAAAACGATCTTACTTCATCTCCTGGCCGTCCCCCACCGAAAGAATTGAAATCAAAGCTCGATTTCTCTCTGAATACTCAATTCCTCACTGCGTAGGCCTCATCGACGGCTATCATGTGAACCTCTCAACTGCTCCTGCTAGAGATGATGCAGGGGCTTATCATAGCCGCAAGGAGAGGTATGGCTTCAATGTCATGGCTATCGTCGATCATACAAAGCGTTTTCGATATATTCATTACGGCTATCCCGCTTCCAGCAGCGATCAACGAGTTCAGCGAGCTATCGAACCCCTTAACACGCCCTCTCAGTATTTCAGCAACCAGGAGTACCTCCTGGCTGATTCTGGCTTTACAGCATCGTCTGTCGTCGTACCAATGTTTAAAAAGAGTGCTGGCCAAGCGGTTCTTCGAGGTAAAACCGCGTATTTCAACTCTCGAGCCTCTGTCATGAGGGTAGGGGTCGAACATTCAATAGGTGTGTTAAAGGCTCGATGGACGATACTTCGATCAATGTCTATGAGACTTCGAACTAAAAGAGACGAAGCTATGGCTCACGCAATCATTGTAGCCTGTACAATTCTCCACAACATCCTCATAAACACCGACGAATATTACACCGAAGAAAATACTGGAAATTTACCAATTGAACCACTTCGAGATGACCTGCCTGCAGAGGAGGTAGCAGAGGACGATTTCTTAGGTGCTGGTCGTCTCAGGCCACACATGAGAAGACGTCATGAGTTGGTGGAGCAAATGTTAGCATTGGAGACAGAGGAAATCGACATAGACAACTTCATTTTATCATGAAAAAAGGTGAGTGGTTTCAACTACCTATCACTCTCCGACCAATTGCTCCACTCATCATATTCGGTGTGAACGTCTCCTTCCCCTTCTTCTCTGTCCCTGTGAGCTCTATCATACCTCTCCTCTGCATCTGCGATAGCCTGAACCCAGGAAACACGAAGTTCTACCGGTAGTCCTTGCTCTGCAGTGAGACGAGCTTGAGCCTCCTTCGATGTTATGACCAACCTCTCATTTTTAGCCCTTTCCTTCCTCTGTCTCTTCGAATCTTCTCTTTCTTCCTCTTGGATAGCTAGCTTACGCTTCTCTAGGCCTATCTCCTCCCTTCTGCTCGCAGCAATCCCCTCAAACAACCCCGCAATACCTCCAGCATTGTTTTTTCCTTCCCCCCTCCTGGACGATGTGTAAAGGCCTGTAAATCAGCTATACCCTGACCTTAGTGGCTATGCAGTCCATGTCACCGTGCCTGACGTACCTGCAGCTCGCTTGGTCAGCCTATGATCACTAAAACTGCGTTCCCTAGTCGCAGGACGTGTATTTTCGCTCTGAGTCGATGTATCTTCAGTTTGAGACTCTTGCTGGCCTAGGAAGTCATTCAATGACATCTGAGATGGTGATGGAGGCCTAGGAGAGTGTGGAGATCTCTCAGGAGAAGGAGAGGGGTGGTGAGAACCCCTCATAATCGTCTCGAGTGTGACATTCGAATTTCCGGTGGTACCTGTGCGAAGGGATTCTGTCCCGCCGTCTCTTTCGGCAAATATGGTGTCCACAGAGTCATATTCAGGACACTTCTTCAGTACAGTGGCTGCAGATCAGCTAAGGAAGCATAGGAGTGATGAACAGCCAGGAGACAGATGATACACAGGTCACAGGAGGTATTCGGGGAGAAGGGGAGAAGGGAGAGACGGGGACTCACCTTTAACCGTCTGTTCAGCTTGATTTATCTTCTCTGGATCCTCACTACCATCCACCATACTCTCGAATAAACCCTTCCCTGTGTGATTTAGCCAGTCACGGGCCTCTCGCCACCTTCTTAAGAGTTCACGAATCTAGAAGACATCAGCAGAGTTTTAGGGGGGGAGAAAAGGAAGGAAATCACACTTACCTTGTTTTGTATCTGATCAGTCGATCTTGTAGTTGGACATCCTGACTTGGACATCCACTCAGAGCATTCCCTAGCCATCCCCAGCTTCTTCTTACCCCCTAGGCCATGTTGATACTTCTTGAAGTTATCTCCCATAGCTAACCACTCAATAAGGTAGTCGAGCGAGCAGTATTGGCCGGTACCTTGATCTTTTGTCCAGCCTAAAGTTGCTGGGGGGTTGTCCTGACTATCCTCTTTGTCCCTGTTCCTCCTTTGCTGAGTTCTAGTAGATGGTTGCCGAGCAGTGGAGGGGATATGCAGAACCTACTGAAGTTAGCAGGGGTATGCGAAGGGGGTTTAACGACATATTTACAGGTGGTGACGGTGACCTCAAATTACCACCCCCCGAGGTGTCCATAGTATCAGCTTGAAGCTACAGCTCTCCTCTTTCAGATTCTTGGCTTTTTATCGCTTTAAAGTGTCTCTGTAAGAAGATACGATAACTCTACGGTGATGATGAAAACTCAACGGTCACTTTTCACCTGTGGTGATGTCGCGTTTGTTTGTCATCAAAATTACCCGAAGAGGAAAATTTTACGTCATTTTAACACGTGTTATTTTGGCGTATCAGAAATGAGCACCCCTAATGTGGCACTTCCTTCTCACCACCCCCAAATATCACTAAAATATCATTCTGTCATCACTTACCATCTCCATGGTCTTCTTTGAGGCCTGCAGACGCCTGAGAAGGCTCTGGATAGGTTTCCTTCTCTTACAGTAGGAATTTGATGCATTCAGCTACCTCCTGTGGAACAGGAGATGGAGAAAGGCTGTTTTCCTCCTTATAGAGAACCTATAATTTGAAGCGTCTGATGTAGGCTGTTTGCATGCATCTAGATAGCACCAAAAGATACATCTAGGTGCACTGAGCTATGTTCAAAAGAGATCTCCGCAATACCTGCAATATTGACTGAGATAGAGGGAGAAGAAGATCATCATGCATGCTCTTCCTGAAGAAAAAAAAGCGTGCAGATGAAAAAAAATAAAAAAAATTGAATGGCCCTTTCCGCGTTCCATAGAATTCCAAAGACGAGTTGTAATTGTCGGGATGTTAACTTAGATGTTCAGAGTGGAGGTGGTCCATCCCGTTTAAGGTTATCCCTCCTTGTTCAATCTTCAACACTGACCATCCCTGCTGATTGTCATCTAAACAACCTATCTTACGCGCTGCATAGGTTCTGCAAATAGCTAGAAGTACTCTTACATCGATAGTCACTCTGGATTTCTCGGAGAGAACCATCAATAAATCACCCATGGTTCACCTCCGAATAGCGTTGGCACAAACTTCTCCCATCTCAGCTCCTGAAGGGCCTCCATCACACGAAAGACCCCTCTCGTCTTCTCCATTCCCGACTTTGGATCATAACCTTCTCAAGGTCACTAAGGCGGTTCAGAAAGCTAGTGAGGAGAATGCGGATGTGGTCGTGTTTCCTGAATACTTCCTCCAGGGCGTACTTAACAATGGACGTCAAGTGAGTACCGAGAAATTGCTTTGCAACCTCGTTGATCGTTGATCATTCCCAAGCCTTAATTCTTACCCTATGATTGTATAGTCATGTGATCGGTGGCCACGATTCTCCATTACGTCTTTCATTCTGTTGATATATTACAATGATTGAAAATGGGCCAGGGGAGCAGGAAGATCCGAGAGGATCGTAAGCTGACATTTCTCAGTATTTGACCCTTCCCTCTTCTCACCTCCTGGACTTCGTCCAATCACTAGCAAGGATATACAACATCTGTATCGTTGGAACTATTGTTCATGGTTCTACTCCGATGAACGTCTGTCCAGATATCTCACCATTCGATCATTTATTTCCTCATACAAAACCCTACTCACAGTCGGAAACAGGACTACCTCAAATTGACGCGGCATCGACCTCAACAGTAGTGACAACCGAACCTTCTGAACGAATAGAAGAAACTGGAAGGATACATCAACTGGAAGGAAACATTACATCAGCACAAAAACAATGGGCAAAATACCTTCATCATTTCCCTCCTACAACTGAAGAGACATCTCAACCGTCTTTGAAAAACACCGCCTTCTTCATCGAAGGAACCACCGGGAACGTACTTGGGACGTATGTCAAACGTAATCTCTGGCATCCCGAGAGGTCCGTTTTACCCATTATTGTCCATATAGTCCAGTGTTTGGCTGATGTGTTAGGAAATATCTACAAAAAGGAGACGATCCTCACGAGGTTTTCAATACGAAATGGGGTAAAGCTGGACTTCTCATTTGTGAGTATAGCAAATCTCAAAAATGACCTTGGGAAGGATGGATGAGATGAAAAGGAATGGAAACTGATAGATAGGTTGGGATATCTCACATCCTGATGCTGCTCAAATGTTATCGGATTTAGGAGCAGATATGATCTTCGTACCGACCTACTGGTTGTCAACGGACAGTGAACCGTGAGTTGATTTGGACACTCACTGTACAATTCTTTACGTATCGTCTCCTGTTCACTGAACAGTAATCTGCTTAACCTTCCACCGCACCTTTGATCCCCTGATCAAGCGTAATGAATTTCCCCTCCTGAACAGCGTCTTACATCTTTGGATTGAGAGAATGAGGAGGAGGGAAAGGAGGATTGAGAAGAATAGGGAGGAACGCCAAGACACTGATGTTAGGTTAATCCACCGACATGACCATCCTAAAAATTACGAACTTTCCATCCTTTCTTCTCTCAATATGACCAGATCGTTCGAGACTGAAACAGCTTGGATAATGTGTAATGCAGGAGGAGACGAGTTAGAGGGATTCATGGGCGGTAGTGGTGTCTGGGTTCCGTTCCTGGGTAAATTAGGCGGGTTCGATGGATCTGAAGAAAATGTTAAAGTGGTCGATTTGGATTTGGATGTTTTGAAGGTGAGTCAAGGTCTTGACGCTTGTTTCATTGAGCTTTCTGCGCAGGGGTGGTCGGTAGACTTGGTGGATCTGATTGGGACTGATGGACAGGATGCGAGAGAAACTTACAAAATAAGACAAGATTGGATGTCACGATCTGGATCTTGATCCTTCGTCTTTTCTTCCTTATACACATGTACAATCAAACAATCGATACGAGAACATCTCAACGTCTTGCAAACTCATCCGCTGTTGACATTGACAAAGTGTAATTGACTCTATCAATTCCTTGGCGTAGATCCATCGTCTCGATACTGGTTCAACGTTTGACCGACTAGAATCATTCCCTGACCGACCCACTAATCCCACCGGATCATTCGGTGAATGAGACGCAAATCACATACTGTAGACAGACAATACAAACATTCATGTCATCTTCGTATGGACGTGATCAATATCAACCGTAGGGTCGTAAAAGTCATTAATACAGCTACAACCATAAAAACCTTTTCAAAGCATAATCTACCCTCTCCAACAAAGTAGTAGATCGTTGAGCTTCTTCTAAACTGCACGTCAACCAATTTCTCTTTGTTTTGATTGATTTTTGACTAACCTTACAATATCTTCATATTTCACAAACCCTTTCCCTCCACCACCCAATTGTTCACATTGCAATTTAACTTTCTCTACAATACGTTCAGCAGCCGCTTTGCACGTATCACCACTATCTATCGATATGTCATCTTCGTCAATTTGTCCAGAAGAAGCGCCTTTGGCTATAAATTCCCTAGGGAGGACTTTGAATGCGAATGACTGATTTGAATCTAATGATTTGTCCTCGAGTAACGGAGTGGAAGGGGATGAATCTGGACCTGGACCACGTCTGTTACGAATGGAATAAGTGTTGTATCGAGTATCTTCGTTGGAAGGTGAAAAGTTCAACACAAAACCGTAATTCTGATCTCAACATCTGTCTTTCTTTGGAGATTCCACATTTTGACAATTCTGATGATATGGGTAAGAGAGATGCTCAACTCACCTCGAGTGGATCCCGAGAAGCTTCTTGCAATGGAGAGAGTATATATGCACCTTCTATCAGATCAAATCTGACAAAGGAAGAGAGAAATTACCAAGCTGTATCAAAGTGATGGATCCTAATGGTATACGAGTGAACTGAACTACTTTCTCCAAAGCGAAATTGAATACAACCACATAGACTGCTTTTCGTGTCTGAAATCAGTACTCATGATCATACAGTCGGAAGATGTACTGACTAAAATCAAGATCTTCTCTTCAAGCTTAGTCCCAATTCTCACATTACGTTCTTCGGGGGATAACAATGTCCATCCTGCCAGTCGTATCTCCCCCTCGGACAAAACTCTAGCAGAAGCAATCTCAACTGTCCGTCAGTATCCTCTATACCACGTAAAGGTTGTAAGACGTAAGGGAAATGGACTGAAACATATCACGTCAAGGGTGTACGTGGTGAAATAGGATGAACTTCAAGTGTACCACGTCAAGAGTGCAAGAAGTAAAACGGGATGAATTTGAGTGTACCACGTCAAGAGTGCTAAAGGTGAGCTAGATGAACTCACTAGCAGCAGTCCGAATACGAGACAATTGAACAAGATTCGATGCGTCGGTACTTTGCATAGTCTCTAAAAATTCGCTGAATATACCAAGGTTGCGATGTCCAAGGAAGAAAGAAATGACAGCTTGAGCGAAGAAATCGGATATGGCTCCGTAGAACATTCGACTTAGGGAACTGACGCCATCATGCAACTGACTCGTATAAGCTTGATGATGGATGAATGGCAGAGAGATTGACTTACCATCCCTGTTAGATCTCTTTTACCTGTCCGAACAAAATCACCTTTGAGAGCGGAAGTATGAGCATAGCAAAGACTTATAGTATCTCCGTTATTTGCCCATACTGGAATATCAGCATGCCATTCAATATCAAAGGGAGTAAAGACATGTTGAGGGACTGAAACCGACTTACCATCATTGAAAACGTTTTCTACCTCGGGGTCCAAGTCGGCTTTGAATCCAAGTTGAATTAACATTGTGCCCAACACTTGTCGAGCGATGGCGGACTGGACGACATTTGTGCGGTCCAAACAGTCAATGCAGCTGTCATCAGCATAATCATAACATTTGACCCAAACCATAACGTTTTCAGATAATGAAAAGAAACTGCCCCATCATGGATTTATATCTCCACACCAACGATTGAGTCACAGCGTAAAGTAGAACATTGAGAGAAGGGAAACTCACTTTGTCCTAAACACTCCATCTTGACGTCTGACCACCTCCCCTTGCAAAGTCCACAAATATCCCATATCACTGAGATCCAACTTGGTCACCAACTCTGCTATATTCTCCCATTTCATACCTTTACATTTCGCATGAAAATCGAATTCTTCATACTTAATATCTATCCTTTCCAAACTTCTCACCAATTGTCGATAACCATTAGTGACCACTGCTTCTTTTCCCACTTGTTCTGAAAGATTTACGATGGTAATTGGACCATATCGTTTGGTCAAATCATCGAAATGTGAATTGGCGACGGAGTAACATTTCTCAACCGGTTGATCCAACACTGGAGGAGGTTTCATCGAGTAAGGTGATTGTGACCATTTAAGTGGTATCGATCCTCTTATCTGAATGAAACTGAAAACTGAGACTTTCCCTTCAATCTAAATATCAGCCCCTAGAAGTAGACATACCTTCAAAGATGAACATACCTTGGCACGAACCATCATTTCCGTCTCGACAAAATTGGCTACATGTCCTTCTTCATCGATCCCTCTACGTTGATATCTCAATCCAGCCCGATCTCTACTCCTCCTCGATATGACAGTCAAATCAACCGGTACAATTGTGGATGCTTCGGGATTTCGAGGATTGGGAGGTATTGGGATATTGAAAGTAGTACTTTGTACCCAACCCTGCATGACGGGTAATATGAAAGAGTTCAAACCTGCATCAAGAAAGTCTTTCAGAAGATGTTCGTTCCAAAAGAACCTCCTGTCGACCCTTCTCCAAAGGGGTAATCTGATATCCGGTTCGACGACATCTTCGAAAGTCGTAGAAGAGTGATCTTTGAGGATATTCGTGTGATCTTCCGGCAAAAGTTGAGACAAAGCCGTGGAGGAATTAGCTCGGGTAATCAGGATAGTTCTTTTATGTTGTAAAGAATGAGTGAGGTCAAGATCAAAACTATAGAAGAAAGAACCAGAAGAGAATTCTCTACATATTTGACGGATAATCTTCGTTTCGAGATCATGTCGTTTAGGTGGGTCTGCCAACGTTGATTGTCCTTGAATATCAGAAACAAATTTTTCCTCTTCGTTTTCTTTCTCTTTAGACTCCTCCTGTGATGGTAGGGCTAATGAATTAAGGTCCTGTGGTACTGGTCCTGGTGGATTTGGGTTGGGTGAAAGCACCTGGACAGTGGAGGGGTCAGTCGATGTAGTTGAGGTCTGTTGAGATTTCTTTCGTCTTCCAACTTGTTTCGTGAATTTTTCCCAATCAATACTGAACCTTTTCCTCTTCCCTACCTCTTTGTCGATCGTAGGGACCAAAGGGGAGTCATCAGCTTCCGGAGCTATCGAGCTAGTACCAGACGTAGAAGCTCGAGGTTCGTCCTCTTCATCAGAAGTTTCCGAGTTGTCCTCACTTTCGTCCGGCGGATCTGATGGGTCGGCGGAAGGTACAGCACCTGGTCCAGTGATAGTTGGTAATTTCCATCGAATATTCAGTCCTTGTGTTTTCTTCTTTTTCTTTGTCTGAATCCAAGATCAGCTAAAAACGTGTCTGAATGAGCAATGAAGATACTGACTTGAAAATCGGTAAGACGTTGTATGACTTTCGAAGCTAGGTCATAAGATAGAGGAACAGGATGTATGTTTTCTATAGTGTACACTTGGCGAGATCCACTTAAAGCGTCTTTAGTCTCTTCAGAGTCGGAGTGAGAGCTGAAAAGTGGAGAGGGTGGTTTGGTAGGAGGAAGGAAGACGAGCAAATAAGCAGCTAATTGTCAGTTCTCCTCCAAGCGCACGAAAGTGTAGGAAAGAGAATGATACTGAGGGGAATAGTGTCACTCACTATCCCATAATCTGACCAAGCCTAATATACCCCCAATCTCTAAACCCTGATCAAGGTGTTCTTCAATCGGTTGCAACTTGCTTTCCACACCCCATCGTATCATAACCCCATCGTGTGACTCGGGATCGGAGGGAGTGATCACAAGGCCATCCTCACGAGCGACGAGACGTAATCGTCGATGGATACGAGGTGGCATAGGAGGTACTATGAACCGTGAAGAACGAGAAGGAGGGACATTATTAGGCATGACAGTCGTTGATACTATGTACCGTTCATACTGACAATTGTTGGAGGAAAGATTGATGACGATGACGATTTGAAACGCGACGATGCGGGGCACCAAGCTTCCCTTCTTATGTCCTGCAGTCCTGCAGCATGCAGCAAGTATGCGGCCTGCGGCAGTAGTTGAGGTAGACAGCTGGAGTACGAGTCTTCTTATAATTTGAGATAAGGTTATGGTGTGACATGTATAGCTAGCTACCCACGAAAGATACACTTTACAACTAGACATATCATGCCCATCATATGGAATCAACAACAGACCGCAAAGCGTCCAATATCTTCCCGGGTGTCTGATCCTGTGCCCACCAAATCTTCGTAAGGTCTTCTACCTCCACCTCCACCCCATCCCCCGCTTTGTTCCCCGAGTTGACTGGGCCATTTGACAAGCCAGCATTGCCGGTGTACCTCCTTCGTCCTTTCGATCCTCCGTCATCTCCCGACTGCCCCCGCTTACGTTTTGCTAAATATTCCAGATATTCTATACTGTGAGAGGGTTGTTCGGGCACTGGTATCGCACCAAGAGGTAGTGGTGGACCTGAGAACCATAAGACATGACCTCTAGAGTCACGTTCAAACAATTGGGCTGGATCATCAGCTCTCCTTTTTGTCCCGCACGTGATGAATGAGAAACATACCAGTTTCCGGTGGTAACAATTCTCTCACTGCCAGATGGTCGATGACTTGGGGACCGCCCATGAGGTTGACGAATGATTTGGTAGAGTTAGAAGGTGGAGTAGGAGCTGCAGACCAAACTTGTCTTGTGGGAACAGGTTGGCTTGGGATATATTGGGTAGGACGTGATGGTCCTGCCTGGACATTAGTCCCGATGTTTGGAACAACTGGTTGTTCAGGCTTTTGTACCTCCCGAGTCGATACCCTAGCCATACGCCGATTCTCCCCCTCATCTTCATCATCATCTTCATCACCGACGGATTCCTGAGGGTCACCCAGGAATCCTGGACCTTTGATACCGCGCAAAAAGGGAGAAGGAACCTTTATAGGATCTATTTGCCTGGCGAAAGGGATGACAGTCATGAAATCCGTTTGTCTCAATTCATCCGGTATACAACTCGCCCAGTTCTTAATCCTCACAGACATTTGTTTTTGATCGTTGTATCGAGCTACACAAATATATATTGGCCAACCTGGATAATATTCAGGAGCTTGTGGTCTTCCTCTGATATATTTGACGTAGAATGATACTGATACTCTCTCGATGATATCTTCGACGGGATGATCACAGAAATGACCAGTCTTGAAGATTTCATTTTCGTGGAAAGTTCGATCTGCCGTATGAACAGTTTGTTCCGGTCGGAAGTACCAGCATATGGTGATATGATGAGTACGATTGCCTTTGGTAGGTACAAAAGTTTTGAAGATTTGACCAACGATTGGACGACTGGGATCATCAGGGTTCATGACATGAACATAGTCACCAAGTTTGTACGTCAAACCTTTATGTCTTGCCTCTTGAGTGAATTCTCGGTCCTTGGTACCGATACGGAAAGTTGTGAAATGACGTCCAACAGGTTCGCTAGATGATTTGGCGTCGGGGGCTAGTTCATGAGTGAATCTAGCGTTACCTGGCCCCGCCGGTATTGATGCGAAGTGAGTAGGGGATGGAGGTGGCACTCCGGAAGGAGGGAGGTTCATAGGGAAAGGAGCGGTGAGAGAGTTGTAAAGTCGTTGTAGTTCTAGCACATGTCCATACTCTTGCGTTCTACCTTGAAACCATCGACGAGACTTTTCGAATAATCGAACCATGTCGAGATCGAACGCTCGGAGGGTGCGATAACGGGAGGATTGGGCATTGGTGTGGATGGAAGAAAATGATATGGGTGCCTAGGTCATCAGCCATTTGGCAATCAAATGTGGACGGACTGACGTTGAAAGATAGATATGGAATGTCGACCAGAGTAGGGACCTGATTCAATGTATCGACCAAAAGACGGCCACTGTCTATGAGCCAAGATTGGTGTCAATCAATGACAACATACCTTATATCTCTATACTCCGACAAAGCATGGACGACTCTCCTGATCCCATCAGGCCAAGAAGCTGGACCCCCAACACTCTGCTCATACTGTGGTGCACCCTCGCCAAACCACCCACTTCCAGGTATACCACCCGGAGCCGTATCACCATGAATGACCTCCTTTGGTCCTTCCCATCGAGGTAATCGCGATTCTAAATCGGCGATAATCCTCCTGTCCGCCTCCACCTGAGCGAGCATAGCTGGCGTCAAGCTCCATGCAACAGATGATCTGGGTGGTGGGACGGTGGACGTGGCTATGGGCTCAACGAAGGGGGTCGTAGGGATGGGAGAGGGGTGTTCAGCCACAAGAGGCAATACAGATGCTGAAGCTGGATCTACGATTGGACCAGGTGTTGTGGATGCTCTAGTAGAAGAAGTACCTCTCTCTCTCTTGGGTTTACGTGGTTTACGTGGGGAGAAATGATATGGATCGGAATGCGAGAAAATCCCTTCTGAGGCTTTCAATCGCCAATTTTCATGTATTTGATCCTACCCGTCAGCATGCGACTCGAGATTCTTCTTGATCACTGTATATGCGATATGAGACACCAACCTCGAGCATTTTGGCGTCCAACCAGATTCGAGAGTCTTCTTCGTTATCTGTATTGTTTCAGTCACTTAGTAAAACACCAGAATGTCACTGACAGTGTTTGGCGTTGAGAAAGACCAAATGTAATTGTTTGAAGAAGTCTTCTGGGGTGGAATATCCTTGGGAACCTAGCTGTAGCTTGATCCAGTCAATTGAATGCACAAGAGAAGAAGAAGTGAAACACGGACAGAGACATTGTCTAAACATTCTGGCTCGGGTATGGCTGAATAATAATCTTCATACAGCGTTTTATCTGGGAGTTGAGCAAATATCGGGGCTAGATACCGACTATAACGTCAGTCAAATTATCACCATTGACTCACCCCGTTTCGTCATAATTCATAGCGTCATCGTCGTTTTGGGAAACCCCGTCCTGCACTCACCCTGCGTCCAGTGCAATATATACCTCATTCAACATCTCCCGACAGGCAATCCATTGAGCTTCCTCCATACCCCCAGACTCTTTCTTGGCAGGATAAGAAGTCGGGCAAGGCATGAGAGGGGTAGATTGTCGTTGGCGTGATGCGGCACTTCTTTTGGGCGCCATTTTGGTCGTTTCTAGTACTTAGTTAGTACTTACTTTGTATCTATGCATCTCAAACAGTCGCGTAGGAACAGGAGAACGAGTGCCACGTGGGAGATGTTTCGAATGCCACGTGGCGACAAGCCATTCACTCCGCCCTTTGCTCTAACGTGACGCCCTCAGCTGCAAGTTGAATTTCTCACATCTGGGCGATTTTCCTTCTTCTTTTCTATCATACTCTGTTCAACTGTTGGCTTGCCCGTGTCCTCATTCCCAGATCTGCTGAAAAGGATCTGACCTCAGCGCGACATGGACCGTATAACTCAAAACCCAACAGAGCTCCTGAGGTGAGTATCCTGGTATTCCCTCATCTCTCAGCTCGTATATGTTCTATGAACCGTGATTGCAAGGCCATGATGCTGACTATGACAGGCTTGTGAACATGTAAGTCGTACTTCGGTACACACACACACACTCCGGTGTCACCCCATGCGTGTCATTTCACGGCCGAGTAAGGTCTATCGATGTCAGACGGGTATCGGTCACGGAATGCGGGGTTGATCAACAGGGTAGTCGGAGGTGTAGCCATTGCTGGAGGTGTAGGATCTTTAATTCACCATTCATTCAGCAGTATCATCATAGGAATATATGAGGTTGTGTGAGTCAAAATAGCTTGTCGGCCTTCCGCAACATTGATCAACTACTATTCCTCCGACCTCGGCATGGGATGAGCTAAGGAGACAGGGCTGGCGCTATCACCATCTTCCTCGAAATTCGAAAACCTACAGAAGAGCATAAAGCTCTCGTTCACAAATACGCGTCATTCATGCACTCTTTCATTGGTCGGGGTGTATGTGAGTATTCCTCTCTCTCCTTGCTGTGTCCTCCGTATTGTCTCCACCTCTGTTCTCCCCACTTCACGTGTATATCTTGGGGGTAATGCTGACCGTTAGTCTACGTACTATTAGGTGTCTTGATGCTCAAGTGAGTGACCCTGTCTGTCTAGATTGTTGTACTGACTCGACAGCTACTATACCCTTCTCTATGTCTGCGGTACTATAGTGGGTGCCATCGGATTAGCCTTTGTCGGATTGAATTTCATCCCAATGTTTGAACCTCCCTCGTGAGTCTTTTCCCATTTTGACCTATTATATATTGACGACATAGGACCATGCAGCCACCTACTATCGACGCGGAAGCTCAGCCTGTCTGGCAAGGACCTACAGAATAAGTCATCAGCTTTGGTATATCTTGGAACAAGTTGGAAGTGTAAATATTTCAGGAGGATATGACAGATGATATTGGAATAGATGCATAAGATCTGAGACCAGGTCGCAATACTTTCACTGCTTCATCGATCAATGAAGGGAAGGATAGAAGGATATGACGCACGGTAGACGGATTTATCCGAAAAAAGGTTGACCGGTCAACCGGTCATCCTAAATATACCTGCCTCACCTCACTTTCAACTTCTTACCTCATCTTCACTTCAGTCTCATCAACATGGGTAGCAAAGACGATCTTCCATCCCCCGTACTGGGTAAACCTAAGAAGAACTGGCGACCTCGTATCTTCCTCGCTCTCTTGTTGACACTAGCTCTGGCCTTCTCCCTCCACCACAAGATCTCACCTGTGGCTGGTTTGGTCGGTCATTCTGCGACTTTCATGAGATGGCAAAAGGCAGAATATCATGCTCAGATGGAAGTGCTGAAAGCAAAGATTCAATGTCCTAAGCAGCCAGAGCCGGTCTATCCCAAACTCACGTGGAATATGACAGATGAGGAGCAGAAAAGGTCGATAGAGTTGTTCGTGGAAGCTGTGGTGAGTCTTTGATTGCACCGCCCTATGATATTCCCAGAATGCTCACACACCTCTACCTACTATTGGCGAAAATTCAGGGAGAGAAGCAGGTACCTGAGTGGAACCCCGATTAGATGGGGACAATCTACATAGAAAACACTTGATCTCACTGGACTAGCGAGCGACTTGGGTCAGCTGCGCCACGAGATATTCAGCTGAACAGACAGCGCATACCTACTCAAAGCTACGACGATAATGGTGAACCTAACGAGGATCCAAGATGGGAACCTTTCTTCGAGTTTCAACAATGGCTACGAAAGAGCTTTCCTGTGGCGTACGTTCAATCTCATCTTCTCACCTCGCCCCCTCCGTGAAAGACCTGGAATGGGGCATTGACTGATGAAAAGACACGAAAAGGCCAAAATTGAATATATCAACAGTAAGTCGATGACCGATTTCGTCCGTAAGCCTTGCTGACTTTGAGCTCTGGGTATCTTAGCGACTTTTGAGGGAGAGGATCCGTCTTTGAAACCTGTAGTCATGTACGTTTGACGTCTATCCCTCCTTTCCTTGCCTTCTCTTCTTCGCCTCACCTCGTGTCTTCCTTGCCTCTTCCTTCTTGGTCACTTTCTTCTGGTTACTTTACATTCCGTTGCTCTAGACGCATCGTGGCTGTTGGAACTGTCGAGTCAAATGTGTATACAAGCACAGTAGTATGTAAAAGCTGACGGAGAGGATGTCACATTACGACGTAGTACCTGCTCCTTCGTCGACATATGACCGCTGGACTCATCCACCTTTCTCAGGTTATAACGACGGTACTTATATCTGGGGACGTGGATCAGGGGATGATAAAACTCTTCTCGTTGCTCAATGTCAGTAAACATCTTTTCATCACTTCCACGCCATTAATTTGCATAACAACCACCAATATTCCCACACCGACAGAAATATACACCGGTAAGATCTCACTGACGATGTAGGGGAAGCCATAACTAAATTATTACAATCTGATTGGAAACCTCTCCGAACCATCATATTCTCTCATGGGTTTGACGAAGAAGAAGTGTTCGCCCGTCGAGGACAAGGAACCATTGCTCCTTTTCTTGAAAAACGGTATGGTCAAAATGGCATCTTGATGGTTATCGACGAAGGGTTCGGAACGATTGATGATTATTTCGGAGCACCTTTCGCTCTTCCCGCTATGGGAGAGAAAGGGTATATGGATGTCAAGGTCAGTACTTCCTCTCCTATCATAGAACCATCACTGACTGATCAGATTACACTTGGTACTGCAGGAGGAGTGAGTTATTCATTTCCATCATCTCAATGAACGCGTTCATAGTGTGCTTACGAACTAGCATTCTTCAATCCCTCCTGAACATACAGGAATAGGTATCATGTCACAATTAGTCTTAAGTCTTGAAGAAAACCCTTTCCCTATCAAAGTGAGTCACCGTCACCCCTCCCCCCCTTCTACACGCCTGGAATAATTTCGCCCTCACTACGATGAAGATCAACGTTGATCTTGAAGTTAACTCCCGAATCACCTATACTGACAAGTCTAATGTGTGCTTCCCTACATGGACCTACTTTCCCAAAATCTCTTTCTAAATACCTCAAATCGGAAGGTCCTACATCTTGGCCAAAACTAGCAAAAGTATTCGCATCACAATCAAGAATCCAACGTGCAATGGTAGGAACCACAACAGCTGTAGACGTCATAAATGGAGGTGTGAAAGTGAACGCTTTACCGGAATTAGTTACTGCAATGGTCAATTTCCGTATCGATTTTGATGAAAGTGTTGAATCTACAAAACAACATGTTAAAGATACTTTGAAAGGGGTGATTGAGAAACATGGGTTGAAATTTATGGCTTTCGATGAGGAAGTGAGGGTAGGAGAGGGGAATGAAAGTTATGTTAAAGTTGATTTGATTGGTTTACCTATTGAACCTGCCCCGAGGACTCCGGCTGTTGGAGGTGTTTGGGAATTATTTGCTGGGACTGTAAAGTACGTTTTTGCCGTCTTCTTCTTCTATACATCGACATATCCCCCCCCCCCCCCCCCCCCGCGCGCCTCTTTCTATTGTAGGGAGTTTCAGTAAGTTTCAGAACGACCCATCAGATAAAAGAAAAGCGCTGTGAAGTTGCACCCCTCAAGAAATCACAACAAGATTGTTGCGGGTTTACAAGAAACGATTAACTGTGTAGAGGGAGGAAAAGTCGGAGCTGATGAAATAGAGCAGTATTACCAGGTCCGAATGGAAAAGAACGTTACGTATCTCCATTCGCACCTACGTCAGTTACTCCTTTCCTTCTTCCTATCAATAAACTTTTAAACGCTGATATTCCAGTGGTAATACAGATTGTAAGATGTACTACAATCTGACCAAAAACGTGTATAGATTCATGGGTGGACCAATGGGTGAATCATTCAATGCTCATACCGTCGACGAAAGAAGTTCGATCAGTGGTCATTTCCAAATCGTTAAATGGGTTCATGCTATTCTCCAAAATGCTGGAGAGTATCAAGGAGAGGAATGAGCGGTCACCATTATAGGGATACGAGTATTGTACTTCATTCGTACTTTGTTTGTGGGACTCTCCCAGTCGACGTGGTTCAGATTAGGATTATGGGGCGGAATGAATCATCTAGAAGTAACTTGTTTCATCTGAGCAAAGCGGATACAGTGGATGGCACGGTTCTGTACATACATGTTAGAACTAGATGTAACTTACCTGGACATATGATAGATGTGAATATGCATTAATATACAATGGTATGTCCATTTTTCTACAATTCGTCATTCTTTACCGTCGACTCAAACAGATGGTAGACGAGATTCTTCCCCATCACCCCATTCCTCATCATTAGGTACATAAACATTATATCTTCCTTCTTCCAACCAAGGCATTTTCATCCTTCCCACCTCACCTTGCCAAACACCCATCGGTCTCACCTCCCATCCTTCACTACCTCTTCTTATCCTACTCGTCTCTCTTTCTCCAGGCACGAGCGGACCTTCGTTATGTTCGTCATAATCGGACAGATAAGGTTCAGGGCTGGAAGATTGACTTTGGCTCGAATGGTTATCAACGTCTTGAGGGTCGTATTGATATGATTCGTCACCGTTCACTGGTTGGTCGTGCGTACCATGAAGATGAAGGTTGGAACCATCATGATGAGTGCGGTGGAAATTATCAGGTTGATTATAGCCTTGAGATTGGTAGTTGGGCTCAGAGGTCGGGTCGAAAGGATAGTTGTCGTCGGCCTTGATGGTCTGCTGAGCATGATCTCTACGTCTAAGAGACGTAGGACGTAATGCCGGGTTCAACGTTTCTTCCCCATAGACAAACGGCGATCCTTCCATCATTCGTGGGTTGGGATCACGATATCGAGTAGGATCTTGAGGTGGCCAAACGTATTGGGCGTCGGGACCTGTCACCGTCAGCTGGATCTGGGGAACATCAGAATTGCTCAAATGTTTTCAGGTAACGAAAGGCTTACTCTTTAACACGTCTCCGTTCCAGTCTCATTGATGCAGACTGGTATCTTTGTCACTAGTCGCACATCCCAGCCACCATTTCCGTGAGGTTGGAAACGCCCTGGGAAGGTGAAGAGAGGGGAGTGAGGATGAAGCCTATACCATCTCCCCATCCCCCAGATGAGATTGTGAAGAACGATGTGAACGGTATCTATCGTCTACACCTTCATGACCCAAATGACTGGAGGAAGAACGTGAGACGGTTTGATCAGGAGCTACGACACCTGCCCATTCCTCTGCAGACTCACCGCCTGCAGCCGGATTGACGGGGAAAGAAAGACCGTCTCCTTGCATTTTCTGGGGCCATATCCACAAAAGAGGGTTGGGACCAAGGACGCTTTCGAGGTTGCGCATAAAACCTAGGTTCTGCAGGTGAGCCAATAGTTGACCCTTTTTGGAACCCGCGGAGACAGACGTTGTCGAGAATTGCACAGATAAACACTGGGGATAGATGACGGGGGGAACGGACTTTGGGTGTGGTGAGAAAGGACCGCTGTCTTAGGTGGTACTTACATATGGATACTTGATCTCTCTTATTTTACCCCTCCTCACCAAAGTAGCAACCTTATCTTTCTCCCACCCTTCTATAGTCGTCGAATTACCCGCTGCCAGATACAAATGATACAATGAGAACATGCCGACACAAAGCCATACCGGTACACAAGCGGCGAAGTTGAAAATCATGAACAACATGTCTTTTACACTTGGTTCTTCCTATCCCAGTCAGCATTACTTGCGCTTGATATCAAGGGAGAGACGCACATAATACGAACGAACGAGGTCCATAACCCTGAAAACGATCATGGCGAGATGATATGATGTCGCTATGTCGACCCAGATGAGAAACCGGATGAAATGACCTTGATTGTGGAAACCGACGCCTGTCATGAGCACAGACTCTATAATATGAACGAAGAAATGTCAAGGGTGACTTACAGTTAGCGATCCAAGGACAATGATCTGAGCATCAGTAAAATCTCAATATGACAGGGAAAGACTAACGATCGAGCTACAATGATTTGAGCCGTGCTCAGCTGCTCACACATAAGTTCACATACCTTTAGCTATCAAAGTCAGCGTTACCAATGACGCATACATGACAAGGATGTTAACTCACTACACATGTTCTACATTGCCGGCAATGATGAGCTACTACTCAGCGTGGATCATATCCTATACGAGGCATAAAATGTACCTCGGGGAGGTTTGTAATGCTCGCATGTTTTGCAATATCTGGGAGCATGTGAACCCCTTTTCACCTCCATCCCGTCCATTTGTCCAATGTTCGGTCGCTCATGGGTCAGCTTCACAGTAGAGGGATCTGTCAATGCCGACTGACCCATCCTGGAGGCACACCTCCCGGGGAAGTGATCACACAGAGTCGGTAGTTCCAGAAAACCATGAAGACAAAGAAGCTAAGGTGAGCTCATCAGTCCAGGAGAGTACAAGGAGCTCACTTGAAAGGGATGAGAAGTTTTAGAAGATCTAGAGAGATGGTCGAGCCGTACCATGGCCAAATGACGAATATTTGAGAAGAAAATGAGATGAAGGAGATGAGTGTGCAAGTCCCTACCACCCTGCTCTATCAGCTTTATCTCCTTTCTCGAAGGATCTATGAGAGGAGATTAGAGTCTCACCAGAACCGACCAAAGTCACGGACGACCATGGGTGAATCTTCATATATGTAGAGTATACAGAAGGTAAGAATTGTCTGGTCAGGCTTACGGGTCGCGACGGACCCATTGCATCATTCTTTATTCGGTCCCCCTTTTCACATTAGGCGCGGAGTGACACAGAATTGAGGCAAGTCAGGCTTACAGTGAGTCAACTGACTTTGCACACGCCGTGATCATGCAGAGTGGGTCCATATCCACCTCCAAAAAGCATGTCAAGTGGAGGTGTTTTGTTACTCACCGTTCACGAGGATTCACAATCAGCCGGTCGTCAATGCCGAAGCTGCGCATGCTGCCGCTTGCCGCCAGGGTTGGCTCTTTGGATCATTGGCCATCAGATGACATCAAAGTGGGAAGGAAGGCTGACTAAAATAACACCCCTCCACCTTTCCTCACTCACCATAGATGCATACCTTTATATTCCAAATGCAGTCATCCTCACCATCCCACACTCATCACATTTTCGAAGATGACCTCTAGTATCGCCAAAGAGAAAGAAAAAGAACGAGATCCGGAAGTTGGACAAGACGATGCGACTTTGGTCGAAACTGATCGTATCCAGTCGGGGGGTGATGAGGAGAAGCAGCAAGATGAATGGATTGTGAAATGGGATGGACCTGACGATCCAGAAGATCCTTTAAATACACCTGAGATGAAAAAATGGTGAGTTCTCGACCCTATCAGCTTGAGGATGAGCTGAGTGTGAAAGGATAATGACTGCCGTCTTGGCCAATGCGTGCGCCTGTGTAACTTGCTGTTCGTCCATGGCTGCAGACGCTTATGCGGGGATGGAAAAACGATTTGGCGTTTCACAGGAGGTTTGTATATTAAGCGTCTCTCTCTTCGTCGCTGGTTTAGGAGTTGGTCCTTGTGAGTTACATACATCAAATGGGTTTCAGGAGTCAATGACTGATGATACAGTGTTTCTTGGACCCATATCGGAGTTTGTGGGTCGAAGTAAGGTGTTACATTACAGCTTTGGTGCTTTCTTTTGTAAGTATTTTCATCCTTCTGAATGTAACAAATACTGATGGAACAGTACTTAACTTTCCTGTCGCATTCGGCATGTTCTCACCCCCTAATACTGGTCAGTTGTTGATGGTTCAGCCAACAAAATCGCCGTTCACTTGGTATTCAGATTTGTGAGCTCTAATCTCCCTGTGATTCCAAACCTGACCCTCAGTTGACAGGATTCGGAGGTTCAGCTTTCCTCTCAGTATCAGGAGGAGCAATCACGGATGTCTTTCGAAATGAGAAGGTCGGAACGTGAGTTTCTCATCGACTACATTTGTTTTATGCTAAATATACAGACCAATGCTTGCCTTTTCCGCTAGTCCATTCATCGGACCTGTACTCGGACCTTTGATATCTGGGTTCATCAACCAAAATGCTTATTGGCGTTGGACGTTTTACGTCGTCTTGATATGGGCTGGCGTGATGCTCGTTCTGCTGGTGGTTTTCGTTCCGGAGACATACAACAGTGAGCTTTTACGACGAAAAGCTATCAGGTACGTTTTCTGCTTCTCCGCTGGTTTGTCAACTAACGGGTAGGCTCCGTAAGCAGACAGGGGAACAAAGATGGAGAGCACCTGTAGAGTTATCGGATAGGACTTTTGTACAAGCGTTGAAGACGAGTATCCAAACGCCATTCAGTGAGTGGTTTTCAACATGCCATTTGGAACCAAGCTGAGATGATAGTTTTGATGTCCACTCAATTGATGGTGTTATTCCTGGATCTTTGGTCTTCCATCATTCTCGGAATCCTCTATCTATCCTTCGGTGGTATTAACTATATCTTTCGAACTCAATATGGATTGTCAGTCCCTCTCAATCCTTCACAAATCCCAAAGCTGATCCGTAGCACGTTAGAGCAGACCGGTCTGGCGTTCTTAGGTATTGGTGCCGGTCAGGTCATAGCTGTCTTCACTCAACCGTATTTCAATAGGTCAGTCAAGCAGACCGGAAACACTCCTCCACACGTCGCTGACTGGCAGACACTACAAACGAGTCGCCCTTGCCAATGGCGGCAAAGCTCCTCCAGAAGCTCGTCTCATAGCTGGTTGTTACGGCGCCGTCCTCTGTCCTCTCGGATTGCTCCTCATGGGATTGACAAGTTTCAAGAATGTCCCATGGATTATCCCTATCCTCTGTTCGAGTTTTTTCGGTTGGGGTATGGTATATAGTTTCACCAGTACTTTTACTTACTTGGTCGAGTGAGCATCTCCCTCCTTTTGAATACTCCCAAGTGGACATGATATTGGCGCTAATCAGATAGTGCATATAGACCTGTGGCCGCCAGCGCTTTAGCTTCTAATTCATTCATGAGATCCGCCTTCGCAGCTGGGTTTCCCTTGTCAGTATCTTACATCCCCAGTAGTAGTCAGCCTAACGACGTAGATTCGGTGAACAATTATACGAACGATTAGGTGCTGTAGGGGGGACTTGTCTATTAGGCGGTTTAATGTGTCTTACCATACCACTTCCTTTCATATTCCATCGTTTAGGTGCTAGAATACGATCTAGATGTGATGTAGCTTCTCAGTAGCATAGATTATAGTTATATTATAATGCAGCATTGTTTTGTTTTTTGGAATTAGCCAGTTGTTCAAATACATACACGACATGTCTCCTGTCTCCTACTTCACCCCCTTCTCTATGTCCATCCTCCTGTCTTTGCTTGAACTCTCGGTCCTGAATCATCTCCTCCGTCCAGGCTTTCCAGCTCCCTTAGCAGCATGTTTATACCCAGCTTTATTCTGTCCTCCTTGATTTTTTGGCCGAGCGCTCATCCCTTTACTCAATCTCCAAGATTCTCTTCTGCTCATCCTCGGTCCGGCTGTGGATATCTTCTTGGGTTCTTCTGCCATCCTCTCATCTGTACTATCAGCTAAGTCCTCCCTTAAGTCCAGCTTTGACGATTCAATATGATTGATAAAAAGATCAGGTGAGAGAAAATAACGATGATTCACCTGTGATCTCCTCTTCTGCAGCCGGAACTTCCTCCTCGGAATTTTGAGATTTTCCCAATAACTTCTCCGACACCCTAGCTGTCCTAGCGGCTTCCACGACGGCATAATGTGAGTCATTTCTCTTCTTTCTTCTCCCCGCCATTTTGGTTTTCGCACGTAATGATTTTGCCATGATTGGTTGGTTGTGTATTCTACAGTCTATGACGGGAAGGATGAGCGATCGAACATTTTGGAGAATTGTGATCTGGGATAAATTAAGAAGAATTAACGGAAGAATAAGCATCCCTATTGAACCATGACGAACGCGCGTTGTGCGAGACTGAGTGAGGTCCATTCCACCTCTATTCATCTGATACACCTCCTCCCTGTTCCCTTCTCTAGTCTTGTACCAAGTCGATTGGAGAAAGTCTTCATCCTCACAGGAACTATACAGAGTCTGCAGTCCAGTGATCTGTCTCCACTGCTAGCTGCTACCACTTCGACACCTCATAATGTCTCGTTCATCTTACGACCGGTGAGCTATCCTGGATGTGTAGTCGGGTCGTGCTGATTGTATTATAGTTACCTCACGGTATTCTCTCCTGAAGGTCGGGTATGTATCTTCTCTCCTCTTTTTCCTTTTGAGTATCGTTCTCATCAAGCATGTCATGCTGACACTACCTTCACGTAGCTATACCAAGTCGGTGAGTTTATCCTGTGACTGTCCTGCCAACCGACTGACCTTGCAGAATACGCCTTCAAAGCTATCTCAGGCTCCGGTATAACAGCCGTCGCCGTACGTGGAAAAGATACCTCAGTAGTTATCACCCAACGTAAAGTTCCCGTCAGTTGCTTCTTTGCACTCACACTGAAAAGCTGATATCATAGGATAAGCTTTTGGACCCAAGCACCATCACCCACTTATTCCAAATCACTCCCACCATTGGATGCGTCATGACTGGTATGATAGGTTTGTCATCTTAACCATCTGGCTGGCGATTGCTAATGAATAGCCGATGCTAGATCTCAAGTGCAAAGGACAAGATCAGAAGCAGCTTCGTTCAGGTACAAATACGGTTATGAAATCACCCCAGATGCCTGTGAGTCGACCGCGTCCTTGAAGCATCATGATGTGTTACATTCTGTAGAATGCTGACAGCAGTGGCGAAACGTATGGCAAATATCAATCAAGTGTATACACAACGTGCCGGTATGCGACCCCTGGGTATATGTGAGCTATGGCCTGAAAATCTTTGTTATTGGGCTCACAGATAGCTATGATACTCATTGGACAAGATGACGAGCGTGGACCACAGGTTTTCAAATTGGACCCAGCGGGATTTTTCGTAGGTTTCAAAGCTACCGCCGCAGGTCAAAAAGCAACGGAAGCGACAAATTTCGTATGTCCCCTAATTTATCCGTTGGCATTGGTCAGACATGTGGAGTGTCAAGCTGACTTATGAGTTGGAGAAGAAATGGAAGACTATGGAAAGTGAGAATACCCTACTGGACCGAGCTGGCGTCATTGAGGTGAGTTATTTTCTGGGAAGATTTGAGGGAAATGCTGATGAAAAGATGGCCATTGAATGTCTATCTACGGTATGTATGACGGACTTTAAGGCTGAGGAGATTGAAATTGGGATCTCTTCGACGTCTCCTGATGAACCAGCACCAGAGGGTAAAGGGATGGGCGGTAAGGGTCTGTTCAGACAGATGGGGGAGGAGGAAAGAGGGGAATGGTTGGTGAGGGTTGGTGAGAAGGATTGAGGGTCGAGTCTTTGCATGCATCTATGTTCATATCATTTATCACTGTGGTGTCATTCCAGATGTGTCCGTACAGACAAGACGGCGACGTCTATGACCATCAACTTGTCCGAAGATTGGGGACTGTCAGAAGACTCTAACAGAATGGTAGATGTTGCCACATGCCACATGAGGTTCCGATCCCCTTACTCTATTAAGTTAAGTACACCATTCGAGTCTCTTCCCTACATCTCTTCCTGTCTCCATTCAAGTACCCAACACCATGTCCCTGTCTCCCCTCTTACCACACATAGGCTCCTCACGATCTTCCATACGAACCTTTTCATCCCGTCTTACTCACGCTTACCACCTTCGTTCCTCTCCCATCTATCGCCCCCGATGCTACCCCGTTCACCAACTTCCTCGACATATCTCCTCATCTATCCCCCGCCGCGCAACCTCAACTCTGGAAGACTCCATAGCATTCGAAAAGACTCGAAGAGCCGTTGAGATGAGTCAACAGAAGATGTATGCTGAGAGAGCAAAGCAAAGTCGGAGTGTCATGTTGTATGGAGCTGGAACTGTAGGTTTTTCTCTTTGACATACCACCCTTTCCGCCCCATGCTTCACACCCTCAAGTCAATCACCTCTATTGCTCCCTCTTGACAACTCAAAGCGTGGGGATCTTCCTTGGTCTAAGGGTCAAATCTCGGTACACCAAGACAAAAGTTACGAGAATGCCAATACTTACCCTTAAGATAATCCTAGCCATCGGTCTAACATACGCTGCCGTACCTCTTTACCGAGCATTCTGTTCTGCCACCGGATATTCCGGAACACCCATGACGGATCGATCTCGATTTTCCCCAGATAGATTATACACCACACCAGAGACAGAAACACGTAAACGTATAACAGTCAGATTCGAAGCTACTTCCAGTGACGCATTACCTTGGAAGTTTGAACCTCAACAAAGAAGTGTTAGAGTTTTACCTGGTGAAACTGCTTTAGCTTTTTATAAAGCCAGGAATGATAGTGATAGGGATTTGATTGGGATAGCTACTTATAATATGACTCCCGATAAGGTGTGTTTTTTCCCTCCGGTTCCTTCATCTTCAATTCAACCTCGCCCTACCATGTCTAACATAATTTTCACCACGTCATTCTTATTCCGACTCACTACCTCACATCTAAATTGGCATGAGAGAAGGAAAGTACTTCTCACTTGCATACACTATGGGAGTGAAGGGATGGGATGTATGTGGATGAAACATGGAAGACTCGAGGAAGGGGGACGAGAGCTCATATTCAGATTGCACCATATTTCGCCAAAGTCGAATGTTTCTGTTTTGAAGAACAAAAAATAAGATCTGGAGAAGAAGTCGACTTACCTGTATTCTTCTTTATCGATAAAGACATTATGGATGATCCTTCTCTCGACGGTGTGGACGATGTCGTTTTAAGTTATACATTTTTCAAGTGTGTTCTCTCTCTCACTCTATCGCTGCGTTAGACGATCATGCTGACATGCAGGGCGAAAAGAAACGATAGAGGTCATACCGTTCCCGATGCACCGGAGGATGTGATAGAGAAATCTCAGGGTTTTGAAAAGTATCAATTAGCAAGAAGAGAGCAGACTTGATTTTTCGCTTCTCTTTTCACCTACTGCATCTATCTTGGTCATATCATAGGTTCACACTATCGTCAATGTTGCATTGTATGTCCCACATTATGTTCTACTCGCACTCGGCAGCCTGCAACTGCGGTGCCGCTTAGATCTGGTCAGTAGCGCCATAAAAGCGGCATGTTCCGATCTTTTCTGACCTGCGCATCCTACGCCGTCCGTCACCTACGGGCCCACCTATAGACCTACCCTTTGGCACTTCTCATTCATCTCCATCCATCTTGGTGCTCTAATCTGCAAATCCGACATCACAAGCTGCTCTTCAAACGGGCGCTTGTGCAGCTAGCCCCTTTCAGTCGACGCATGTGCGAAAGATAGCATCTCAATCCTTGTCATTGTCCAAGATCCAAACACCCTACACCATGGGTAGGAAAAAGATCGAGATCCGTCCTCTCGTCGTGAGTCTTCTTTCCCTATTACAACCCGTGCTAATGAATAGGACGAGAGGAATCGTAATGTTACTTTCCTCAAGGTAAGTCTACGATCTCTGAACAAACATATCGGTCAGATGTAAGATGCGAGGGAGGATCAAACATGTTTTCATAAAGGTGATTCGGACGCTGATGGACAGCGGAAAGCCGGTTTGATGAAGAAAGCTTGGGAATTGGCCGTTTTGACAGGTGCAGACGTATCTTTACTCATCTTTTCGAATTCTGGGAAACCTTATGAATTTTCGACAAAAGATTTGGACGGGGAAATTGATCGTTATCTCGATGTGAGCATCTTCTTCCTCCCTTCCCCATCCGGTGTAAAGTATCCCAGTCGACTCAGCTGTCCGTCTTTCTCTGTTTGTTTTTGCTTTGTCATTTCACACTCGCTGGCTTCTTTGATGTGGGTGATTTACCCAGTTTGAGTATCGTGCTTCTTGATGACTTGAGGATGCACCGTCCTTTACGCAGTCGTTTTCGCGACTTTCCATTCTGTCCCTTTCATAACATCAGCAACTCATCTCATTCTTAAAGTCAGCGGTGAAACCATGTGTTGAATGAAAAGGCAAGACATAGAGCTCACCAGCTGACAATCAGTATGAAGGTCTTATCGAACGTCGACGAGGTGCAGAATTCGCAGCTATGGCAGATGCGGATGAAGATGATTCTGATGATGATTTCCCACGACGAGGTTCGACATCAAAAGGGAATACCTCAACTCCTGGACCCTCGAGAAGTCTGAAAGGACAAGAAACGTACAAGGCGAAAATGACCAGTAGAAAAGAATTAGCTTTGATAGCGAAACAGGGAAAGGAGAAAATGGAAAAAGATGGATCGTTTTTAGGTGGGATATTGGGTGAAAGTCCTTCTGGCGATGAAGCGAGTGAGGAGGCTACACCTTCTGTTGTTGAAGATGCGGCGACTGTGAGTTTTTTCTTTGACTATCTGTGACTTTGTCCGTGGCTTCTGGGGAGCGAGTTTTTCTGTTCTGCCGGTGGCCGGTGGGATTCGAGGGAGAGATCTTCTGCTCCATGTCTCTCAAGCAGGTGAACTTTTGAGTTTAATCTTTGTATCACGAGGAAGGGGTCTTTCTTCTCTCAATATGTACAGGTAATGAGAGGGAGCACCCAGAGGTCGGGTACAAGGTGGAAGAGACTAAGCGGGAAGCGGAGATATTGTCAGAGGTTGTGGATGACAATTGACAATGTAGGAAAACTTGAATTATGCTCTGAATCTTCACTCCACTCGATCACAAACACCGAATCAGAATACTTCTCAAACAACTAATCGACTAAACACAATGCCAAATACCGCAGGACCTTCCAATCCCTCTATTCCTTCGGTTCCTCATCTTCCTACTCAATACAATTTACCAACTCATCACACTCCATCTCACCCTCATCTCCCTCAAATTCCTCAACAATACTATCCCTCTTACCCCTCTCAAACATACTCTCAAACATATCTTTACAATCAACCAGCTCATATCCCATCTATGCAATGGAATCAAGAAGCTCTCACGCGATATGCAGAAGTTCAACTTCAAGAGAATCACAGAAGACAACAAGTCCAACTTTTAGAAAGACAACGTCAACAACTGATCGAACTTGGTATTCCCATAGATGATGGATCATTGATAGATCAATTATTTGGAAATCCTTCCACCTCCGCACAAACTCCTATCACTAACATTCAATCACAATCACAATCACAAATATCAACACCACAACCGTTCATTTGGCCAACACAACAAGATACAGGAACTAGATCTTCCATACAACATACTCGACATGGTTTACATAATCAACATGTTCAAAACACACCGACAGGTTTGGATCTAGTAGGTGGTATAGGAGGAGATTTCATGTGGCCAAATGAACCTCCTACTTTACCTAGTCCAGCTTCCGTGAATGAGAATGAAAAAAAGAGGGAGAGAGATGGTATGGATAGTATGGGCAATGAGAAACGTCTGAGGGTTGGGTGATATTTCCGTATTTGTATTGTTTGATGTAACGAAGGTGGTGTAGGAGTTTAGGGTTTTCAAATATCTAGTTTGATCGGACAATCTGGTTACAATTACAAGGATGCATTACAGGGCATTTTATCCAACCATTAAATCAAGATGACTAGATCGTCTTCATCCTCATCCTCATCCTCTTCATCGTCACCGTCATTATCATCATCACCATGTGGTTCGTTATTCTCATTCAAAATTTCCTCTCTCATCTCTTCATCCTATTGATCAGTTTGATTGAAATGGGCGTAGGACGACATACAGGTCTTTCGGTGATTCTAAGATTACCAAAAAGATTCACTCGACGGGAAGAAGCTATCTTTCTTCCTCTATGATTCTCAGGATGGATGGAGGGTGTGGAAAGAGAAGAAGAAAGAATGATAGAAATGGGTATTCCTTCGTAATGTTCTTGAGGACGTTTACGTTTATTTCCAAAGTTTAAACTGGCTGAAAGTATTTGATTGAGAGTTGCGAACTGACCGATCAGGTCTAATCTTCATCTCTTTCGACTGTGTGACTCACATTTTGACCGTCTATTTCATTTGAACTTTTCTTCTCATTGTTCATCTGTGTATCTCGATAATCTTCCTCATCTTTGGGAGGAATGTTCATTGTAGCTTTTGATCTCCCCGCTCTTCTGGTCTCAGTCGGGGAACATACGTTATCATGATCATCTCCATCTCCTTTTCCATTCCTTGTAGATGATGATTCCCAACATTCGTCAATTGGCAAATTCTGTGAATGAGGTATAAGATTTGACTCTTTCGTCACGTTCTTCCCTCTATCAAGAGAGTTGATACACTTTTGACATTCTCGAATTTCGTCCAATAGATAAGTCACGACCTTGATGAGGACTCTTCGACAAGATAATCTTCTCAATAGTTGATCTAACGTCTGATCGATGGTCTGTCCAATTTTCACCTCCATCTCAATCTCATAAGGAGGTTAATGACTTTTGCTATGTAAAGAAAGAAGAATGAGAAGTTAGACATGCATTTGAAAGATACAATAAGGAAGACTTCAGTAGCTCGTCAGTATAGAACCTCGTGGGAAGGGAGGGAGTGATTGGCGAGTGAAAGGACCTTCGGATCATCGGGATATGGAATGTTCGTATTGTTGTCTTGAAGAGGTAGCTTGACATGCGTTCTTGTAAGTATTTTTCTACTGAGATGAAGAATATATATGCTTGGTTTGGGTACATATATGAATGAGATAGAGATGTGATAGAAAGGGGTTCTATACTTACCTTAAGCACGGTCATGGTCACAAAGTTAAGTAGCTTAGTGGGGGTGAATCTTCGATCACCAAGTGCAATTCCTAAGGTTCCCCCATCTCTTCTCTTCTGACTTTCTCACCTTACCAAACATACTACTATAACGACACAATAAGTAACGATCTCCCCCATGTCTAGAATCAAGGATCAAATTGCTGCTAAACGTTTAGAAGTCAAATCTTCCCCTGCTTCTCGTCGACAAGCCGCTTCGGCTGCTTCGTCCTTAGCGGCTTCCCTTGATCAAACTCATATTGAAGACCGAACATTTCCCTCTCAGTTGAAACATGCAGTTCGAACTGGTATGTCTTTTATCAAACTGTTATTCGTACCAAGCCATGTCTGATCTTTCAAGGAAAACTCGACATATCTTCTCTGTCTCTAGAGGAAATCCCGAGTCAGGTGTATACCACTCTCCTTGGTATTCCTCCCTCCTCTCTTTCTCGACCACCGACAGATACAAAGGTCGGTTCTGAAACATGGACCGAACCTGAAGAACTTGTATCTTTCAAAGCTAGGGATAATACAATCACTCGGATAGATCTAGAAATTGGCTCTTTTGGCGGATTGAAGGTTCTCGACGTAAGCTATTGGTGTATACTCATCATTGAGAAATAGCTAAGATGAAGTTCAAAGGGAACAAATTATCTTCTCTACCTGATAGTTTCGCAGATCTTCTTCGTTTGACGACTGTTGATCTTTCGTAAGTCATCTCTCCACTCAGTCCATAACTTTTCACTGATGAGTGTAGATATAATGATTTCACCTCCATTCCATCCAGTCTTCTACTACTTCCCGCTCTACAAGTCCTAGATCTATCTCATAACCAAATCACCTCCATCAATTTTTCATCTCCTGTCGAGCCTTCTCAAGATGGATTGGATTATGGTGCTGGCTTCCTCTCTACTTCTTTCTCCCGAGCTCAAAACAAAGGTCCATTGAAGATCTGGCCAGTACTCAGAAACCTCAATTTAGGACACAACTTGATCGCTAATGAAGGGCTCGAACCGCTATGCTCGACTAATTTGACATCACTACGAGTTTTCAACCTTGAGAATAATGAACTCAGTGGGGAGTTGAATTTGGAGAAGTGTGGGATTATCAAAGAGGCCATGCCGGAATTGATGAGTTTGAATCTAAACGGAAACTCAAGTCTTCAAAGTACGAAAGGCCTTCTGGCCGATGGAGTCAAGTTGGACATGGTTGGTTGTGGCATTAGTGATGTTCGTTCTCGACGAGATGGACTCAAAACAAATCCATCATCTTCGTCTTCAGACCCTAAGACAGGGATGTCTATCGAGGCAAACCTACCAATTTCGAAACCAACAATGACGATAACATACCGTACTTGTCCCGCTGCTACATTCGACGCTTTACCTCTGAACATTGAATTCGATCTCTATTTACCTGATAAACCCGGCACTACACCCCATCCACTGGTTATCTGGTTTCATGGGGGTGCCCTTTTGCAAGGGAACAAAGAGAACCTTCCACCTCATTTCCGACGATTACCTTCATATCCTTTATCCGGACCGAATGGTGAAGAAAATGTAGCTGTCATTTCCCCAAATCATCGATTAGCTCCTCAAATTCCAATCCTTGACATTCTCTCTGATATCTCAGCACTGTTCACATATGTTCACACGAAACTTAACGACAAGATCGCAAAAGAGGGGAAACAAAACGTGATTGATACTCGAAGAATTTGCGTTTCTGGTGGTTCGACCGGAGGATACCTAGCTCTCATCGCTGGATTGAGTGTCTCTGAGAGTTTGTCAGATGAAGTGGTAGGTGGATACCGTGGAGAATCATCTAAAGGAGGTATCAAATGTCTCGCTCCGTTCTATCCCATTACAGATTTAACACATCCATTCTGGAGTACGGAGACAAATCCTGTACCGTGGTATGGTAAAACGTAAGTCTTCAAGTCTCTTTCTGTTCTTCCTCAAATATCTCATAAAAGCTGTTGTCTAACAAGAAGGGTCTCACACGAAGAAGCTCGACCTCATCTCGATCTCAAAGCTGCACCAGTATGCACAGCCATCTCAGGTGGACCCCGTTCGGTCCTCTACGCCTACATGCTACAACACGCTCTCTTTCCTTCTCTCTTATTTCAAAAACAACGATCAATTGGATCCAGTTTAGATGCTTTTAGACCTACTCCAGAATCTCTTTCCATCTTACATCGTTTGGAGCTTTGTGAAAAAGCAAGAAAGAAGGTCGGACAACCTCCGGTGTATTTGTGTTACGGGACGGTGGATGATAAGGTCCAGCCACAGGAAAAGACGGTGGAGGTGTTCAAGAGAATCATTAGTGATTTCACTTTGGATGTGAAGGAAGGGGGCGATCATGCTTTTGATGAGGATGCCAACGTGGAGTGTCTGGAGTTTAGGTCTTGGTTGGAGAAGAAGCTACTGTAAGTGAACACACGGTCTTTGCCATATAATCCACGACATTTCTGAAATGACATACATTATGGAATGATCGCACTTCTCTTGACGTTTCTAACCCAACGCACGTATCCCATTCAGGCAAAAAAAAGGCCTGTATCACTCTAATCCGCCGACAACGAGAGGGATGATCAAAATAAAATCCAACCAGTCAAGTCAAGATCCAAAGATGACCCTCGGCAGCCTCGGTCCGATCATCAAACCATTAGTTCATCCACGATCACACTCCACTTGACGCATGAAGGACGTAGTCTCTACTTTTCAACACTCATAAATGTCTCATAACCTCATATCCTTTGAGCGGCCTTCTACGACATTGCCTCAAAGGCCCCGCGTGATCCGCGTTCGGCGGCAAGATGTTTTGACTAACAAATTTCACTCACTTTCCCTCCACATCTGTTTTCAGTCTTCCCACCCCTTCCATCATGCTAGCTGATCTCTTTACCTTTCTCGGTGTGTTATCGTATCTCCATTTGATTCTTTCTTCTCCACTTCCTTCTCACCGTCCTCCTCCTCCCCATCCCCTTGCCCTTTCCACAGAACCCCGTCGTCTTTTTCAAAACCATGGTCATAATCCTAATCCCCCCATCCTCCCCACTTTCCCAGGGATCATCTCCGACTACAACACCTCCTCTCCCTCAAACATCACTCGTCGTCTCCCAAGTATCACCCACGTTCATGATGGTATATTCTATGATGAAAACAATGATCAACGTATCTTTCGTGGTTTAGCAATAAGTTACAAAACCTATCCATATCTACCCGATCTAAAAACATTCCATCCTGTTCTTAGCTTTAATAAAGACGATTTACGTTTATTCGATAAACTAAACCTCAACATCATTCGTTTAGGCATATCATGGTCTGCGGCTCAACCTCAAAAAGGTTCAAGAGGCTTCAACGAACATTATCTATCACAAATCAAACATTTAGTGAAAGAAGCGGAGAAACATGGAATATACGTTTTATTAGATTGTCATCAAGATCTTTTCGCAGAGGGGTTTATGGGTGACGGTTTTCCAATTTGGGCAATAACGAAGGATTTTAATACTTTACCTTTTCCTCTTCCTATGAAACCGATGATAGCGAGGTATAACGAGTCAGATAAGGGACCGGAAAATATGAAATATACGGATGATTGGGGTTGGTTTTATGGTTCTGATTCTGTTACGAGAGCTTTTTGGGGTTTGTATACTAATTATGATGGTGTGCAAGATGAGTTTATTAGGTTTTGGTCAAAGATTGCGAGGACTTTTAAAGGGATGAGTAATGTGTTTGGGTATGGTGAGTATTTGTATTCTTCCTCATCTGAAGACTATTCTAATCTCTTACCAGTCTCGTCACAAATTATGGTCTTTTCCCCAGCTTATGTGTCTGTGCGACTTTCCTCCAATACCCCTTCGCCTCTCTTTTGATTCTCATGACTTTTCCCTGCGTGCTCGACCCTGGGCTATCCATTTCTTTCCAGTCAGGCTCGCTTCCATGACGAAACTCAACCCATCTACATAAGAGTAGAGGAATGAGGTGTTTAGTTAGACTGACCATAAAGAACTCATCAACGAACCATTTATCGCTGCAAGATCTACCATTGATATCCCCCTCTCATGGATGTTACGAGACCAGACCGAGACGTATTATCTTCAACCAATGTACGATGCCATCATTTCTTCCATCCGTCTGCAAGACCCATCGACGCTCATCTTTTGGGAACCGGTCTGCGGGTCTGGTGGATCTCTAGGTGGAGGTTTCACACATGTACCTGGGAATGACGAGGGAAGAAGTGTATTGAGTTTTCATTCTTATGGACCTAACTTGGTCGATGGGTTGTTCATACATCAAGCGATTGAGAAAGCGCAGAAGCAGGTGAGGAGATTAGGAGGTGGGGTTATGTTGACTGAATGGGATGTGGAAGCTAGTTGGGGTGAAGAGAGAATGAGGTATGTGATGGAGCTAGCTGATGAATCAAAATTGTCTTGGATGTGAGTTCTCTCACCATTTCGACCCTTACCTCGATTTGTCTGGTTTTGAAATCATGAGAATTGCCGGTAAACTGGGGTCGGAAGGCGGAAGAAGGATAATGTTGTTGGTTGACGATCAGTGGTTGGCAATACAAACAATTTGTCAAAATAGCAGTCAGTTAGCCTTTTGTTAGGGTGTTCGTGTCAGCTGATGAAAAGGGTTCTCCGTCATATGGAAGTTTAGTAGATCCCAACACGGGAGAATATAGATCAAACATGTGTCAATTATTCTCCAGACCTTATCCCAGTTCTGTGAAGGGTGAATTGATATCGTATAGTTTCGATTGGGACAAGAAACTTTTGTACGTGAATATGATCCCGGAGAAGTTTGGAGGTGAGATTGTGGTGAGTGTCACTGAGGAAGCGGCATGGGGATGGGAGGGACGATGGAGCGTTGTCTCAGCGACTAAAGAGGGTAGAGGAATACAGTTGAAGAGATTAGAGACGGAAGAAGAGAAAGAAGCTTTTGAGAAAGGATTGGACGGAGGTGAAGGAAGAAGAGAAGATGTGTGGTGGTGGGTTGAACAAGGTTGGGTGAAGGGGAGTAAACGTGTGGTCGTTCGACTTGGAGGGTCGGTCAGTGGTGGCTCCGTCGAGGTGGTCATTGGTATGATCTGAATAATAAGTCAGTGTATAACCAGGTAGCGTTCTCTTCATCGGTTGTATTGCACAGTAGGAGTAAGTCTATTGTAGTATAGTATAAAGATAGTCACCGATATGAAAGTGAAACCTTGGCATGATAGCCTGCTATTTGTTACCGGAAGGGGAAATTTCCGCCACGCTTTCGATACCACCGTGTCCCACTATGCTACTCCACTTTCGTCTCCTTTTCTTCCAGTCTTTTCATACTCCTAGTCCCTATTTGCACATACAAGTTTGCTTGCGGGTGAGTCTTTCATACCTTTTAATGATCCTTATCATCCCCAACCATCACTTATCGTACTTAAACACGTTTCTCGCTGATCTCGAAACGCTTTTATTGTGGATCTTTAGGTAGTCACATCCCAACGCCCCCATCCATCAATCAGAGGTTCAAAATTTTCAAAGACTCAAACGCCAAGTCAAGATTGATCGCTTATACTCTCGGTACAGGTTTTCGAGACCCTTGTATGAACCCTGGCATACGCCCTCGACCCAGTGTCGACACTATCACACATTCACATTCTCAAACCGTTTTCTCCTTGACATCTCCTTCCACTTCTCCTTTATCTTCTTTGAAAACTCATACATCCCAACTTCGTCGTCGTAACCCTCCAAATTCATCTCCCAACATGTTTTCATCACGGAAATATTCACCTTTACCAACGAGTTCGAACCAGCATCGGAAACGTTCTGGAGGGGGGTTGCCAAGTTGGAAAAGATGGATCATTTTAGGGACTGTTGTTCTCATCGTACTTGGACTTGGATGGACTAGATATGGTGGAAGATCAGAGTACGATGGGAAGAACGATTTAGATTGGACCGAAGAAAGTGAGTCAGGGATGTCGTTACTAATGGATGAGGAAAAAATTCTGATCATAGACACTTACACTCCCGACCTTGATGGTACACCTCAAACGATGGATGACATCGATTATTCTTCCCCTCCTTTCATGCCTGTCGACGAGTCTGGAGATGACGAAGATGAAACTTTCCATGCTCTCCCCATCGATACTAGTCCACACGATACGGAAGAAGATTTAGAACAACCTAGTAACCCACATGACCCTCTATCCAACGAGGCGCAAGACGCGACGGGCGCTGAAGAAGATTTCACAGAGATTTCCGATGAGACAACTTCCACCATCGCTTCTTTCGAAACTGATCCAGATCCGTCATCTACCGTCCATTGTACCGAAGCGTATTCTCCTGAAAAACCTTTGGTACAATATGCTCTGACTATCGACGCTGGATCGACAGGTTCAAGAATTCACGTTTACAAATTCCATAATTGCGATCCTTCCCCTTCTTTAGAGTACGAAACTTTCATGTCTATCAATCCTGGACTTTCGGCTCATGCTCGTGATCCTACCGCTGCGGCCGCTTCTCTCGATCCCCTTATGGAAGAAGCAATGAGGGTCGTACCGGAATCTCTCCATCACTGCTCGCCCGTTGAGGTCAAGGCGACGGCGGGTTTGAGATTATTGGGTGAACAGGAAAGTGAAGCGATTTTGGAAGAAGTACGTAACAGACTTGAGACCAATTTCCCTTTCGCGGTAGGTAGCGAAAAGGCTGTGGAGATAATGGATGGGAAAGATGAGGGTGAGCAATGTCATCCCAAGTATACCTGCTATGACTAACGACAGGCGTCTACGCATGGATCACCGCGAATTACCTCTTGGGTAAGATCGGGGAGGGATCAGACTCGACCGATACGTTAGCAGTCATGGATCTCGGAGGAGCTTCAACTCAAATCGTCTTTGAACCTAAATTCCCTGCGGATTCTTCGCAAGCTTTGGTTGAAGGTGAACATAAATATTCTCTCAACTTTGGTGGTAAAGAATTCACCCTGTATCAACATTCTTATCTCGGTTACGGACTCATGCGTGCTCGTCGTAGCGTACATAATCTCGTCGCGTTCACATGGAGCTTTGGTCGAGGGGAAGTAGAATGGGACGCACTCAGCGAAGACATTCAAGTCCCTAACCCCTGTCTTTCCAAAGGCACAAGCAGAAGAGTGGAATTAGATCCACCTGGTCGTACTGCCGTCAATGTGACTATGCATGGTGCTACCGGTGGGTTCGAGGCTTGTAACAGGGTGGTGGAGTTGGTCATGGCCAAAGACGCGTAAGTCGAACTTCCTCCTCATATCTCTGACTTTATTGATCAATCTAGTATCTGCGAAGTCAAACCATGTTCTTTCAACGGAGTTTATCAACCTTCCCTACTCGATACATTCCCCCGTGGTCAACTCCTCGCTTTGTCTTACTTTACAGACCGGATCAAACCTTTACTCGACGGTTCAGAACTCACCATCGCTGAACTCACATCCATGGCTAAAGACGTATGTGCCGGTCCCAAGACTTGGGCGAAACGATGGGGTAAAAACGCGGTCGCTATGGCTGAATTAGAAGATCGACCTGAATATTGTCTCGATTTGACATTTATGAACGCTCTTCTTGGATTGGGATACGAGTTGACACCTGATAGAGAAATGATAGTTGAGAAGAAGTTGAGGGATGTGGAACTTGGTTGGGCTTTGGGTGCCGGTTTAGCTTTGGTCGAAAAGGCCAGTTTGACCTGTACTGCTTAGAGGGGGTGGGGGATAGGTTATGAGTATGAGTAACTTTCATTGGAATTAGATGGTATGCATACTTACATTCTTTATCAGTGTTGATCATTACTTTATATCTACATTGCACAAATCCACATGGCTTCAAAACCGAGGGCTATGGAATAGGTGAGAGGTGAGAGGTGAGAGGTGAAAGATGCTATATGCAGTGGGGGACAAAGAGAGATGAAACAGCGGTAGCGACTAGTGCCTTGAGCTCGGACCACGAGTATAAAACGATCTGTGCGACGCACGAGCCTTGCCCCCATCCATCCAAGTCTCAGATTCAACCCCTCTTTCACTTCTTTGACAATGTCACTCTCTCCACCTCTCTATTCTCATTATTCAGTTGTCAGTGACCACTCACCATGCCATCCCTCTTACGAAGGAAAAGAGCTCCTTCTCAAACTCAACCCAACCGACCAGAACCAATCCTTCGTCATTCACTCTCTTTACCTGATCTGACCACGCCCCTTATAGATCCAGACGCATGGGAAGAATTCCCTTCTTTCTTCTCACCACCTACTCAACCTAATGGTTCCCCAGTCATCCCTTCCAATTCAAATCCCAAAGAGACCAACTCGGTGCCAAATACCAGAGGAAGGAAACCTAGTCTGATAGGAGCGGCGGTACAATTTCATAAACCTTTTTCGACCCAGACGGTCTCTCCTGATTTCAGAAATCCGGCGGCAAGATGGGCTAGAGAAAGTATGATAAGTACTACTACTTCTGTTCCAGATACAGCTGGTGGAAGAAGAGCTGAATATGCTGAGAGAACTATGAGTGTAGCTAGTCGTAGAAGAGGAAGAAAAGCAAAAGCTTTGACTAGGTTGAATATTGTTGTTGCTGGTGGAAAGGGGGTCGGTAAGACCAGGTGAGTCACATTACATCTACATTCCTTCAACATAATCCCACCTGACATTACTTCCAAACCAATTCAATCCGATTTAATTGATCTCGTTTCTCTGCCTCGGTTTTGTTGTCTTTGTAAGATGATGGAAATCATCCCCAGCATAATCAGAAATGAGATTTCAAAGGACACAGAATTGATGTAAATTGTAGCTTCATCACACTCTTGGCAGATTCCTTGGAATCACATCAATCAATTTCAGACAAAAAAGATCCCACACCGTCAGCAAAGACAACACCAGGACCGCCACAGACAGCACCTCAATCCATGATACCATCCCCTACTAAACGGATGTCAAGTCAAATGATCACCGCCTCTTTGCCAGACTACGAAAAGACTTTGGTGAGAGTTATCGACACACCGGGATTGGAACTTGCGGACACGGCAGTAGGGAGGAGTGAACGGAATCGTGGAGTGGAAGGATTGTTGCGGATGTTGGAAGAGAGGTATGAGGAGACTTTGAGGGAGGAAAGTAAAGTGTTAAGAACAAAAGCGAGAGCGGATGATGAGGTGATACATCTGAGTGAGCTACCCAATCACATTGCATATAAGCTCATATCCAGTCGTTTATCTGATAGATGCCAGAGGGGTGCTCAACCCTGTGCGAGAGGTGAAAGATGTCGATTGGTCAGGAGCTGGTTTATTCGACGAAGCGTCAGTCGTGGTCGAACAGGAAAAATCGAGATCGAAGATGACACGAGGTGATTTAGACATTGTAAGTGTGACGTTGTCCATTCGGGATCAGCTATGCTGACAGAAAGATCCACCGTTTATCGACCCGTGCCAATGTGTTGCCAGTGCTGGCTCATGCGGATGCTCTCACCATATCACAATTGACAGAAGTCAGAGCGGCTGTGCGACGTGACCTTGCCGAGGCAATGCCCGAGGATGGAGGGAGAGGATTTGGGATCTTTCTCGACGAGGAGGCGGATGTAAATGAGATATCTCGTGTTCGACCCGACGCTGACGTCTAGCAATCGTATGATGTCGACATGGATGCTCCCAATAAACCCTTGACCAATGGCGCTCCACCGTCTCCAAGCTCCACGACTAGGAGTGATCCCCCATTGCCCGATTTGCCATACGCGATATTCTCCCCTGAACCGTCGAGAGAGAAGATTTTAGGTCGCAAGTTTGCTTGGGGAATAGCGGACGTGATGGATCCTGAGCAAAGCGATTTTGTTTATTTGCGCGAGGCCATATTCGGGACACATGTCAAGGTGGGATCCTCATGAAACATTAGAGGAAGACTGACATTCAGGCGATGAAGTCTTCAACTCGAGAGGTGTTGTACGAGAGATATAGGACAGAACGGTTGATGGCGAGACAATCCGGAAGATGTGAGTTCAAGTCAGCCGCGATTGGGAGCCAAAAGCTGATTCATCCGATACAGTTCGTTGAGAATTTCGATCTAGGAAAGTCGAGATGGGTAGTATGTGCATGGTATACATTCTTACGGGGTAGATTATTGTGGAATATGCTATACTTATCATTCATCTGCGAAATCGCCTGCGAGTTAGTCGTCTCAATAAGGTGGGTTTAGACTCACCCTCGTCCATGTCTTTTGGCATTCGAGGTTCTTCATCTTCCCCATATTGCATCATATTGTCTATATGACTCATGATAGTGTTGACCGAGTCTTCATCGGAGACGTCTAAGGGGAGGAATGAGACGATGTTTTGGTCTTCAATCTGTTTGTCAGTTTCACGTCATGATTGCATTTGCCGAACAAGGGTCATCATACATAGTCAGGATAGTGAGATTTGCAGCCACCAAGGGTCTCCGCTCGAAGAGGATGAAGAGCGAGTCATTTGAGGTATCGTAAATGAGTGGGAATAGAACGATCGTACGCATCTTTCAAAATTGTCCATATACACGAGTAACGAGAGAGAGAGAGAGAGAGAGGATTGAACAAACAGAGAATCGATAAGTCACTCACCAACGAAACGACAGCTTTATTCAACCTTTGATACCTCTCATGAACCCCTTTATTCTCATCCATTAAACTAACATCATTTTCTAAAAACCTTCCAACTTGTCCTCCAAACCTGCCTTTTTTATCTTTTACCAAATCCATCTTACTCATGACACATAACATACTAACTCCTAATGCCAACATACAACTCATAGCTGACATTACACCTGCGAAGAATTTCGATTTATCTTGCATGAATTGTGAATCTAGTAAATAACAAGCTGAAACTCTGAAATTTAATTGAACGGAAAGATGATTGGCTAATCTTGGTAAAAGTGGTATATGAGTGTAAAGTTCTATTTGACCTGGACAATCTATAATGAGATAATCATCTTCGTATGGACCTAATTCGTCGTCTAACCAATCTAAGTTATTGAGTAGGTATCTGGTATGAGTGAACGTTTCTCCCATTTTATTATATAGTCCAACGACATTTCTCTTCTCCTTTTCGACTCCATCCTTCAGATTGTCATTCAAGAATTCCTCCCATCTCTTTTCGAGATTCACACTTGAACATTTTCGGTATACTTGTAGTCATACAGCGTATTCATACGGTATATACCCAGAGATGTGATTGATGTTGTCTAAACCCCGTGAGAATATTAATGAGGGATTCGCACGACGTGCTCACGGGACGGTGAAATGTGGTAGATTACTCGGTACATGGACTGAAAAGAAGTAAAGAAAATAAACCAAACTCACTCGAAACAATACACAAGTCCCCCATTAGGTCCAAATTCCAATTCGTCCATCACATCTTCTAAAGAAATCAAATCACGGATATCGACAGCGGGATCGTAATCGAATCTTTCTGCCGCGGGATCCAAATTGACCAGATGAACAGTTCGACCAAGGGTTTGAGCATGGGTGATGAGAGAGGTGCAGAAAGTCGATTTGCCTGCACCGGCGGGTCCGGTGATGAGGACCGCGTATCGCATGAGGGTGGAAGAGGAGGAAACGAGTGAGAGAGAACAGCAGGGCACGAGCAAGGTCGGAAACGCAGACGAGGATATAGGCAAATACAGTATATATAGGTAAAACCAGAATTTTATTCAACTGGCAAGTGTCAGTTAATGTCCTTTAGCACAGTTGGTAGTGCGTCCGACTGTTAGTTTCGGCTCACTCTGTGAGCTGAGTTGCGGTATCGGGAGGTCAACAGTTCAAGCCTGTTAGGGACAGCTTTTTGGGTTGTGGCTACGTCTTGTTTAAGGTACAAAGCACATGCATCCTGGCGGTGTCGAATGACCTCGTCATGACTGGAGAACCACATGCATACGACTATCAGTCATGATAGTACTTATTGAACTTTTCCACCAAATCGGGGTCATGCTGCGAAGGTCAGCCGTCGAATCGACTCAGACGAGAGCGTACGCGATACAGAGCTTGAAAGCCTGAGAAACCATCACGCAGCACGAGTATCTGTTGGGGAGGAGCAGTAGGGACCAGAGAGGCTCTAGATTCTGCGTATATCTGTCAGTCAACAAAGTCGGGAAATGGCCTAGAGTCGGGTTCTGAGAGACGAGTATAGACTCATGCTGCGTCACTCACCCGAGCAGCTTTAGGTCCTCTAAATGGTCATGAGCCGTGGTCTTCGTTCAACATGATGAAACTCACCTAGCTTGGGACAAAGCGCAGTCTGCTGATAAGCAATGCTCACTGAGGAAAAGACGTATTTACGGAAGATGACTTTAGGTACTACTGGTCAGCGCCGAGACTTCGTCAAAAAAGCACCTCACCTGTCTTTAACCGCTCCACTAAACCAGATACGTTGTCATGGAATGTCTCGCTGGGATAGTTGAGAGCGGATACGATGTTTCCGCCCTACTTCAATATCAGCAGTCTGCTGAGAGCCTTCCCGTACGACATTAAACATCTCGCGACGAGTCATGATGGATAAACAGCTCTCACCAAACCGATGGCATGGTATGAAGATGTTGCGTAGAGACGTAACAGAAATGGGATGATGGTAGGAAGGGTCAGAGCAAAGCTTGGGTTCTTGGTTACGAGGGAGAAATTCGAGATGATTGGTTGATTGAGACTCACGACGAAATCATCACCTCTAACATCCACCACTGCATAATCTTTCAGAGCGGCAGAAGGACTTGCCTTGATCATCGTTGCTAGTTCCTAACACTCAGCTATTGCCAACATTATTGATAGACACACTGGCAATGTTTCGAGCAAGGAAAAGGAAACTCACTCTGGCTGTGATATATGCGTATGGCAGGGAGAGTGACATGATGCTCAGAGAGCTGATTGACTTATTATGGACGATTTCGACCTGTCTTCTTTCCGTAACTTATCCAAGTGTCCGTGAACCAGTAGAACTGTGATCCTGTGAGAAGCAGTCCGTTTGATTTTCGATCCAGGCAGAGACTGAAAGAGATGTTTGAAGAGGACGTTCATTGGTTCCTTCCTGAGCACCAACTTCGGAGCCCCGGTTGCCGCCGGTCTGTAAAACCCTTCAACCTATTTCGACTTCCTCTCTCTCCATCGTCTCTTTTCTGATCACCGACATCTCCCACATATCTGTATAAACTATCAGCAACACTAGGTAACATGTCATTCGCCCGTGCAGGCTTGAGAACACTCGTGAGCACCAATAATGACCCCGCTGGTGACGCTGACTCAGCTTAGCGAACCCTTCCCCGTCTTCAGGTAAACCGATCGACCTCCTTATTGGCCCAACAAAGACATTTGTCAGCAGAAGCTAGAAAGCTCATTGACGATGTCGGCTCTTTTCATATTGCTAAGATCTTAGAGCTGATGGATAGGCTGTACATACTAACCCCTTGGTGGTATTTATGAAAGGTACGCCGGAACAACCTCAATGTGGGTTTTCACGGGCCGTTTGTCAGATTTTAGATGTTCAAGTGAGTCATATTCTTCTTCATCCGTTTGCATACTTGATGAATCAATAATACATTCATATCATCCAACCTTCACTTGTGTGTCGAGTCTCGTAGTCATCTATGATATGATGTTCCATGAATTTGAATCTGACGAATAGGGAGTGCCAAGGGAAAAGATGAAGACGTTCAATTGTTTGGAAGATCAAGAACTCCGACAAGGGATCAAAGAGTATAGGTTGGTACTTGTATCGGACCTGGTATGGGATTGACGAAGCAGTGACTGGCCCACCATACCTCAACTCTATGTGAAGGGCGAATTTGTCGGTGGATGCGATATCATCTTGTCAAGTGGGTAGATTTTTCGCCTGATCGTTTTCGCTCCTTGTCTCAATCATAGAATCACAGAAGCGTCTCTTGCAACGAGTGGCATTACAGTTGTCTGGTGTGAACGATACTGACGGCAGTGCACCAAAGCGGCGAATTAGAAAAGTTATTGATGAAAGAAGGATTGGTTCCCGAATTCTTACCAGAAGAACAAAAACAATAGTCATTTCGATCTCTTCATCGTCTCGTGCATCTTTTTCATCTACATACCACTCTTGTCACACGTGACTGAAAAGGAGAGATGCAATGCATATCATCATGCCAGATGCTATCTGTCAAACCTGAAGCAGTCTCAAAGGCGTCAGTGAATTTGAACAGTTCGAAATCACTTCCTATCACTCGTTCTTTGAGGGTTCATCCACCTATTCACCCTATTACGCATCCGTGGAGCTTTACGACTGAACCATTCCCAACTCAACTTCATGATCTCTCCACCTGCGTCGAAAGGCGTGGGGATCTCCGAGTAACCCGGTCGGGCGGTAGGGTGTCGGACGTAGACCGCAGAGCATGTGAGGTAGGAAGGCAATATATATGCGGGGACGAAGATGTGTGGGGAGGCGTAAGGGGGAAGGGTGAAGTGTGAATTGGCGGGGGGCTTACTTTTGGGTTTTTGAGCGAGTTTAGACTGTGGTTTTGTGGATGGAGTGGATGGGGTCGATTCAGTTGATTGGGCGGTTGCGGGTTCGGGAGTGGTCTCACTGGACTCGGACGTAATGTCGGAAGGAGACTCTGCGGGTAAAGAGTTTTCAGATGTCGAGATTTCAGGAGCGGGCTCCGCGGTAGGGATAGCTGACTCTGTATCTTCTGTTGGATTCGTTAACGATGGGTCGTCGATGGATGCAGAATCAGTTGAGGAGGAAGGAGAGGGTTGTAACATAGGGATGGCTTTTGGGTCCACGGAGAAAAGATCTCCTGGGTTTAGCAGGGTATTGGGATTCCGTTCCTAACCGATCAGCTTCCTCTCCACGTCCTGTCATGACATGACATTTAGCAATCAATGAGGGCATTGCTATTTTATGTCCACCCAGTCCCCCTCTCCGCGAGCGGACTGAACAGATAGATGGAGGTTTGGTGAATGTGCAAGGCAGAAAGAGGGTCAGTGATGAAGAGAAAAGTTGAAGATTCTGAGAAGGGCAATGATAAAATACAACTCACGACAACCCCATTCAACTTGACTTTCCCATGTATAATATAATGTCTTGCCAAATAAACGCTTGATGCGAAACAAGCTCTGAAGATCAAAGTATCCAACCTTCTTTCCACTTCTGAAAACATCAAACTTCCCACTGGAGCTCTAGAATCTTCTGTTTTCCATTTCGATTCCCTCTCTTCTCTAGTTCTACCACCAGCTCTTTCTCTTCCTTCCACCCATTTACTTAATTCCAAACTACCAGAAGAGGAAGAAGAAGAAGGGGTTTTTCCTCGTATGCTCGGTAAAGAATCGGGAAGGTACCAACGTTCGAACCTCGTTTGAGTTATTTGATCACCATGATAACCTCTTGTAAGACGTTTAGCCAACCATCTACGTTGAAAAAGTGACATGTTATTCCATTTTATTTCCAGCCTGTCTTTGTAAGTCGGAGATCCGGGGGTTTGTTGCCATATGTTGTAAAGGTTGGAAAGGGACCATGACTGGGGTTAGTGGAGGAGACTTGGAGAAGATTGATTATTTAAAGATATTCGACTATTTCATGAAATAAAAGCACTTTGAGTAGATGGTGAGGTGGTACTGATATGTATTACTCCCAGTGAGAAAATGGACGGGTTAGGAGGAAAGTATAGAGGCATGGAAGAGAGAACTCAGAACCACTCACCATACGCGGTAGAGCTCGATGGGGGTTGAACTGCCCCCGACTGGCAATCTTCCGCATCACCATGATGAATGGCTGACCACTCTTGATACCTTAGATCTAACCTTGCTCCCCCTTGCTTCACTGATCACTGATACTGACGAAGTAATTGTCGGTTTTTCGTGGTGAGATCAGGAGACGGAGCAACTTTTTCGAAATCGCAAAGCGGAACCAAATCCGATCCGTCACACACTTTATGGATCGTATCGCCAGTGATGTGTCACAATGATCAACGAGCATTGAAACACATCGCGAATAGCGGCAAAATGCAATGCAAACCAAGCAGCTACAAGATTGAGGCGTACTTTAAGAACGTCAAGCCAGGATCTCCATCACCACACCAGCGGCTATAGTCTCACCTCCACGTCTGATCAACACCCTTCCCATCTCCTTATTCTCCGCCGCTGTCTCCAGAGCCAAAGTTGGTACTTTTGAACTACCGCCAGTCGGTCGGAATGTCAACTCAACAGTAGCTGTCGTGCCTTTCTGTAGCACTCTGACTTGTCAGCTGGTACGCTTCCTCAGGCATGCATCAACTGACCTAGGGTTCTTTCTTGTGACTTGTCCCTTTTCGCTGATTGAGATCAGCTTCGAGATGGTGGCGGGCAGGTTGACAGAATGATGGAATAACTCGACCTGTACGTCAAGTCTGATCATGAAAATGAAGAGAGATGTTACATACCGGTGTTCCGGAGATTATGGGTGACTGAAGATCGAATACCAGTATTTGCGCTGTGAACTTCGATACCAAGGACACAGGTTGGGAAGGAGGACAGAGGACGGTTCCGATAGCTAAATGTATCGGATCGATACCCGCTAGATACAAAGTGACATTTTGACCCGCGGTGGCATATGGAGCAGACTCGTCATCCACCTCGATAGCTGAAGCGTCAGCTCGGACGGGTGACGACGGACAAACACTTACTTCTAACACTACCTACCTCATCTCCAGGGATCGCGCGAAGACGATCTCCTACCTGAACCACACCAGAACATAATCGACCTGAGACTGCCACGCCAGAAGCGATAGCGGTTTGACCTTTGAAGACGTTTGATACGGGGATTCGAAGAGGTGATTCGTAGGGTCGTGCGGGCACTTCGGCCTTGTCTGCAAATGAGCAACGCGATGATAGCAGGGGGGCAATCTAGGTACTCACCCAATGTATCGATCAAAGTCGGACCATCATACCATGCTTTCAATAGCGGATCCTCGTTGACCAGGACATTCGTACCCTCCATAGCGGCTAAAGGGAGGAAAACAGTCTTGCTGGCGGTAAAGCCAGCAGATACCAAGAAGGGTTTCAAAGAATCGACGATCTCGTCATACCGATCCTGTGACCAGTCCACCTAGACAGATAAGTGTGCTAGATCTTGATTTGATTTGGCATCACGTACCAAGTCCATCTTATTGACGCCGACCACTATTTCTTTGACTCCCAAACTTCGAACTAACCAAGCGTGTTCTCTGGTCTGCCCGCCGCGCTCAAAACCAGCTTCGAACTCCCCGGGGGAGCCGTCAACAACCAACAAGGCCACATCAGCTTGCGCGGCTCCGGAGATCATGGCCGGAATGAAGTCACGATGCCCAGGTGCGTCAAGAAGGGTGATATTGCGATGCGGAGTCGAAAAGTGAGTGGTAGCAATGTCGATGGTGACCCCTCTAACGACATGAGCACGACCATCCAGAAGACGGTGAAGGACGCACCGATCTCTTTCATCACCCAAAGCATCCAAGCCCCAGGCAAAAGCAAAACTACTTTTGCCTACACGCTTGCTACCTCTCTCATTGGCAGTCTTCTCCTTTTCGGATAATTCGCCTATGTCATACAATAACCGACCCATCAGAGTCGATTTCCCAGCGTCAACATGTCCTACCCTGTAAGCTTGTTTCAGACCAGTTCACTAGCTATGCACTCACCGACCACGATCAAACTCATATTTTGCTTCCCGGATTCCGCTTCTTCCCTTTTGACCTTGGCAATGAGATCCTCTCGCTTCACGCTGACCACAGTTTTCTCCTTGAACTTTTCCCTCTCCCTGTCGAGGTCTGCTTGATCTGCGTTCTCACCTAAGTGCAAACCTTCCAGATCTTGTCGCGCGGTGGATAATCCACTCGGGCCCGGAGTGGTAGGTGTCCGATTACCTGAACTGGATGCTTTTGGCTTAGGAACACTGCGTGGTGTTCCTGGTTGAGTCGCGGATTTGATCAAACTCCCGGGTTGGCTTCGAGGTTTGCCAGGCTGTGAGACGGACTTAGGTGTAGAAGGTGTGGCAGGTGAAGAGGCTTTGGCAACTATGAGTAGTCAGCGTCGAGAACATGAGAATGTCAAAACCTGCGAGACAACAGGTAGCAGAGATGTGCATGACACTATGGCTTTCTCCGCTTGCCCTTCGGTACAGGCTTCTCGGGTGGTTCTCGTATGGGAGTTTTGATAGTCGTGTCCGCTGCCGCTGTCCCAGCTCGGCCCTGACGCGCGCGTAGAACAATGTCGTCTGGGCTCTCGGCGTCTGAGAAAGCGGCGTGGATACGTCTGATGAGATCGTCTTCGTCGAATACGGTGGGTATATGGTTGTGGTAAGTGAATTGAGGAAATGGTGCAGATGCCGGTGTAGACTTCGTAAGGATGTTGAAAAACGCGGAGGGAGCCATGATGGGGTTTGAGGTGGAGCCAGGAGCTGGATACAGCTCGTCATGGCTTGCATGATCTACGTCTCTCATCATGGTCGAGACAATCCCCGCAGACCGATGTTCGGTGGTATCGGAAGCTGGAGTCCCCGGCTGGGTTTTCGATGCACGAGCGGCTGCCATCTTCTGGGCCAATTTGGACAGAGGTTTGGGGGATGGTGCTTCTGGACGAGAAGTCAGGGGCTGATTGACTGCTGGAGCAGACTGGAAAGAAGGGGAAGACGACGTTTGAGCTGTTTCTCTACGCTTCTGGGCCAGTAAAGCGAGTTTCGACATTGGCTTGCTTGACTCTTGTGCAGGGGGTGTTACTTCGGTTTCGTGAGTCGAAGAGGATGATTGGGATGATGTGGTATTGATAGAAAGGTTTTTCATAGCGGAATCGGGTGCAGCACTGGTGGTGACAGAATGGGAGGGTCGATGAGGCCTTTGGCGAGGTCCACCAGGACAAGGGAGCAATTCGATCGGTATCGGCTGGCCTGGAACCCAGGCTCAGCTCGTCCTTGTTGCAGTGAAGGAGATGTAGACCTCGAACCATAGAATCACCAATATACCATCATGAGGCCTCAGTCTGATCTGAGAGGGGTAGAACATATTGAGTGAGAATGAAGGAGAAAGAGCAGAGACCGACCTTTCTTCTCCCAATCCTTTCTGAGCCAAGTGACGGCCTTGTCCACATCAAACCAGTAATGCCAGAGCGACTGTGCGATCGCGTCGTCCGATATTGGAGGCCTTATATCTTTCAGAAAAGCCTTCGCTATTGGCATCGAAGTTGCCATCTGCTCTATCCCTGTTCAGTACGCGATCTGCGTGGCGAGACAGACTGACCTTGCTGTTCCGGGGTCATGCCATCGTCCGTATCATCTCTCTCAGCAACGTCTCGCTCCTCTACAACGTCAGCCATCGATGTTTTCAAATCAGTCTGTTTCAAACTTACCATCCAGATCAAGGCCACGTACAAAACGATGCCGCGACATTGTAATATGCAGATTGAAGGGGGTAAGAAGTTGAACTGCAGACGGGTTCTTAAAGATGGGGAAGGATAGAGCGCGGCGATCGCCGCTAGAGTGACAGCGCAGCTCGTCCTCCATCGCCTCCTACTTTAACTTCCCCACTTACTTCTTCCTCTCTCGCCACAGTCACACTCTCAACTTGGTAAACTACGATTATCATCACAACACAATGTCCTGGTAAGTTGATGATTTCGATACTCATTGAGGCAAGCTGATCATGTCACAGGGGAGGGTATGTCTTATTTCTTTCTCTATCCATACGCAGACGTCATCTCTCACGGCAGCTGACCCCAATGTAGGTTCAAGAAAGCCGCCACCAGGGCGAGCACTACCCTGATGCAGAAAACGGGCCAAATTGAGCGGACCAATGATAGCGAATTTGCAGAAGAGGAAAGACGGTTCAAACAGTGAGGTAATGTTCTTATTCAACTTGGGGTTTGCTGATGTGGAAGGATGGAGAAAGAAACCAATAATCTACAGAAGGAAGCCAAAACCTATTTGGACGCAATGCGAGGTGTGTAAAATGCGCTACTAAGTACAGGGAGAGAATCTGACAAGTAGCTATGGCTGGATCACAGACTCGTATAGCCGAAACGGTTGCCTTATTCTACACCGCCGACAGGACCAGCGACGTCAGTCATCTAGCGGCGTTCACTGGATCTAGCTCACGGATTATAGGGAGCTATGGCGGGGCATGCTTACAAGTCTGCAGTGGACGAACTTGATGCTGGTGTCGGTCGAGAACTCGTAAGTTCATCAAGTCGTCAGGATTGGTCATGCTGCTGATGGAAAGGACGCCCCATTCAGAGCAACCGTGCTTGAGCCAGTGGGCAAGCTCAATTCATATTACACAGCTATCAATGCAGCGATTGTCAAGCGTAATCATAAGGTTGGCTCATTTTCAGTCAGAGACATTCATTCTGCTGAGAATCAGATGACAGACTATGATGCGGCCAGATCGAAAATGAAAAAGATGATAGAAAAGCCTTCAGACGATCCTACCAAATTACCAAAGGTCCAGGCGGAGCATGACGAAGCTCGTGACATCTTCAACCTCCTCAACGATCAATTGATATCTGAGCTTCCCATGTTGCTCGATCTACGGATACGTGCGTCTCCTCCCTCTCCCTCCCCTCTTTCTCACAAGTTCCCTGGTTTCTGTCCTGTTCTTAGCTTTCGAGGTCAAAAAGGATGAGGCGGTGGAGATCGCGGCCAAACTAATATTCTAGCTTATCTCGATCCTTCCTTCGAAGCCATGGTCCGCTGTCAACTTCGATTCGCCCAAGAGGGATATGATAAATTAGCAGGCGTGCAGAGGCAAGTCATGACTTATTATGTTGACCGCTGGCTAATTTTTGACAGATATTTCAGCGAGAATATTCGGGACGATTATGCGAATGGCGCGTTGGATGGACAGGTGGAGGCCGTACTAGAAGAAATGAAGGAGCTTTCCATTTATGGTCCGTAGATCGGCGGCCTTGGGAAGGGGCCCGTGCGATGGGTTGTTGTAGATCTCGTATGGATGTGTATTGATCTATTCCAATAAAAGGTCGAGGAATCCTTCTGCGATGACCAGGCCGAATGTTCAGATGACGCAATGACAGGGGGAGACAAAATGAGAGTGTGGTACTCATCTGCATGTCAGAGAATCCGTCTCAAACGTCGATTGTTTCCATCTGAGAGCGTCCTTATGTTCGCTCCTCCTTGACGGACCCGGTACTAGGCAATATTTTTGGCTACAAGCAAGGTGGGTCGACGATCTCGACGACGGCGAGGGACTTCTAGCCGCCCCATTTAAGATGGGAAGGGGAAAGTGAGCTTATTGGCTAAGGGGGAATGATGAAAGAAGTTGGGGATAGTGAAACGACTCACCATCCACCCGATGATCTACGTGTTCAAAGCTCTGCTAGTTGTTTAAATGCCGTCGATTCATTGAGGGCATTGAAACACCAGCAATTCTCTTACCTCAGCCGCATGAAGTGGATGAGTGACCGCCCATGAGCCTCAACTTACCTCATTCGATCACATGAATGCCCTTCGGACGGGAAACACCAAAATCTCTTCCGGCCCCGATCATCCCTCTCATTCTTTCTCTTCTCTTTCTTGACTCATCCTACTTGCAATGTCGACTTATCGCCTGCCGGAGGAGTCCCACTTTGAGTGGGATGCTAATGCAAAAACAAGATGGACCGAGATACAACCCACTCGCCACATAGCAAAGCATCCGATGATGGGAGGCCCGGGCGTCTTCTCTCCTCTTCTGCTTCTTTCCCCTGCTCTCTTCGTCCGCCTGCATCCCTCCTTCGGATATCAGGGTAGGAGAAGCCGCGGAAAAGAGGAGGAGTCATATTGGCAAGTATGATATCATGCTACAAGCTAATTGAAACGTCTTATCGTGACACGGAACTCCTTCTCTTTCTCTATCCTTCGAAGCTAGTTTTTCCTTCTGACGAGGATCATCAGCAGTCACTCGCTTCGTCTATCTTGGAGATCCAGAGTGAGACCAACTCATAGTGAGTGACTTCCAATGGTTTGACATATTACTAGAAGCTCGGAAAGAAAGAGCTTACAGTTTGATGGCAGGAACGCTTATCCCTGACACACATCTTATTCACTTCTAGCCTTTTTCCGTGGTACGCTGAAGAATGCGAAGCTCGGACCGCGGAGCATCGGAGGCTTCTATGATGGCCATGAATCGAAGAGAAGAAAGGCAAAGGCAGCCTGATGTTTCATTTAAAACACCGCAACACCGTTTCTCGATCATCATCGTTGACATTTAACCTCTGACCTCAGGACCACCTCTCTCTCCCCGTTTTAACACCCAACTTGTGAAGATTTGTGAATATCCTTGTGAAAAGAATCAGTAAAAGCATCAACTTTCAACAATCAACATAGCAATTGACGACATCAGTATCACGAGACACGGTGCATTAGAAGAATCAAAAAAAGAAACATCACTTCATACGCACGCCAACCACACATCCTTTCCATCAATAGAACACCCAGCGCAAGATTATCCATATCCGCTTCTTCTCACACTACCTCCAAAGTATCGCTTCGCCCCATCGTCGTACTCCGTCATCCAAGGAGTGGTCGAAGTAGAAGCAGATGACATCAGCGCCAATGGAAGACCTCGAAGGAGGAACGGAACTTGAACTCGAGTTGAACAGGTGAGTATTTTCGAATCCTCCTTTCTCGTCTTCCCGATTGACGGCGTCGTGTCCTTCGATCTCAGAACTAGTTAGACCATTGGGTATCAGAACCATGAGCGGTCACACCAACCTTGAAAGGTTGAGAAAAGTCTTAATTCATCCCCTATACCCTTACCATAATCCGAACTCGTTCACTCTCATGTCCCTTTTCCTTCTTTCTTCTCTTCATCCCCTTTAATGGGAAACAATCTGTCGTCATCTTTCTCCCGATTGTCCCGAACTGCTTGTCCTGCCACACTCTCATCGAGCGTCGTCAGTCGTCTCCCACCCCACTCTAGTGGGGCAAGGGTTTAGGGTTTGATGATGATATGAAAAGGACACTACGGAGGGCGCAGATTGGGTTCGATTCGAAAGAAAAGAGGGTTGTCACATATGAAAGAGGCAAGAGTATCTGTTTACTCTATTCGAGAACCCCACATGCTCTTTTCATTCCAGTACCCTTCTTGGGATCAAAGCCTCCATCTCGGCTGCGATCGTTTGAATGGCTCGGTGTCAAATCCAGCTAATCCCCAATCGATCCCATCTTTCTCTTGCCAGTGACGAGCTCATTCCCCTCTGCCCTCTGGTCTCACGCTTGACTTCGGCAACTGCCCCCACGTCCACCTCCTTTGATCCGTCCTCCGCACTGATCTCTCGATCTATACAGTTACCATTCCGAGCTTAGCTTCATCGGCGTCCAGTCCTTTGACCGTGCTTAGCCTCGTGTTTTTCTCATCGTCAAACCCTAGACTTTCACCGCGCTCGGACCTCGGACTCGTACTCTCTCTCGGCCCCGCTCTCCCATGTCCCGGCCGTCGCTTTTCTACTTTGCCTGTCCTTTGAACCTCGCCTGTCCTGCCCTGCCGCCTTTCCCCTTCCTTTGCCGTCTGACGTGTCGAAACTCGAGTTTTCTCTCGTGTGGCGAGCTTCTTCCTACCTCAATCTCCTAGCTAGGATCCTGGTCTTGTCGTCTATAGTCAGAGGGGCTGCGTGCTCTCTATCGTACACGTCTTCCCTGTTCTCAGTCTCCTCCCACCCACCCACCATCTCTCTCTCTCTCTGTCGTACACACTCGGCCCCTATCTCTCCCCCCATATCTTGTTCTTTTCTTCTCTTCTCTATCTTGCTCCATCATTAATCCCTTGTTTGGGTGTGCCTTCTCGGTCTTTGAACATTTCCGTCAACTGTGCCTCTTCTTCAAGATTTCGCCTCTCGGTTGTAGTGCATAAGAAGCCAACCCCGTTCTTGTGCAACACCCTTCGATCTCACTCATCTGCTGTCGTTTTTCACCTTGTCCTTGCTGTTCCGCTTGGCTGATATTGCTTTTGTCGCCGTCAGTCTCAAAACTGTCCGTCAACCCGATATCCGCCCTGTCGACCTCGATCCGACTTGTCCCCCTTTCCCTTATCCTTGGATATACCCAGTAGATACGCTCGCTCTCTCGCTCGTCTTTCGTCAGCCATCAACAAGTGTCATTTTGGTGTCTCCAGTCGATCCGGTCCTTCCAGACACGCCCAAAACGACGCCGAACATGTCGTCGCCTCACTCCCACCCTGTTGGAGGTGACGTGACAGACGACCTCACATCTCGTCTGGGAACGATCTCCATCGATGATCAACAACATTATAACAACAATCCTGGTTTGTCCAACGCTTACTCGACCACACCACGTGCCCAGGCGTTCAATCCTTACGGTCCCGATGCTTCCCAATACGGCTATTACCCCACTGGACCCGTGTATGATAACTCTGGGTTTTCTTCTGCGACCAACAATCAAGCTGCGACATATCCCTACAGTGGCGTTCCTTCCGAAATACCAGCCCCCATGTCATATGAGGGGTACGAAAGTTATCATCAGCAAACCGAACGTCAGCCCGCCCCGTCGCAGAATCAACAAGCGTATCATACTCCCAATCGACAGCTTCAAACTCCCAAATCCAACGTGTACCGTCCCCCCCACCAACAAGCCCCGATACCACAGCAGACATCGCAAAACCAGGGAGGAGCGTATTATCCTTATCAGGATCAGCGACAGGGTGCAATGTGGAACCAAGGATATCAGGCGGAGAGAAAACGGGAGACGACTGTAAGTCTCTATGCGTTTGTGCAAAGCTGACATCGCAGATTCCGTCCTACAGCGCACCTTTGCAGGTCAATCGCTTGGGCCAACCGTTGCAAAATTTCGGTCACGATTTTGTCACTTCGCCGACGCACGGGCCTTACGGTCTCGCAACCCCTCAGACTTCTGCCTATGCTCCGATGGCGCCGATGACTCCTCAAGGTCAATTTATACCCCCTGGCACATATATGCACACCCCATACTCGCCCTTGTCTCATCCTCAGGCCCGTGGACCTCAAGCACGTCGCGATCTTGAACCCCGTAACGCCCTCCTCGAAGACTATAGGTTGACGAAAATCACGAGAAGATGGGAGTTACACGTAAGTCATTTGTGTACCTGCCTTTCTGGCAAGCTGACTGTACAGGAAATCAAAGGCCAGCTCGCCGAGTTTTGTGGTGATCAACACGGTTCGAGATTTATTCAACAGAAATTGGAGAACGCGACGGAAGCTGAGCGTCGACAAATCCTAGAGGAATTGGAGCCGAATGTGTATCAACTCATGACTGATGTCTTCGGAAATTACGTTATTCAGAAACTCTTCGAAGTGTGTGATCAAACAGAAAAAGCTGGACTCGCCAAGAAGATGGAAGGGCATGTCTTGCAGCTGTCGATGCAGATGTATGGTTGTCGGGTGAGTGACCGTAGTGTCTGTCAACGCGATCTGATCATCAGGTTGTGCAGAAAGCTTTGGAGTATGTTCTTACAGAGCAACGCGATGTATTGGTGGAGGAGTTACGTCCGCATACTCTGGAATGTGTCAAGTCAAGCAACGCAAACCATGTAATTCAGTAAGTCGGAACCATTGCTTCAGAAGAGCTTACGACTGACGATTGAGCGACTGATTACTCTTGATCCTCCCGATTTTGTGACCAAAGCCTTCGTCGGTCATGTGCTGGAACTCGGAACTCACCCATACGGCTGTCGCGTATTGCAGAAGACTTTTGAGAACCTGCCTGTGGAAAGAACGCGTGCTCTCATTGATGAGATGCACCTTCATACTGTCAAATTTACAATGGATCAGTTCGGAAGTGAGTGAAATGTTCCGTTGAATGTAATGTGGAAGCTCACCTCTAGATTACGTTGTGCAGAGCATCATAGACAAGGGTATCCCTGAAGATCGCCATAAAGTCATTGACAAGTTGTTGCCACAGATTCAAGAGAGTGAGTGACGAACATAGCTTACCGGTCGAAGCTGATGTCAGTGTCACGACACAAGTTCGCTTCCAATGTAGTAGAGAAAGCCCTCAATCATGCAGACGAAAACGACCGCACTGCCATTATAGACGAAATCATCGGTCCCAAACCTGACGGAACAAATCAGATCCCCTCCTTGTTGAGAGATGCTTTTGGGAATTTTGCTGTACAAGTGTGTCGTCTTCTCCTCTCAAACTTGACTTACTGACCCACCAGACTGCATTGCAAGCGGCCGATCGTGCACAAAGACTTCGCGTGAGTGTCCAACCTAAGAGATGACTTATACCGATTGACTTGCAGCTGTTAGGTCTGATCATGCCCGTCTTGCCGTCCATGCGTCATACACCTGTTGGAAAACGACTCGAGATGCGTATCAATCAATATGACTCTGAAGGGAACCTCCTCTCTTTCGCATCCCCCAATCTCAGCTCGTCCGCCGATGTCAGCGCCATTCACACACCCAGTCTCGCCTCTCCAGAACGTCTCCGGCAAAGCGCTAGCAATCCATCCAATTCTCGTGGTCCTGTGCCGACCCAGGTCTCCGCTACTGGATCAATCACTGCCTCAAGTCCTGGCAAGAAGGAAGAAGCGAACGAGAACAAGGCTTTGGAGGATCTTTTGCAGTGAGAAGTCTTGGGAAGTGATTGGGTCATGGAGGTCTGGTGATCGAAGAAAATCCGAAAGTTGAGTATCTAGGTTCATAAAATTTGGAAGACTGGTCAATGAGGCGTACACTATCATCTTGTAGGAAATCGCCAACATGCAGGTCTGAAAAATACGGAATGCAACGGGTGCTCTGACTGCTCTGCGACAAATGCATCTCAGCTTTATTTCCTCCGAAGTGCCATTAGCTAGGCACTGGATTCTGGCATGCAATGACTGAGCAAACGGTCAAACGGGACTGTGAGAGGGAATCGGAGATAAGAATTGCTTCGGAGTTAAGCTGCCACTTGCCCCCTTTCTTCTTAACTCCGATTTTGATTCCGCCCCTCCTCCCCAACCTCGACTTCACGCTGAGGTGTTGCCTCTTACTGCATCAACAAAATGTGAGCCTACTTCCACTAGACACGATCCAAAGCTGATGTAGAAGGGCTGTCGGTAAGAATAAGCGTCTCAGTAAGGGCAAGAAAGGTATCAAGAAGAAGGTTGTGGACCCATTCTCACGTAAAGGTTGGTCTTTGCGTTGATGCTTGAGTGTCGCTGACATTATCCCTATCTTTCAATCACTTTGCTCCTCATCGACTCACAAACTTCGCCTTTTCTTCCCCTCTACTGTCTACGAACTGAACACGTCGTGGAATGCTGGTCTTGTGTACTGCCTCCTTGGCTCTGGACATCAGAATGGTATGACATCAAAGCACCTTCTTTCTTTGAGGTTCGAAATGTGGGAAAGACCCTTGTCAACAGGTCACAGGGTCTTAGTGAGTTCTTCAATTCTTCCGCTGACCCTATAACACATCTTCAAAGAATGCCTCAGAAAGTATGTAGAGGGCGTGGTGGAAGGAGGGGAAGGTTGCGCATACTTACATGACCAGAAAACGCCAATGACTCCTTGAAAGGTCGTGTGATTGAACTCTCCCTCGCCGATCTCAACAACGACCAGGAGCAATCTTTCCGAAAGATCAAGCTCCGTATTGAGGATGTTTCAGTGAGTGGTCACATTTCGTGCAATAAATCTTCAATTGCTGACGAAGAACAGGGCAAGAACTGCTTGACGTCGTTTTTCGGTATGGACTTTACCACCGACAAACTCCGCTCCATCGTCCGTAAATGGCAAACCCTCATAGAGGCCTCCGTCGATGTCCGTACCACCGATGGATACGTTCTCCGACTCTTCTCCATTGGCTTTACCAAACGTGCCATCAACCAGGTCAAGAAGACCACTTACGCTCAATCTTCTCAGATCCGTGAAATTCGTGCTAAGATGGTCGAGATCATGCGTCGTGAGGCTGAGGGTGGTGATTTGAAGGAGCTGGTTCAGAAGTTTGTGCCAGAGTCTATAGGCAGAGAAATTGAGAAGGCTAGCAGAGTGCGTCGAGTCTCTAAAACTGAATGAGCGCCGAAACTGATGTATTCTAGAACATCTTCCCCCTGCACAACGTTTACATTCGCAAGGCCAAAATCATCAGAGTTCCAAAGATGGACATGTCAAAACTTCTCGAGCAACATGGCGAGGCTATGGATGTGAGTTGAACGCATCTCAGAGAACGATATGAGCTGATGGCGAACAGAGCGCCACAGGTGCCACTGTTATCAAGAGCACTGGTGACTTTGTCGAGCCCGAGATCCTTGCATCCGTTTAGGTAGCTGGCATGTATTCTATGACCATACGAGAGTGGTGCTGCATGCTGCATGCTGGGTCGTCGAAAGACTTGACCCCTAGCCCCTGGAATCATGGGACCATATTTGTACGGTATGAGGGAATGTTGCAGTAGTGGCAAGACATGGCTGGCATGGCTGGACTGCGCGAATGGCCAGGCACGACGGACGCGTTTCCTCGCTTGGACGCATCACCACCACCCGCCATTGCCAACTGACCACTGACCACTCTCTGTGCTTTCTCATGTCATCCCTCCTCTTTCGGCTCTACATTTCGTACTCTGCCTATTTGTTCTGACCTCATCTGTTCTGTTTCCAGTTTGGGTAGCTAGGTTACAACCCAGCTTTGCTTTTGCTAGACTGGCAATCGACCTGTGAGTGTGACACCGATCCCAAAATCAATTCCGAAGAGGGAGAAAGATGTATGCTGATCGTCTTTCACAGATCATCCTCCCGCCCTCAAATTCGATTCCTCCTCCTACTCAAATCCTCGTCATCGTATAAACACTCTCCTTATAGCTTCATCTCTCCTTTCCCAAACATACTCTTTACCCACTTTGTCTGACTTTACGACCTCACCCGATCTTCACATTCCGCAAAAGGAGTGTTTTCCTCCCCTGCTCATCTCATATAATCACCGCCATCGCCACCTTCCAATTTCCTAGATTGCCTTCGTACCGTTCTGTCCTCAGTCATAAGGTGTTCATACTTGTTCTATCCTTCGTTATCGTTCGCAACGATTTCAAGCACTCACCAGCGAGTTTGAAAGATGGCCCTAGCTCAGTCTATCGCACCTATGCCACCTGTCTCGCCCCCGAGTACATTGTTAGCTTCGACCAGTCTGGCCACCCCTTCAACAGGTATGACAGGATCGCACGAGATACACGATGGAGTTCAATCCACACCGGCTAATCGTACTGGAAACTTTAGACAACCGTTCGCATCGCCTTTCAATCAGTTCTTTCCGAATTACAGTCCCGGTGTCATGACCCATGTTCCGGAGAATCCGATCAAGGTGGGTTCAATTCTCCCTTCCTCATGCTTGTTCTATCCCATGTCTTTCTGCAACCATACTCCATATCCATCATGTGGTCCGCCTTTGCGTGTTCGCCCTTATGAATTATGAGCGGATGACCTTGAAGGATAGTGTGAACATTTATCACATTCATTAAGATCGCGCTGATGATACTCAGCAGAGCTTGGACTCTTCATTTTCTCCTCATAGCACTCTTAATGCTCCTCTTCCCAAGTTAGACCCATCTCCAACTCTTATTAATTCATCTGTCCGTTCCGTTTCGACACCCAGTAATCCTCCATCTCGTCGGCTCGAAGCAAGAGATACCCCTATCGCACAAGCGAACGATCAAGGGCTTGGTATCGGTATACCTTCGGCGTTTGGGAATAACCATGCGGGTCCCAACATCGATTACTCTCAACAGCCTTCCTTGAGCAATTCGAACATGTCGGCTACGTCTCTACCTTCTGCTATCAACCCTCTGGCTGGATTTGGGGGAATAGGAGGCAGTAATTTTGGTGCTATGCAAACCCCTCCCCTAGGACAATCGGCTGTCATGCCAAACACACCTTTTACGGCCATGACACCAGGGTTTGCGCCGATGACTCCTTTTGCTTACACTCCACAAATGATGGTGAGCCATGTTCCCTTACACTCACATGTACGCAGAATGAAGAAACCCGATAAATAAGGCAGAGACCTAGACAAGAGCCCGGATGGAGTGTACACAAGGGTAGATATGGGTTGAAGCTGACGGTTCAAGGCCTCTCCTGTGCAACAAATGCTTACCCCATTACTTGATCGGAGAGAGATGACGGGTAATTATGGACCTGCCGCAGCAGCGGCTGCTGCCAATGCTGCTTTGTCCGGAAACACTACAGGTCGTACCGTCTACGTGGGCAGTCTTCCTCCCGGTGAGTCTCTATGGTGTCCTCATTGATGAGACAATTCTGACCCTACAGAGGCTTCTGTTGACGAGCTGCTGAATCTGGTTCGATTTGGGCCTATCGAACGTGTTCACCTGGTCAAAGACAAGTCTTGCGTCTTCATATCGTTCCTTCAAGGTGCCACTGCCGCCGCATTTCACGCCGACGCTCAAGTCAAGAAGCTCGCACTGCATGGACAAGCGCTTCGAATCGGTTGGGGTCAGCAATCACATCTTCCTCCCAATATCGCCGCGGCGGTCAGGGATCATCAAGCTACCAGAAACGTCTACATTGGCCGGCTGTCCGAGAAGGAGAATGAAGAGACGCTCCGAGATTACTTCAGCAAAGAGTTTGGACCTATCGATCAGGTCAAAGTCGTGCGGGACAAGAACTGCGCCTTCATCCATTTCCTCAGTATCGCCATTGCGATCAAGGTAAGCTTTAATGATGCTAACGATTCTAGCTGACATGATCAGGTCGTCAATGATCTCCCGAAAAAGCCCGGGTGGGAAGGTCAAAGTGTCAACTTTGGAAAGGTGATTGCGGTGTTGTCAGCATTCAGTCTGAACTGACAGAGACAGGATCGGTGCGCATACGTTCCCAAAGCTCAACAAGCAGCAGTTCATCAAGCCCAACAATCGGCCGTCCAGACACTCATCACACATCATCTCGGTGGTGTACCCGCTTCGCCCTTCATGCCTTTCTCTCCTATCCAACCTATCAGTCGTGAATTCACTCCGACCATATTCAACAGTCCTCTCTTCTCCGATCTCGCAAGTCCTGGATTCATGTCACAACCTAGATCTTATCCGAATTATCCACGAGACTCTTTCGAAGGACATGGGATACGGACAGTATTCTTGGGTCGGATAGACCCAGAGACGACGTACGAAGATGTTTGTAACAATATCCGAGCTGGTATCCTCCAGCAAATCCGATTCGTTCGGGAAAAGAATATCGCTTTTGTCACTTTTGTCGAACCAGAGGCCGCACAGATGTTCTACAATTATGGTCGGAGCAATCAACTTAATATACGAGGTCGCTTGGTAACTGTCGGATGGGCGAAAATGTCGGATGCGATGTCGGATGATGTGGCCAGGGGTATAGAAATGGGAGCATGTAGGAACGTTTATATCGGGAAGATACCCGACATGGATATATATCACAAGGAGAAGCTCACCGCGGATTTCGAGGGGTTTGGAGATATTGAACAAATCAATTATCTCCCAGAAAAACATTGTGCTTTTGTCAATTTGTACGTTTATTCGGTATTCTGATCATATCCTCCTTCCTTCCTTCCTAGCACTCCTTCTGCACCTCGTCCCCACTGGACACCACAACGTCTCAATGGGGAAAACCTGGAGGGAATCTGTAGAAAAAGTATTGACCACCAGCTCGTCAATTGCAGCAGCTATAAAAGCCGTTCAAGGGATCAAACGTCATTCAGACTACACGAATCTCACCATCAGTTATGGTAAAGATCGATGTGGTAACGTCCGACCTCCCAATGACACAAATCGAGGTCAAAGGAATCCCAGTGGATCACATATGACCGAGAATAGCGGCGGGAGCACCAGTCCCAAAAGTCACCTTGTCTCTGAAGTTCCCCACGAACAAGTCAAACCGATTGAAGATGAGATCAAGCACACTACATCCGAGTCTAGTTCCAACTCTCCTACTTTGGATGTCAGACATTCATCCGTCAGTGGGAAACGAAGAGATGCGGAGGAAGAACAAAATTCAGTGGAAGAGAGTCCTATTTCGGAACCGGGGGAAATCATGCCGGATCAATAGTCTACTTGGTCAAATGTCAGGACAATGACTTATGCTTGTGAGATTTCGAATAACAAGAATAGTCATAATTGCCCAATTACTCAGTATGCTATCCGTATATCCATACACATGTCTCATCAGGTTTAGATGTACACATTATAAAAATAAATAACAGTCATCAACAGTTTACACAGTTTTCTTTCGTTCTGCAATTATCTGATCTTCCGCTTTGTCCAAAACCAACTCGGGAACTTCCATATCCGTCGCGGCCTCCCTAACACCAGGTAAGACCAGAGGAGAGCTGTCTAACCCTGATGGAGAGCTCTGTGACGCGACGCTATGCCCACTGGGAGTGGCGTGTAGGTCGACGAGTGGGGAACTGGGCGCAGAAGGTGTAGGAGCGGAAGAAGCGATCGATGTTCCAGAAGCTGAGGCGAGCTCCATTTCTTTCCGTAACCTTTCGAGTTCTCTCTCGAATCTATTGGTCAGCAAGAGCATTCTGCGTTGCAATACACGCTCTCCGTGACACTTCTACTACAGTTGTGGACGATAACAGATTCGAAGGTGGGGTATGTGATGTCGGTGAAGGGCACGATCGGACTCACTTTCTTCCAAACACCTCCACGTAGAACGACGCTCCGTTCCATGCTGAAACACTGAATATGAGAATGAGGAATGAGGAACTTGCCCGAGAGCTATGGATGAGAAGTGTTGCGGGGGGTACCATGAAAATCACGCTATAGACTATACGGTGAGTCATTCGTTCCCTCATACTCCCCGTGGACTAGCCGGCCGATAACGATTTGGTGGAAGTATAGAAACGGAAAATAGAGCGCATGATGAGTTGCGTCGATGGCTGTACTTACTCAGTTGACCAAAGATGAACCATTCTTCTCGATGTTCTGGTCTGATACCTTGAAGCGCTTTACCTATGGGACCTCGTTTATCATTTAGCAAACTGACATTCAGCACCTTGACTCGTGTGGAAAATGTGAAACTCACTATTGGAAGGAATTTTGTCTTTCTCCCGAAGCGATCTTAGCTTTCCTGTCCACCGATATGAACTGTTTTCATGAATCCACCGTTTGTGGTCATTTGTTTGGGGGATCTTACCTTGTAGTATGACGCTTGCCATAACACATCTTATCGTATCAGTCTCAACATCCTTCGGTAGTTCGAAGATGAACAGACTATAGACTCACAAGGAACTCCACTGAGGAGAATCATGGACCACCAACTGTAATCCGCCACGCCGCTCAAGCCGGGATATCGTTCCTCCGCATTGTCATAGTTATGTCTTGATTTCAGTAAAGCTGCTGATGGAGGAAAGGTGGCACACTGACCGAATTATGGTGAGGACTACAGGAGGGTACATATGAATGAAAAGAGAGGTGACTTTGTCTAGAGAGTGGAAAACTAAGGAATTACGCCAAGTGATTATGGCACTAGCTAGTGGGCCTGTAGTCTCAGCCTTTTCTGGTCCGCAACAGACATTAAGATATATACCTAAGGTGAGAAGATAACAGGCGATGAAAAGGACTGTGGATGAAGGGAAGATCCAAATCCACAGTAAGTCGAGAGCATTGACAAAGTAACATAAACTGTCAGTCAGCCTAGTCTTCCGATTTCTATCAGCCGAGACACTCACTCTGCTCTTGTGAACATAGACAGTCCGTGTCAGTCATGAATGCTGTAGGTGTGACAGACATACCGAAGAGAAAGTAATGCCACTTCTTAGCTCTGTACGTCCAGAATCGGACCGGTAAGTAGAAAGCCGCCTGAGCAGTATAGGCAAATGGTAGCCATTGAGGTGCCATGCCATAGCACAAACAGGTGAAGCAGAGGGAGAGGACGCCGAATAAGAAGGCTGCTAGTGAGCTTTGTCCACCCGTAAAAACCGTGGAAGGAGAAGGACTAACAGACTTTCTCTCTGGTTCGAACTATCTGCGCTGAACGCCAGGTACCGGATAAGTGGGTAACTTTAGCAGCTAGCTGTTCGTCAGATATTTTCACAGTTCTTCAGGCTGACGAGAGGATATGATGGCTTGTCGTGGCACTTTGAGAGCGAAGATGACAAGTCAATACTCGCATCTCAGACGATAACTTATGAGGGAGGACGATGTAGAGAGTAAGATCAGCAAATCATGGTAATTTGTGAGCCATACCAGAATGGAGAAAAAACCCACTTTTACCTTTATCCGCTCCACTTCCCTCTCCACATCCTTCCTATACTTCTCACCGGGCAACAATCCCCGGTCCGGTCGATCCTCATCTTCTTCATCTTCATCATCGTCGGCCAGAAGTATTCCACCCCCTTTAGGTGTTCTCAGTCCACGCGGTATGAGCTCGACAGCCCGAGTTCTCAAACGAGCACTTTGCGCCTTGAGACGACGGTTGAAAAGATCCAAGCGGGAATCTTCGCTCAGTGAGACACTTACATCTATCAAAAAGAAATCACCTCACCAAAGAAAGTTTCTACCACATCTGACAGTCAGCAGCAGCTCATGACGATCCGATCGATCAGATGGTAATCCTTGAGGAGATGGTGGAATGTGTCAATGAGGATGGCTGCAAGGAAGGAACGAAAGCATCCGATGAACGACTGACCGAGGAGTGTGAGAGCACCCGTCCATTCTTCACCGTATCTCTCCATCGTCGGTCGGCTCAACAAGGAACTGAGGGAAGAATTCGACCTTGACAACGGAGGTCGAGGTGAATCTGAAAGTTTGTTAAGGGGTGGAGAAGAGCCTGACATTCTGCTTCTCTGTGTCAAAGACGGATGATCTGATTTGGGCTTGCCACACGGGGATACGGCCAGAGACCAGAGGGTGCGGAGGCCCAGATATGATCCCAAGATCAGAGTGAAACAGTCAACAGTGTGCGAGCCACGGGGAAGGAGAGAAGTGGGAAAATTTGTTGGGGAGAAACTCAGAGATCAGAAGAACGTTTATGACGCAACCACCATCACGACCAGTGGCAAAAACGCGTCGCGTGGCGAATCGACATTCAGATGAGATCATCAATGCCTACTATGCAAGCTACAACACCGATACTTGTCGGAACTCCCAGGTTTACCCCAAGATACGCGTCACCACTCCCAACACTTTCGTCTTTGCTTCCCGTAACAGGATAAGTTGACCCTCTTTGATGAACTCGGCATGACTGATGAATTCGAAAACGACCTTTGATCTATCGCCTGTTCTTATGAGACCGGATGGATGGTCGAGGGATAATATTTTGACCGTTTGCTGGACGTCAGTCTGAGCCCTTTGTTAGATTGATGTGAATTGTGACATCCAAGCCACTCACTCGAATAGCCCCACAATGCATCATTGCCTGATATTTAGGTTGGATGGTACTGGCATGATGCAATACCATCACCATCCCTTCGAATTTCTTGACCGCTGAAGCATCAGCACGATTCGTCATTGCATCACTGTCTCGTCTACTGTATTCACCCTTTGGAGGCGTCTCAGTACGACCGATCAGGACCATGCCTTTTCTCACTTGGCCACGTTTGATCCGTTTCAATGCGAAACTAACCTGTCAGCTGAATCTTCAGATCTAATGAAACTTACGAGACACTTTGTCCGGCTTCCCCACTCTCAACGGAAGCTCGTTTACGCTGGATAGTTTTCACGGCCGTGGGGACAAATTGACCGACGGAGTCCGGACCAAGCATCACGGCGTCGTTGGTATGTACCGTACCCGCTGTAATCACCCCGCTCTGCAGATCAGCAATAATTCGGCACAAAGAGGAGTTACTCACTACGACGGTACCAACGAATGGCACGGAGAAGACGTCGGAGATAGCAAATTCGAAAGGCGCATCCACGACGTATTTATCATCTGACTGAGATGAAGGCAGAACGTTCAGGAATGTACGAAGCATAGGAAGGTTGTGACCGGTGACGTTTGAGACCATGAAGATGGGACATAATCTGACTGTCAGTGCCCAAACCGATTAGCTTGCCTTTTACTCTCCCCAATGGCTGCTCCCAGTTGTATGTGAGTTCGAGAAGAAAAACAATGTCATTTCACACACCTCAAAGTGGAACTGCCGAGAGGATTACCCAAAAATCGAGCGCAGTCCACGGCTTGTTGAGGTGTATTGACGAAGATAGGTATTCTCCTGCACCCAGGACTTCTGAGGACTTTGACCAACATATCGACGGTCTGCTTCAGGATATTGGGAGGCGTCATGTCGATCTGCACATCAGCTCTTGTCAGACTCAATTCTAACAGAGCCTACCTTAGTCACGCATACTGCTATGGGTACGTTGAGAGCAAGTGCTACTCCCAAGTGTTCCTACTCAAATCAGCATATCACGTTACGATCATATGTAGTCAAGACGCACTTTGGACATTCCTATCAACCCTGCATTTCCTCCGACCATCAACATGACGTAGTCTGGCGCACATCCACTCAGACCGTACAGGGTAGTCTTGAAATATCTAGTCGTTTTAGCTTCGGCTCTGTTTCGCTTCACCAATGATGATCCAAGTGGAAAAAGGGAATATGAAGATCACTCACCTCTCATGTCCTGCGAGATCGATGAAAGATATGACCTTTGCTGCTCTACTACATATCTCCTCCCAGCCCATTTTCTCCCTTTTGGCCACTGCCATTACATGTCCATGTGGATCCAAAGCATCAACACCATGAGCAGAAGGTATGACCGGTTCACCCGTTGGTGAAAACCCTAAGATCTCACCTCCTACACTAGATGTTCTCCCCGTCTCGATCTCATGAGGATGTCTGAATAGAGCCACTCGAGCTTTACCTCTCCCATCATCCAATGATCCCCTAGTCAACACTCCTAGTGTCGTGGACTTTCCAGCATCAACATTTCCCACCACCGCTACTCGAACTTCCATTATTTGCTCGACTCCCTTAGGTTTATTCCGGATTAACCAAACGCCAAAAGGTCCTTCTGTCCCCTCCACTCTATACATTTCATTTAGCTCGGTATTGAGTGAAGAGCAAATAGTTCGTAATCTCTCTAGGATCTGGTTGAGCTTTTGAACGGAGAGTGGGGTACCTTCATTGGGTATTGGAGTGATTGGGGGTTCTGGAGGATTGTAGGTATGTATCGGAGAAGGATGTGCGCCAAGTGGAAGTAGGAGCTCGCCATGCCCTTTGGCGAGGGCTTTATGTATTTTACTCCGGAGGAGATCACCATCTCCTTCAGAAAGCACAAGATCCTGGGACGGTCAGCCAGCGTATAGGTCAAAAGGTAAAGATGATTTACTGTCAATGGAACCTCTGTTGAATCCTGTTCGACAAGATCCTCGGGCACAACCTCTTTCTTGATGATCTTTCCATGGTGCCTAGCAAGCTCTGCAGCTGCATGCGCCTCCTTGGCTTCTTTCAGTGCGAGCTTCTGCTTCTCTGTAGAGATCTGGGCTATTTCCGCTTGAAACGATTTGAGTGTGGTCATCGTTGCACTGGATGGGATCAGAGGGGTGGAAGGAGAGTGCCTGTAGGCGAAGTGTCCGATGGAATCTGATGATGCTTCAGTCGTAGTCGGCTTGGCACGTTCCTCGTTATCAGAAGACAGACCAATCAAGCCCCTAGATGTGGGATTGTATAAGGAAAGAGGCCCGAAACTGTCAAAGGCGTGGATGAATAGGTAAGTTGAGTTAGACGACTCGATTTGAGTTTCCAACTGCCGCGGCAATTTCGGTTTCCAAAAAGCCTACTGTGGCCGGGATGTCTCAGGTTAACTTTCCTGGTTTCAACCTTCACATCAAATCTCGATAAATGACTTGTTCGTCCTTTGCCCATCTGGGGTGGTCTACGACTAAGAGATGTTTGCAAGCACTGCGGGTAACATCCTCAAGACCATGGCTTCAAAAGACAACAAGCAAGCCGTGTATTCCACCACTCTGTAAGACTTGCAGGCGTCAAAATGTGAAGGGAGCTCAAATAATTGTAAGCTCTTTCCCAAAGTTAATGGAGTGGCTGGTATACATCGGGGCGTAATAGGAAGCTAACAATTAGTGGGCTACATTGCTGCAATACATGCAAGAATCACTCAGCTGCTAGTAGCTCTTAGCCCGACAAATCGATTGATAAAATCCACACATGGGTGTCATGAATGACACTATCAAATAATGACTTGTCATAATCAAAAGTTCAGACCTCCACTCTCTTCCTCTGCTCTCAAGCCTATCAGGCATAACCTCCAAGTCTATTTTTCCTCTGCTCTCAAGCCTATCAGGCATCAACCCCAAGGCTATCTTTCCTGTGCTCTCATGCCTGACAGGCATAAGCCCCAAGTACTTCTCTAGTTTCTCTTTCCTCTGTTCTGATCCCTTGTAAGGCATAATCTCTGAGTCTCTTGTTCTCGCAGCTCTTCTATGTTCCGCATAGTTCCTCATAGTTCCTCATAGTCCCTCATCGACCACCTTCGACAAAGTCACCGACTTCCGGCGCATCATGTAGGATATCATAGTAGGACGTAGGTAAACACAGATATGGCATTGTAGGATATCAGTGGTAATCAGTGGGATGCATGGCAATGCATGCAGGACAGTGCAGGACGGTTCAGAGCGCTCGTATTCCGCAGGTCTGCACGAGCCTCTTGGAAACGGCTGATTTTAGTATTTAAACCCTATCTAGTGCTGTAGTTTTCTTCTTCAGCAATGTATCTTTTCAATTCCCTTCCCCTCGTTTGATAAGTCACTCAGTTGGTTCTAACCCAACCTCTCGAACCCTCAGTATCCAAGGCAGTCACCAAGGTCCACGAGCCAGAGACTAAACCCCGCAGTTCCCAAGGCAGTCCTTTGCTACTGCAGTCTACCCGCAGGCGTGACAATGGGTTAGTTACTATGTAACCCATGCCTTGGAAGGCATCTTCCATCAAGGACTCTGCATCTCACCAATCACACAGGTCATATAAGGTATAGATGGCTGGCTCATGTGCAGACAATCCTACAATCTGGTGAGTTATTGGTGGTAAGATGATCTATGACAACAGATGCTAAGTAAGATGTGGTCTATTGATAATCGGAAACATCTCCCTCATGGGAAGGCAAGCAAGGGGAAAGAGGGATGCATGTTGACCTTGAAGCAGCCTACTCAACCTCTTCTCGAATCTATGTAAGTAGACAGGACAACTGAGAGGATATTGCAGCAGAAGAAAATGAAAGCAACAGGAGAAGGGCGGGAGGAACCACAGCACACGGAGCAAATAGAACTACTAGAAGTGACTGTATGGTAGGTAGGAAAGGGAGCTGTCACGACCTGGTAAGCCAGCTTGTAACACCAAGTCCCATGATCTCTGAACAATCCACCTGAAGCCCTTCAACCCAACCACGCCTCATAGCTCCTACAAACTACGAGTAACTTCATCACCAACCGACAACCACCGATATCATTCAATAACCTTTGCTCACCAGTGATATCCTTAGACAAGCACCGACAACCTACGACCGTCTCTTGATGCATAGCAAAGCACTGTGGTGCAACACATGTACTTGCACCGCAATGCATGCAGACCTCCAACCAGACTCGATGGATCTCAGAGCATAGTAATGCAGTGCATAGGGAAGAGCCAAATGTATTGTAGCAGAGCAATGATAAGCATAGGAAGGTGCTAGAAATCCGGTGGCCTGCGGAGCAGGCCTCCTGGGACCCTCTGTAGACTACTTAAACCCTACATCTTCTTTCCATAGTTTCTTTTCTTCAGAGATCAATTATCACACGTTTCCACCCTTCACTGACCAAGTCTTTGATACTGACTTCAACTTCAACTTGTCCTTCAACATTGGCCCCAAGCCTTTACTGTTCAACACCTTGGACCCAATATTGTCATTGGACATCCTCTTGTCATCATCCTAGACTCTCTCATTGTCAGTAAGTAATCTTGTCCAGTGTATCAAATTTCCACACACACTCTCTCTTCATCCTTTTACATCACTTCATCCTCAACTCTTCTCTCTTCATCACTCGTTGTCACGAACTACGTCGTGACACCTTGATTATTCCACCAACAATGACCCTCCTTTGACCATCAAAACCCCCATCACGACTTAACCTCTTTACTCTACACGTAACTCAGGACACCTGAGACCAAGTACGGCAAAGTTAGACGAAGTTAGGCTAGGTAGGGACAATGGGAGCAGAAGTACGGCGAAGTTAGACGGAGTTAGGCTAGGTAGGGACAATGGGAGCAGAAGTGCGGCGATGTTAGGCGGAGTTAGTCAAAGGAGGAAGAGGATGGCCGGGGTTCGGGGAAGTTGGACAAAGTGCGTTGAAGTACGTCAAAACGCGAGAGGGTTGGGTGAACGTCTAGGAGGGATAGATAATATTAGCTGAGAAGATCGCTGAAGTTCTTCAGCGATCCTTGATTGTTGTCAGTAGTAAAAGACAGATAGAGATAGCTATAAATCGAGATACATCGCCATCAGTAGAACAAAACCCTAGTTAGAGTAACTACGCCAAAGTACGCCGTAGTTACACTCCTTTCGACGTCTGCGCCCTCCCGGTTGGGTGCGACATCGACTTAGAAGCGTGAAGTTAGCCGAGGTTCGTCGACCGTCGGTCTATCAAGAAGTAATTGCTCGACGGCCGTGACACTCGTCCACCTGCTGTCTTTCCCTTAAGACAACCAGGCTTAACAGGAGCTCGGGATGGAACTTGTTCTCAGATTGTAAATAACAGTCCGGACACATGGGTAGACTTTGATCCTTGACCTATCTATCTTTTTCCAACTGTTATGCATAGTTGGTCAGTACTACTTAAGGTGGGAGAGGTGTTGGTAGGAAGATCCAACCATTTCCCTGTGAACTCTTGGGTCCCGACTAGGAGGAGGAGGTCTTGAAGTGAGAGCAAACCTTCAATAGGACTCTAGACACTCCCGTTATTCTTTGCAGTGAGAATTATGCTGCCTGTGGTGGTGGATGTTGTATATGAAGGCTTTGAGTTGAATAGGTATGAGCTAAAAAGTCAGAAGTTCAGGCTGGACGCGGACAATTTCAACCTGAGACTTTCTGTCCACAGTAAAAGCCACTTCACTCAAAACCCAGGGAATCAATGGAGCCTACAGCGTCCAGATTGTCTCACGGGATCATGGGCAGGGTAGGCCATGCAGCCACTTTGTGTAAAAATGTCACAAACTACTTCGTAACATCCCTGACAACCGCCATCACCGACCCTCCTTTTACCATCACCGACCTTCCTTTCATCATCACCAACCTCCACCCGAACCACTGAGACGGACTACGGCGAAGTTACGAGAACCAAGAGGGTATTATTTGTCACGATAACCCCGCCTAGCGGAGAACTACGGCGAAGTTAGGGGAAGGGAACCGAGGGGGAGCAGAGCAGGGGAAGTTAGGCGAAGTTAGTCGAAGTGAGTGGAGTAGGACCTCGGGGATATGGCGAGGTACGGCGAGGTTGAACGAAGAGGACTGAGCGTGAGGCAGTGCAGGAGTTGAGGGACGTTCTATGAGAAGAGAGGAGTAGTATAGATAGGTTACAGGTCGCTGAACTTCTTCAGCGATCCTTGATTGTTGTCAGTAGCGAGCGATATATTCAGTAGCTACAACCATCGAGTTAAGGAGAGTTATCACCGAGCAGTTCGACGTACTACGGCAACGTTAGCCGCAGTTCATCGACGATCATCTTATCACTTACCACTCGACCTATCACTACGCCGTAGTTAGCCGTAGTTCCCCGACGAGTACCCTGTCCTAGTGAGACCTCGACGCCCCACTACGACGTAGTTAGCCGAGGTTTGTCGACCGTCGGTCAGTAGAAGAGAAGAAACGACGATTGTGACAAAAAACAGCTTTCATTCCACCCTGCTTCTTCTCTGTTCACTTCTCATCATGAAGTTCCCCACTAAAAGTAAGAGACCAGTATGTAGTGTTTTATTGGAGGGAACTTTGTACACCAGGGTATCAACTTGCGGAGGCAATGAGAGCGGCCATCAGGGTTCTGCGCTGTTAGCCCAATTTGGCTATGATCTTTTCACTCTCTTCATCTCTTCAATGTCTGGATGTGGCCGAAAGGTCTAAAATTTACAAGAGACACTATCCCTGCTTTTCCTGGAGTCAGAGATGCAATTGAAGTGATCAAGACTGCACACCCTTCTTGTCACAAACCATGTTGTAACATCCCTGACAACTACCATCAACGACCCTCCTTTCACCATCACCAAACCACTATCCATCACCACCCCAAACCACTGAGACTGACTACAACAAAGTTACAGGAACCTAGGGATTATTAGTCACAACAACCCCGCCTAACAGAGAACTACGGCAAAGTTAGGGGAAGGGAACCGAGGGAGGCAGAGCAGAGTAGGGGAAATTAGGCACAGTTACTTGAAGTGAGCGGAGTAGGATATCGGGGATATGGCTAGGTACGGCAAAGTTGAGCGAAGAGGACTGAGCGTGAGGCTGTGCAGGAGTCGAGGGACGTTCTATGAGAAGAGAGCAGAAGTATAGATAGTTTACAGATCACTGAACTTCTTCAGCTCTTCTTGATTGTTGTCAGTAGCAAGAGATATATTCAGTAGCTACCACCTTCAAGTCAAGGAGAGCTACCACCTAGCAGTTTGACGCACCACGGCAAAGTTAGCCACAGTTCATTGACGATCATCTTATTGTTTACCACTCGACGTACCACAACGGTGTAGTTAGCCGTAGTTCCCCGACGAGTGAGGCATTTATGTGATTGGCTGGAATTAGTTTCCCGCGGTGCACTCACTTTGAGGCATTTATGTGACTGGCTAGAAAATCCCTCACACTGTCAAGGATACTGCCCACCCTGGAACAGAGGACAAAGGACAAGGGGACAAGGACTAGGAGTGACAAGGAATATACTTAAGATAACAAGACTGAGTCCAACAAGGAATGGGACTGTGACCCAAGAAATGTCTCTGGCTTGTCTGACAAGACTAGAGGGAACTGGAATGGACTGGACTGGACTGGAGTGGACTGGACTGGAATGGACTGGAATGGACTGGAATGGATTGGACTCCAAATGGGTGGCAATGGAAATGACTTTTGATCAAGAACTAAAGAAGACTACAAAGTACAAGATAGGGTTTATATAGACAAATCAGCCTTTTCCAAGAGGCTCGTGCAGACCTGCGGAATACGAGCGCTCTGAACCGTCCTGCACTGTCCTGCATGCATTGCCTTGCATCCCACCGATAACCACTGATATCCTACGATGCCATGTCTGCGTTTACCTACATCCTACTATGACATCCTATGGGATGCGCCGGAAGTCGCTTGACTTTGTCAAAGGTGGTCCATGAGGAACTATGAATAACTATGTAGAACATAGAAGTGCTGCGAGAACAAGAGACTGAGAGATTATGCCTTAGCAGGCATTAGAACAGAGGAACTAGAGACTAGAGAAGTACTGAGGACTTATGCCTTGCAGGCATGGGAGCTAAGCACCGACATACTAGAATGATACTTGGAGTTTATGCCTGATAGGCATGAGAGCAGAGGTGAAATATTAAAACACAAAAGTGGAGGTTGAACTTGTTTTGCGCAACAAGGAACACGTGATGGCTTGATTCATGACACACACGCTTTTTATTTAGTACACCTACTTTAGTTTTGAAGGGTATAAAAGGAGCACATCTCCCCCCTCTTTCTTCAGCAATGTATCTTCATCTTGAAGTTGAACTTCATCTTTGAAAGTCACCTAGTTGGTTCTAACCCAACACCTCAGTACCCTCAGTACCTAAGGCAGTCATCAAGCTCTACGAGCCAGGGACTAAAACCCTTCAGTACCCAAGGCAGTACTTTGCAACCGCAGTCTACCCGCAGGCGTGACACTTTGCCATAGTCAGTCTCAGTGATCTGGGGTTGTAGTGGTTGATGATGGATAGAGGGTCGGTGATGGTGGTTGTCAGGACTTGTCAGGGGTTATGGATATATAATTTGTGACAATGTACAGTTGGGTGTAAAAAGTCATGTCCGCGTGTTTCATAGTAATTTGGCTGGGAAATCATGATGTCCCACTTTGTCGTGTGATATCTCTTTCAGCTGACAATATGCATGTCACGGCCGTCGAACAACTACTTTCTATGGAGACCGACGGTCGACGAACCTCGGTTAACTTGACGCTTCTAAGTCGATGTCTCACCCAACCAGGAGGGCGCAGACGTCGAAAGGAGTGTAACTGCGGCGTACTTTGGCGTAGTTACTCTAACTGGGGTTTTGTTCTACTGATGGCGATGTATCTCGATTGTATATAGCTATCTCTATCTGTCTTTCACTACTGACAACAATCAAGGATCGCTGAAGAAGTTCAGCGATCTGTAAACTATCTATACTACTCCTCTCTTCTCATAGAACGTCCCTCAACTCCTGCACTGCCTCACGCTCAGTCCTCTTCGTTCAACTTCGCCGTACCTCGCCATATCCCCGATATCCTACTCCGCTCACTTCGACTAACTTCGCCTAACTTCCCCTGTTCTGCTCTCCCTCGGTTCCCTTCCCCTAACTTCGCCGTAGTTCTCCGCTAGGCGGGGTTATCGTGACAAATACCCTCTTGGTTCTCGTAACTTCGCCGTAGTTGGTCTCAGTGGTTCGAGTGGAGGTTGGTGGTGGTGAAAGGAAGGTCGGTGATGGTGAAAGGAGGGTCGGTGATGGTGGTTGTCAGGGATGTTACGACGTAGTTCGTGACAGTCGCCCCCTCCTTAGGCGCGAACGTCCTCGTGAGCTTCGTATGCATGTAATGAAGAAAAGGACACTCAGCAGGTTACAGGAAACACAATTGGTCACATAACAGTTGTTGGTAGATGATACCATGGTTTGTTGTTAAACGGACAGTAAACTTCGTCGAAGTTCATCGTGGTTGCTTGTTGTTACCCTGTGGTAGTTACGTTGTAAGTGAGACAGAGGATTTGGGGTACAACAAACCTCGTCGAAGTTCGTCAGCGTATCCCTAACTTATATGAATGTGAGACACGTAGCGTGGGAATTTTGATCGTTGTCATGGTGTTTGTTGTTGCTGAGACACCTTGTTATGCGAAGTTACCAGTGCCCTGACGACGAGTAGCCATGTCAGTTATACTAAATACTCAGTACTTCGGCCCACTTCTTCTTCTTTCCCAGGACTAATCCTAAATCGTACTATCATCGTCTATCGATTTCCAGTCTTTACCTTACCAAACATATCAATTGGATATATTTCAACAAAATGTCTTCTCGTCCGGAGCTCAACGCCCATAATTTTTTTGCAGATCGCTTCGCCGCTGTCCGTAAGTCTACTTGTACTCTCTATAAGCTACTCTGTCGCTGATTGTCCTAGTCGCTCAGCAGGGGAACTCTCCCCGCCAAGTGTCGTCTATGGGCTTTGGAGCCTTAGCCATCACCGATGGCTCGCCTTCTGCTGCTGCAGCTTCCGCTGCAGTTCCTTCTGCCACCGCGTCCCCTGCTGCGGTTACGACCCCTCTCTCCTCTGGCCAACAGGAGGTCAGACCTGCTCCTGTTGGCCCTTTGCAAGCTTTGGGTCAGTCCGCTACTGTGGTGGAAATCGACGATGATGATGAAGAGATGGATGGTGATGAGGAGGTGGCTGGTGTTCGTCGTGGTGAAGAGACGGGTGTGTTGGTTGATGATGGTGAGACGGGTGGTGCAGATGATGATGATGAGATGGGTGAGGTCGATGAAGATGAGGAAATCCTCAGTGTTGATCTTGGTGATCCGGCGCTGTTTGAGGATAGAGAAACTTGGGTGTCAGACTTGGAAAAGTTAAGCCGTATGTCCTCTTGTCATATACCCTGCTCGTAAGTGCTGACATGTAGCTGTTCGTGATAATGAGGGGTCTCCCGAATTCCGCGTACGGCTCCAGACTTCTTTCGGGAAGAAACAGGTTGCGTACAGGAGAAGATGGATGCTCTGGCTGAGTTTAAAGCCAAGAAACGTCGCCGTTCCCCTTCCGCCCACGACGAAGTAACACCTCCTTCGGTGAAACGGGTCAAAGAGACCCTTCGGTCCTCTACAGGACAGGCTGAATTGTTTCCCTCCCCTTCCCACGAGCCAGGGAGTGCTCGCAAGGCGTCGTTGCGAGAACAGGATAGGCTATGGAAGTTGTTTATCGATGAAAGGGAGCGATGGGAGGTCGCCAGTATCGATGAGTCGTGTGATAGATGTCGGTAGGTTCCTTCCCTAGAAGTTTATACATCTGCTGATCAGTAGCCGTGAAATTATCACGTATGGGAGAGCGAAGTGGCCGTGTCTACGACCGGTCAAACCTCATAATCGCGGGTCCCGTTGTGCTTCTTGCACTTCTGGCCCCTGCTCGTTCTGTCCCCCCAACACCGCTCGGGATATTCCTCCTAGACCTTCTGCTCCCCTCGGTCCCCCCTACACTCCGTCCGCCGCTGTTCGCCGCCGTCTCCCCACAGCCCAAGACGGGGACTATCCTTCGCGCTCTCCTTCGGCGAACTTCTCCTCTCCTGGCCCCACCTCGCCGTCACCCGCCGTCCGTTGCCCGCCTAACTCTCCCGTGGCCGGACCGTCTCGTCTCCCTGCTACCCCTTCGGCAGGTTCGTCTCGTCGCTCGCCTCGCCGTGCTCCTTCCGCCTCCCTCCAGCCCTCGACACCTATGGCTGGCCCATCTCGTCTCCCGGCTACCCCTTCTGCCGGTCCGTCTCGTCCCACCAGGAGCCGTCCTACTCCTGTGTCAACTGAAGAGGAGTCTCCTCTAAGTCTCCCTCCTGCCCTTGGGACCCGAAGCCGTCAACCATCTGCTCCTCCTGCTTCTGGGCTCTCAACTCCTGCCCCTCCTGTGAAAACTCCTCCGAAATCTTCGAAAGGGAAAGGCAAGAAGAAGAAAGCTGTCCAGTTCGAACCGGCTGTGGTGGAAAACGAAAGTACTCAGCTACCAGAGGAAATCCCTCCTTCCCTCGACCACCCCACTATCGCTCTCGATCCTCGGATACCAGAGGAGGACAAACAGCTAGCCACCTTCCGTTCCGTCATTATTGGCTTAACCGCTCAATTACAAGCCAATAGACGAGATACGGCGAAGCTCGTCGAATATTGCGTGAAGTTGGTCTCCGCGATGAATACTCTCTCTCGGACAATGGCAACCCTTGTGAACTCCTCCGACATAGGGCCATTAGGGCGAACTGAGTTAGCTAGAGTCTCCCGAGAGCTCACAACGGACATGAGCGACTTCTACCGCAATCTCTTTGACTCTCCCTACCTCCTGAACCCCACTGAGTATATGCTCCCCCCTACACTGGACTGGTGTCACGAACTACGTCGCGACACCTCGATTACTCCACCAACAATGACCCTCCTTTGGCCATCAAAACCCCATCACGCCTTAACCTCTTTACTCTACACGTAACTCAGGACTTCTGACACCAAGTACGGCGAGGTTAGACGGAGTTAGGCTAAGTAGGAACAATGGGAGCAGAAGTACGGCGAAGTTAGACGGAGTTAGGCTAAGTAGGGACAATGGGAGCAGAAGTGCGGCGATGTTAGGCGGAGTTAGTCGAAGGAGGAAGAGGATGGCCGAGGGCTCGGGGAAGTTGGACGAAGTGCGTTGAAGTACGTCAAAGCGCGAGAGGGTTGGATGAACGTCTAGGAGGAGTAGATAATATTAGCTGAGAAGATCGCTGA